CGTGTGCTCTTCCGATCTAAAACTCTGTAAGATATAACAATAAATTTTACTTTTTTTTATCTTTTTTTTTAACTTTTTCTTTTTTTATGCGAGAATTCAAGTTCAAAAAATCCAATTGGAGATTCAAAAAATTAATAGACTAAACATTTACAGAAATATTTGTACCACAATACAATTTGTAAGTGTTTAGGAAAATTATATAAAATAATAATACGCTAGAAAAATATATTAACATTATTCAAAATAGGATCCTTTACACTCAATAGACTATTTAAGCTGTCGTGATTGATCAGCTGAAGACGATTACAAAAGCGGAATACTCGATAACGATGCAAAGATTGAAAAACGAAAGCAATGAGCGATGTATTGACTGCACAATATCCTATTTAAGATAAAAAATGTTTAAAACATTTTTCTGATGTGTATTTTTTATTTGATATAATTTATAATAAATAATTTATTGCATGCATTTTTTTTAAACCTGTAAATCATACTCACACCACTCATATTTCTCCTAATATTTTCGCGATATTTCTCCAACGTTTCTCCAGGATAATCACCATATGTTGCGAGATACTGAACGAGTCGGCCGTCTTCTTTGCCACGGTCGCGCAATTCCGGTTCTTTGTCAGCACCCGGACCTTACCGCTGTCCGACTGGGTGCCCTACGACATCTCATCGACGACCGCTTTCTGGGCGACCATGCTGCACCAAACCATCGGGCTGATGGTCTGCGCGAACGCCAGCGTCGCCCACGAGACTCTCATCTCCGGTTTTATGATCCAGACGTGCGCCCAGTTGGACATACTCTGCCATCGCGCTCGCACGTTGCCAGATTCGCTGCGAGAGGCCCGGAAATGCAGCACCTCGAAGGAAGACTTCAAGGCGCGAGGACGGCGACTCGTACGCGAGCTCGTCCATCATCATCGCTACGTTTACAGGTAATGAAGATAAGAGTTTATTATACGCGCGAAGAAAAGAAATAAAAAAATATATACGTATATATATTGAAAAGATAATCGTAATGGCGCAGATTTGCGGAGCGCATCAATACGGTGTTCACGCTAATGATTTTCGTGCAATTCACCGTAAGCTCAACGGTGCTCTGTCTCAGTATTTACAAAATGTTGACGAAGAACTTGCTGAGCCTCGAGTTCGCGTGGAGCTTTTCGTACCTCGGTTGCATGCTTATGCAAATTTATTTGTACTGCTGGTTCGGCAACGAGGTAACACTGAAGGTCGGTCCTCTAAAAAATCTTGAACTTTTAAAACCGTTATCTTCTTCTTAAGAATATTTAAACTTACTTGAAGACGATTTAGTGAACTTTCTTTTTAATCGGTTCATTCTCAAACAAGCAGAGCACCGAAATCGGAAGCGCCATTTATGAAATGGACTGGCCGATGCTTCCTACTGATTTAATGAAGACCCTTCTGGTGATAATCACGCGAGCTAAGAGACCGATCAAGATAACTAGCGGATACATAGTTACATTGTCCAACGAATCGTTTATGAAGGTGAACGGAGATAATATCGCAGTGAAAAAATATGTTTAATAAATCTAACAGAATTATACTTTGATTTGTACGTGCCGTACAAAAGATTTTAATTTTTATTCTTTCAGATCATCAAAATTTCTTACTCGGCATACAACGTTCTGCAAGGGTCGTAGTACGAGCAAAATCGTCTTTTTCGGTCATGTGCCCTGAAGAAAAACTTGGTGGCCAACTATTTTTTACGCAAATAATATAGCTTAAAAGTATCTAAATATGCTTAAATATTTTCTTAAATATTCTTATACTTAAGATAAATTTTGCATAACCCGAGGACGGAAGTTGTCCCTAAAAACAATCTTGGTCTCATCTTTTCTTCGTCGGATTAAATTCAACGTGGCAGCAGCAGTTCGAATAAAGTTTAAAGTAATCAGGACGGGCCTGGTCTCCGGATATAGCAAGGAACATGAGATAAATATAATTCTGCTTGCATGATGCGATGTAACCTTCGGCGATATCGTCGATCAACCTGCACTTAGTCTCTGGTTCTCTGAAAATAGAACATATTACGACATTCTTCATATTAAGATTAACATATTTTTGAGAAAAGACACGTTTGTCAACACATTGCTTACGTGGAAAAGTGTCATAATTTTAATAAGAGATTAAACTTAAACAATCCCATGCAAGTGTTAAAATTTTAAAATTTTGATTTTTACTCAACATGATAGTATTAACGAATACATTATAATTAAATGTATAACATAGAAAGAAAGTGAAGTTCTCTAATATTCATTAATCATTCTAATATCCCAGATAGCAAAGTAAATTGACATTATTTGACGTCAAAATGACGACAAATAATATTAGCTTGCTGTATGAAACCTAATTAAAATGTTGTTTCAATTCAAGAAGAATTTCAAAAATGTTCTGCTGAAAAGTTGCTAATTTCGATGTGTCACTTTTCTATCAACGCAGTGATATTCCATATACCTACTTATTTCATAATTTTTTTATTTATTTATACATATATAAACATTAAAGAACTGGGAAATTATAATGTATAACATTCTTTTCTTCACTTACACGCAAATTTCGATCCGTGCACCTTGACGAAAATTTTCCGCCTGAAGGATGTACTTCCATTGATTTTGTATATTCATAGCCAATTTCGGGTGAACTATTTCCACCTAGAATTTTACGTTCTTCTTACGAACATTTTTGGAATTTGACAATAATGCAATAATGGATCACATTTTAAGATGATTATACCCTAGACAGACAAAGTAAATCCTCTTCGTCAAATTGCGGTGAAACGCCAATCTATTAATGAAAGAGAAAATTCTGGATTTAAATTTAACATTTCCACTTTTTGTCCAGTGGTGAGAAAAATTATAACTGTAGTCTACTAACATCATCGAACGCATAATGTAACAGATTGGGATTCTTGGCGAGAATTTCATTCACTAACTCCTGAGGATAATTCGGGACATCCTCGCAGAAAGTTTGATTCTTGTCGCAACGTGCCAATTCTGCATTATCGCTATTGTTGCCATTTCTCTTTTTCCGTTTGTTCCAGAAACTATCCTTGTCTGCAAGGTAACTGTTATCTAAACATATATTCCTCAAAAACTAGTATATTTAGTATACTTCATTAGTATCTATTAATTATTATCTAAAAATTATCGACTATTATCTAAAAATCGTCGTAGTGAGAAGAATTCTTATACTGTATATATCTCTTTAAATTTTTTGTATTTTAAATTTGTGGAATTTTCAGAAAGAACCTTAAACTCCTGTAAATTTTATAAATTTTCTTCTCGGAAATTGTAGAGTTGTGTAAGAAATCTTAAAATATTTCAGAATTTTCACATATATATAGAATTCTAGAGAAAAGATGGTTGATCTCAGTTTTTATGAAAAGTACGTGTTTCCCAATTCGTATAAAATGTCTGAGAAATTCTATAAAAAAGTTATGAAATTATATAGAATATGTGGAAAATACTGAATATATTTATAGAGTAATTTTGAAAAATTACTTGAAGTCTAAGAAAAATTTTTATCAGAGCGTAAGAATAGACGCGTTATCTTCTGGGATATAAATTACAAGTCGAAAGATTAATGTTGATATAATCTCAGATTATAAATGGCGAGAAAAATGTTTTAGGATCTCACACGTTACCTTCAAAGCGCGATTTTACTTCTTCTTTTATATCATTGTCGTAATACGATTTCCTGGTCGTATTTACTTCATAGGAAGCGGTCATTGGAAGTTGACCTCCATTAACGCGGTTGTCGTGGTACTGTTTATACTCGTGTCCGTGAAAATGAGCTCCGAGAACGATCTAAAATTTAAAAAATGCTATTCCTTAGTTTTTCATTTTTGTAGTGTATTCATTGTTTTTATTGATGCAACATTCTACATATAATATCTCAATTAATAACTTCGAAATCACATTTTTACTTTTTAGAAAAGAAAATAATTATATAATTTATCTCGAATGAATCGTTCGATTTTACATATTAGACAGATTGATAAATCTACCATTCAAAGCTTAAAAATTGTATTATAATAATTTTTCGCTCAATAACATACAACGAAAATCAAAACGTACCTAATGCATCACTTATGGAAATCGAGAAATTATTTTGAAAGAAAGACATAAATTTTATTAAATTTCAACTTAGTATTATTTTATATGCTCCGATATTATTAAAATTCAAAATTAAAATAAGCAATGTTAAAAATGTAAAATTTTTTATTCCTGAAAGTAGCTTAAAGAAAAAAATAACTTAATGAATTTATTTGCATTTTCTATATTTTTGAGGATAATGCAATACTCTTGATTGTTTGCAGGTAGGTGACATATTAAAATTTCCGATTAAATCCTCGATTTGAATAATCCAAAGAAAAAAAGTTTACGTACCCTCAAGATGACAATCCCCGTCAAGAGCGTTATAGCAAAATTTCCCATTTTTCGTTAAAATTACTTCTTTTCTTTTCATTCACTGGCACAATGTGAAATGTGCAAAGAATCAGTACGTAACAAACGGTGGCTGCGCAGCTTGTGAGCTTTAAGCAGCTCTTCGTGAACTACTTAAATCAAATTATAACTGTACATACATGCGTGGCTGGATATTGTAATAATAAAAATTACACAATAACATCCATGTCGACTCACATTAGCATTACTTGTTATCTCTGATTTATTTTTAGGAGCCTAATTGCTTTTAATTTAAATTTATATTTCACGCTGCCTGAAAAATGCTTCAACACATTATTTATACCACCGACCAGATTAAAGCCCGATAATCTTATGAGTTAGCGTGGCTATTAAAATTTAAGCAATTAACCAATAATATATTATGAATTTTATGATTTATTATTAGACTAATGTTTTTTAGACTTGTACATATATTTACAAAACTTGCTAATAGTTAATTTTATTAAAAACTGCATGTCTTTGATTTCTTGGAAGTCTATAATTGCTTTCAATTTAAATTATAACTGCATTTATATTTCACGCTGCCTGAAAAATGCATCAGCACATTAATTATATATATTGGTTATTACGAAGAATATCATCACATCTCGGTCGAATGGTTCAAGACGTCCACCCGCCAAATAATATTCAAAATAAATTTTAAACATTTGAAGGATGCAGGATAATCATTTTGGATAATTATTTCGAATTGGACTCGTATTATATTTATATTTTCTATTTCTATTTGCAGAAAATATGCTTTCAGTTTATACAGTATATCTTGTAACACCCTGTACATACATACATATATATATATATATATACATGATCGTAAACACATTTACTTTCTATAATTATCGCTCGCATGAATAATCGGAACCGGATGATGATATAATAAAATTGCAATTTTAAATAAACATATATATTATCGAAATTATATAAATATACGTAATGCCTACGAAATGCCTGTGCCATGCTAACATCAGGATAATGAATCATACAATTAATATTATACTTACGATCTAATCATTTAAATTTTAATAGCCATACGTCGAGTTTCCGTGAGATTGTCGATTTTTAACAGAATGATGTTCAGACCTAACGTTTTTAACATTGAAATGACTGATTATTGCGTGAAATATGAATCATTCTTCCAGATCATCAACATATCTTACTCGGTATACATCAGCGTCCTGCTAGGGGATCTTAGTGATATTCGTGCCTGTAAGCGAAAGCAAATCATCTACTGCGGTCGTGCGTTCTGAAGAACAACCTGATGGCCAACTAATTATTTTCTACGCAAATATATACCGCTTAAAAGTATTTAAATGTGCTTAAATATTTTCTTAAATATTCTTATACGTATATAACTTCTAGCGAGGACGAAGGATGTCCTCTTAAAAAAATCTTGGATTTATCCTTTCCTCATCGGCTTTAAATTGAACGTGGCAGCAGCAACTCGCAGGAAGTCGGAAGTAATCTTGAACGGTCTCGTTGCGTTCATTAAGAGCCAACATCTCACGATAAATAAACTTCTGCTTGCAGGACGTCTCGTATCCCACGGCAATATCGTCAATCAATCTGCACTTAGTGTTAGGTTCTCTGAAAATAGAACACACTATATATAATATTCCTCAAAACATTGTATTGTATTTTACGTTCTCTCGTTCTACATATTGCTACGGTGATAGATGATGCAAAGTGACGCAAGTAAGAAACTAGCATTTTTGAAATAATGACAGGAAGTCGAGCTTAAAGACTTTTTGAAATAATGACAGGAAGTCGAGCTTAAAGACTAATATATTTTTGTAAAAAAAGCGGTTGTCGATACATTGCTTATGTGGAAAAGTGTTATAATTGTGATAAGGTATTAAACTTACACGATCATATACTAGTGCTTCAGTGTTCAAATTATAAAAACTCATCATGATAGTTGATACAAGAATACATTATAATTAAAAGTATAACATGGAATAAAAATCAAGTTATCCATATTCATTAATCATTCTAATAGATAGCAAGCTGGCGTCAATATGAAATAATATTAGCTTATATCTTACATTTCAATTTAAACGTTGCTCCAATTAAAAAAAAAATTTAAAAATGATCTACTGAAAACTGTTAATTTTGAGAGGTATCACTTTTTTTATCAACGCAGTGATATTTTTATATCTATTGACATGTTTTTTCCATAATTTTTTTATTTATATCTTATTTATACATATATAAACGTTAAAGGACAGTGAAACTGTAATGTATAGCATTTTTTTTCTTCACTTACATGCAAAGTTCAATCCGTATACCTTGATGAAAATTGTCCGCCTGAAGGATGAGATTCCACTGATTTTTTATGTTCACAGCCATTTTCGGGTGAATTAATTGCTCCTAGAATTTTACGTTGCTTTTACATTTTTAGAATTCGACATTACGTAATAATATAAGATCACATTTTAACATGATTATACCGTAGACAGGCAAAGTGGCTGCTCGTTGTTGTTATCGAATCGCGGTGAAACGGCAATCTATTAATTATAAAAGAGAAAATTCTGTATTTAAATTCAACATTTCCGCTTTTTGTCCAGTGAAAAAATTGTAATTGTAAGTCTACTAACAACATCCTCGAATGCATGACCTATCAGAGTGGAATTCCTGACGAGAATCTCATTCACTAATTCCTGAGGATAATTAGAGACGTTCTCGCAGAAAGTTTGTTTCGTCTTGTAGTCGCAATAATATGCCACACTTGCGTAATCGCTATTACCGTCATTTCTGGCTTGCTCTTCGTTCGAGAAACCGTCCTTGTTTGCAAAATAGCTATTATCTAAAAATATGTCCCTCAAAAACTGTTATACTTCAATAAAAGTCGCCCTGGTGAGAAAACTTGTCATACTATTTCTTTAAATCTTTTATATTTCAAATTTGTGAAGTTTTTTCCAAAAAAATACCTTAAACTTTTGTAAATTTTATAAATTTTCTTCAGAAATTGTAAAATGAGAAATCATAAAATATTTCAGAATTTTCAGGTATATATAAAATTCTAAAAAAGGTTGATATCAGCTTTTATAAAAAGTGTCCTCCAATTTATAAAATGTCTAAGAAATTGAATAAAAATATTATAAATTTATATGTAAATAATGAAAATTCTAAATATATTTATATAGTAATTTTGAAAAATTACTTGAAGAATTCTAAAAAAAATTTTTATCAGAGCGTAAGAATAGACGCGTTATCTTCTGGGATATAAATTTCAAATCGAAAGATTAATTTTAATATAATCACAGGATATGTATCCTGTGGCAAAAAAAATGTTTTAGGATTTCACACATTACCTTCAAAGCGATATTTTACTTCTTCCTTTACATCATTGCCGTAATGCGATTCCTTGTAGAAATCGGTCATTGGAAGTTGTCCGCCACTAACATGATTGTTGTAATACTGTTTATACGATTCATGTCCGTGATAACGAGCTCCGAGAACAACCTAAAACAGAAAATGCAATTCTTCATTTTCCATTTTTACAGCGTATTCATTTCCTTTATCGATGCAATATTCTGCGCATCAATAATATCTCAATTAATAATTTCGAAGTCACATTCTTAATTTTTAGAAAAAAAAAATAATTGATTATATGATTTATCTCGAATCGTTCGATATTCGTATCAATGCGTGTCAAACAGATTGCTATTTAGACAATCGCTTATCTGATTAAAAGCAAATTCGTGTTTTGCTTGTGTCGCAGTTAAATATCATCTCTTTTATTTAACTTGTTACGTTCGATATTGTAAATTCAATTTAGTTAATTAAATTAAATTTAAATTAAATTAAATTAAATCTTAATTAAATATTAAATTAAATCTCCCATTCAAATCTTAAAAATCGTAATAATTTTTCGCTCAACGCTTACAGTATCAAAAGTCAAAAGTCATTCCATTCACTTATGGAAATCGAGAAATTATTTTAATAAAGAAAGACATAAATTTGATCAAATTTTATTTTAGAGTTGTTATTTTATATGCTCCAATATCATTAAAATTCAAAATTAAGATAAGAAATGTTAGAAATGTCAAATTTTTTATTCCTCAAAATAATTTCCATTTGCTTTCAATATTGCCGCATATTATATTCATGATATTCTTAATAGCAGTATTTTTTTAAGTCGATGATATTTAATTATTGATGACATAAATATGATGATTGCAGAGAGGAAATGATACCTGAATGATATATTTACGTAACATATATATACCTATTACTGGCGTATAAAATAACATTCATAATTGACATTACTATTTTAAAAAACATTAATTCGGCGCATTTTAAAAAACATGGCATTAAAACAAGTGTTATAATAACTATAGGTATAGATTTTGTGTTTGGATGCCAAATAATGGAAAATATATGCTTTTTACATTTCGTGAACATAAGCCAAAGAGCTTAAAAGAAAAAAAAAACAATTAATTTAATAAATTTACTTGTTCTTTCTATATTTTTAAGAATGATGCAATACTTTTGATTGTAGCGTAGGCTGCACATTAAAATTTCCGATTAAATTCTTGACTCGAATAATTTAAAGAAAAAAAAATTACGTACCCCCAAGATGACGACCTCCGTCAAGAGCACTATAGCAAAATTTCCCATTTTTCGTTAAAATTGCTTTTCACTTACTGGCACAAAATGAGCAAAGGATCAGTGGCGCACCGTAGCAAACGGTGGCTGTACAGCTTATAAGCTTTATGCAGCTCTTCGTGGACTACTTAAACCGATTTGAATACATGACGGCTTCCGATCGTATTCCGGCTGTCGGTTTTTCGCTTATCGGCCGCATTATTATCTGTTTCCGAGGTTTTATCTCATCAATCGCGTCAGAGACCGGTCGTTTGCATTTTTTTCGCGATGCTATAGATTAGTGTCTTATCGTAAGACGGGAAAGCCGATGAATCTACGAGAAAGTCGTTTGCATTTTTTTCGCGATGCTATAGATTAGTATCTTATCGTAAGACGGAAAAGCCGATGAATCTGCGAGAAAGATATTGTATGTACAGTCGTGGACACATCGGTTGCGACACTTTTTTTATAGGTTTCTAATATATATTTAATATACATAATATATACTTCATAAATAACTAATATGTTGCAAATGCGAACCACGATGTTACTATATCTTTAGTCTAGAGACAGTATATAACACCAATCGTGGTCCGCATTTGCAAAATATTAGTGCGTTTTGAAATCTATAAAAAAGAATGTGTCGCAACCGATGTGTCCACGATTGTACTTATCGCGAGAAACAACAATCTTTAAAAAACGCGTTTATCATTTGGAAAGTCCAATTAATAGAATGATGTCACAAGACATAATGATGATTTTGATTTTGACGTGTCACTATGTTGTTTTTTAACATCGCAATTTTATATCACAAAAAGAAGAGTTTTATCGAAGTGTTTAAAAATTTAGCTGCATAAAAATTTTTAAATAATTTTATGTGTGTGTGTGTGGGTGTTGGATCAACAAAATAATTATGTAAAACGTGCAAACTGAAAATGTGTAATCAAAAAATTTTGTAGCATTAACATTATGCTTGAGCGTCCTATATAATTGTTTTGATGATTCAAAAAATTAAGTATTTAAAGTATGCAGCTAAATTTTTAAACACTTTAGCAAAACCGTTCTTTTCGTGTGCTTACGTTAATTTTTCAAAATTATAAAGATCACATTCTTGTGAAACCAAAGATTGGTTCTAAGAACGCTGAATTTTATCTTTCCATGCTATTCAATCTATCATATCACAGTAAATAAAATGTTATAGTTAGTATGCTAGCAGTGTTTACCAGCAAATTCGAGCAAATCAAATATTACGTCAGATTGACATCAACTGCGTTTTAAACTCGTGTTCTTCCAAAAAACCCTGCCGTTATAATTTGACAGTAGATTGCCAGACCCCGTCATTTTGTAACCATTTAAATGTTATTTATATCATTCAAATGTGTTATCTAATCGTAACATCTTATTTAAATGATTAAGAAATGGCAGATTCTGCTAGATTTTTTTTTCCACAGTCAATCTGCCATCATATTCCATTTGCCGAAACTTAAAAATTGAAATTAGACCGATTCCTGTAAAGAGATCCCGGGTGATCCAAAATTATCTAATATATATATTCTTTACGCAAGTCAGTCAGCGATTCTAAATATACGTACTTGACCACTTGACGACTTGTGACATCGTATTATCGTCAGCAACTGCGTCAGGATTTGTGTTGCAAACCACAAACACAGGAAATCCGTTGACAGATCCTTACGATAGGTACTTCATGACGCGGTAGATGATTGGCTCGAAACTTCATTTTCGCCTGCACAACTCTATACGCCTTAGCGAAATCCATCCAAAATTGTTCGCGGTTTTTTGATTTCCGATCCATATTTCAAGGAAAAAGTACATCCGTTTCTATATAAAAATTTCGAATAAAACCTGAATCTTTGAATCGAATGTTCTATAGACGGCATCTTAAAAACAATAAAAATTTCAGGATAGAAATTCAATCTTGTACAGAATTAAATATTATTTAAAAAATATCAATCTTGTGAAAATTCGCGTTGTAATTAAAATTTAGATATTTCGTAGATATATATATGTACGATATGTCTATGAGGCACTAACAACAGGCACTTCATTACTCAAAATTAAATAAAATTAATTGTGCTAATTGATTTAAAACTTACAGTATTAATTAGTAATTAAAGTAAATTTCTCTTGGTAAATTTAAACATTTGTGGATAATTATTTCGAATTGTAACCATATACATTTATATTTTCTATTTCAATTTGCATCAGAAAATGTGCTCCTTCAGTTTGTATGTACATACATATATTGCAGCATCTTGTAACAACTGTGTACATATAATGTATATATACATTGTCATAAAACTACACATTTTCTTTCTATAACTATCGCTCGCATGAATAATCGGAACCGGACGATGACAATAAAATAGCAGTTTTAAATAAAAATGGAATATTATCGGAATCATAATATATGTAATATATGCTTATGAAATGCCTGTGCCATGCTACGTCAGGATTATAATGATTCATGTAATTAATATTATACTTATGATCTAATCATTTAAATTTTAATAGCCACACGAGGTAAGGTATTTATTGTAAACCAAGTCCCCTTTTTGGCTGTAAACTGCTGAAGTGAATAAATATTCTATTCTAATAGCCACACGAGTTCCATAAGATTGTTGATTTTTAACAAATGATGTTCAGAGCTAATTTAATTAACATATTGAAATAACTGCAGATTACTGAACGAATTGTTTTATCGTTACCATATATGTTTGGACGAAAAGACAAAATTAAGTTATTAAAATTTTTGAAATTTTTTCTCAACAATTTTAATGAAAATTAATAGATTTAATATAATTCTCAATTAGATTTTATATTTTACTCGATCGATTTTTCTAATTTTATATTTATATGATATATTTATATGATATATTTATCACTAAAGTGGTTATATATATAATATTTAATATTTTTCCATCGTTCGAAAAACAAAACTCTCTATGTAAAATATATAACAATTACAATATTTACAACCCTGGCAAAAATAATTGGAATCGAATAATATGTAAGGACGAAGATTGAGTGACAGAAGCGTAAAGAAAATTTCTTTTGAAGGCGAGAGGAGAGAAAGTAAAAATTATGATATATAAAACGTAGAAGAATAAACAAAGTTTCGCAAAGTGTAAACCTTACATACTACCTAACCTTATGCTCCAATTTTTATTTTCGCCAGGGAAAACAATGCGACTCAATATGAGTAATTTTTCCCTTGACACAGCACATATATATTATATGTACCAGGAATAATTTAGCTAAGTATATCTTCGAGGTCCTTTTTCTTACAGCTATTTTTGTTATTTTACTTACGTTATATTAAAACATTCAATAACACTGTAGTATCATTCCAGAAAACAATTGAGAAAGTATCCCATGGTCTCAAAGAGAAGTGAGAAAAGTGACATCATTTTCGATGTTTATCGATGTAAACAAAATCTACGTAATATACATATATAACCGTGATGTTCGGCTGATGTTTACAGAAATTTTCAATATGAGTATTAACAGCCTTATAATTTCCAATCGTTTAATAATAACAAAATGTTAATGTTACCTCGTCGATGTTTGTGAAACATTTCGACTGCTCGCGAAATTTATACCGCGAATATCGCAGAGCTTCTAACGTGCAGCGACATCTTACAGAATCGCACGACATAAAACGTCGATAAAAATACTCTCTGCATCATCGTACGCTGATAATGCAGAGTTTTATGATGCAGCACGGTTGGGGGTGCGTGTAATTTAACCCTCGCAACGCTCTTGGAATCATTTCGTCCTTGTTTTCAAATGTTTAACAAGGAATGTTCGTGAGCATAAATTAATGGAATCTTAGAACATATATATTATATTACGTAGTATATGTTCTAAGAATGGAACGTAGCCTGAAACAAAAGGCCTAACATCAGCTGATGTCGGTAGGAAAGAGAGAGAGAGAGAGAGAGAGAGAGAGAGAGAGAGAAAGGAGATAACGAGGGCCGGGGCGACGACTGCGCGTGCCTCCTCTCGGAGCAAACGATTAGAATTGACGGGAATGTCAAGCAATGCCAAGGCGAGTGGGATCACGGGGCATAAATAAAGCGGTCGGTGCTGACCGTGGCTGACTCAAGGCTGGAGGCCCGGCCACTGAACTATGTATAGATATGGGTCGAGTGGGCCCGGCGAACATCTCCGATAACTCCGATCAATCTTACCGCGAGAACCTGTGCGTCATGCGCAAAACACCGCACGACCCTGTTTGACCTGTTTATCGCGATGTCCGCGAGCCCGAATTCCGAATCGTTGTTTTACGTCTGTCGTCAGTGTTTACCTGATTTGCCGTCACGGCGAACGCGAGGGGGCATGACACCGCGGTGAACCATCGTCGGCCCTCGCCGCGCTTTCGCCGTGCTCGTTCGTGCGGAACGAATGTCAATAAAACATCGTTGGCTTCCGTGGGTGAATTAGGTGGACAAGTGGCGCGGTGGCCGGAATCGAGGCAGGTGGCCGCCGTCGACGACCAGACTTTATATGATCTTCTTCCCCTAAATAACGTATGATGCTGCGGGATATTGTCGCCGCGATGAAGATATCAAAGTCCACCATCGTCTTCCTGGCCGTGATTCTGATATTATCTATCCTGATAGCGAATATAGTTGAGTTTGCCAAAGACGTCAGGGGAGAGCCTTATCCCCCGGACAAGATTGCGGGAGACAATAACGGGGAGACACCGTGGCCCGGACCAAAGTACTATGGCATAGATCATTCGAGCGACCACTTGATATGGTTCCTACAGGTTTGTCGATTCATTAATTGTGTTAATTTTGTTTGGGATAGTTAGTGGCTGTTATTCCATAGAGGTGCGTAACAATAACTTTTTGTATTTCTATAGATAACCGACTTACATATAAGTATCCATAGGGATCCGTCTAGACTGTTGGAGTTCAGAGAATTTTGCAACGTGACAGTGAATGTTATTCAGCCTAAGGTCGTTCTTGCTTCAGGTAATTTATATTTTATGGATACGAAGGGTACACATACGATATCGCATAGCTATATTGATCAGACGAATTAGCAAACTATTTTGTGTTTACATCTTAACAGGAGATTTGACTGATGCCCTAGTTGAAAACTCAATTGGCTCTAAGCAGGAGCACCAAGAGTGGGAGTATTACAGAAACGTGATAGACCAGACTAACGTCAGCAAGAATGTTTTATGGTTGGATGTCAGGGGAAATCACGGTGAGGCGCACACATTCTAATTGCGCACCCGCGTATTCGCGCGTATCGATGCTCACGGAGAAAATTATGTTCTGTAAACCTGTTAATTTCAGACAACTTCGACGTCATCAATTTGGATTCCAAAAACAACTATTATACAAACTACTCGGTTCAAGGAAAGAAACATCACAGATCTTACATGTACAATGTTGAGGCTGGTCTTGAAACGTACTCCTTCATTGCGGTTGACGCTTGCTTGAAACCGGGCCCCAAGAGGCCGTTCAATTTCATTGGTATTCTAGATCAGAAGGAGATTAAGAGGATACAGCAGTTGATTAATCAGTCGAAAGAAAGCAACGCCGCTCATACGATCGTATTCGGTCATTATCCTACGTCCAGCATAATATCGCAAGCTGATACAAATATCAGAAGTGTTTTAGGTAACGTAGAAATAAAATATATTTTTCTAATGAAAACATTAGTTATAAACTCGTTATAATTTTGCTTAAAAATATACTGAATTTATTGTATATTAAAAGGCAATCACAGAGACAGCTTGGCGTATCTGTGTGGCCACTTCCATACGTTTCTCGGCATGGTACCCGAGATGTACACGATACAAAGGGAGGGCTTCCTTGAGCTGGAATTGGCAGATTGGAAAAATAGTAGAACGTAAGACAATCTTTTACACATTCGAGAACGGCAGTTACATAATTTCATTTATTGATTTTGTATTATATAATACATGACTCGTATTTAAACGTCAGTCATCGAAAGAATTCTCCTCTGCATGAATGATAAAAATAATTTTTGTATAATTAAGAATAGAAACGTGTGTTATTTTAAAATATTTCTTCTAAAGCTCGCATTTCTTCTAAAACTAAGCAAATTACTTTGTTTTGCCATTGTTTGTACAAATATATTCTTTTCTTCTATCAGTATTATTTTTTATTTTTTAATACATGTAAAACTGCATAATACTCTGTAAATATGCAACAATAAGTTTACCTGATTGAGAGAGTTTACATATAAAAGGCTTCCTGGAAAAACGTTACAATTATCATTTTCAAAAAATCTTATTTTAATGGAAAGGCATTACTTGAATATTGACTAAACATGTGAAAATTCTAGTGATAAAAAAATTATTAGATACAACGTTCTTCCAGAGAGCTCTTCAAATATTAGACGCTTATCTGACACGCGCCTCTCATCTTAGGTATCGCCTTGCGGCAATAGACCATGGCCAATTCTCATTCATCGATATAAAACACCAAGATTGGCCCGTAGTATTAATCACCAATCCGAAAAACGTGCTGTTTATGATGCCGCAAAGGGAAAACTTGGAATCTATTATCAAATCTACGCATGTTAGGTAAATATATTTCTATTGATCCTGATATTGTTCTTATTCATGAAATTATTTTAATTTTTATAAAATTTAACTTATAAGCTCATTGACTCCATACTCATTCTATATAGGGTACTGGCTTTTTCTACGGTTCCAATAAAAAGCATCGAAATTCAATTGGATAATGAAGTTTCGCTACTACAGTGCGATCATATAAGTGGACCTCTCTATACATTGCCATGGAACGCGACGAAATACAAGAAGGGCATTCATCAGATAACAGTTTAGTATACGTACTTTTCGAAATTACTTATAAAAATTGATGAATATGTACTTAATCTTAAAACTCATGCACACGCACGTTTCTGAAAATTATTTTCTATTTCAGGTACGTGTAACTGATGAAGAAGGCAAAACGAAAATTGTATCGCAATCTTTCTCTCTTGACGGATCGTGGATATCCCCTTCTATTCTTGCCAAGTATCTACTGATGACTAATGTAGTTTGTATTGTAAGTCAAATGAATTACTACTGCTAATTAAATCTACCCACAGTGGTATATGTAATAAAATTTAACGTTATTATTTCTCACAGTTTCAAATCCAATTCGTCATTTCATTGATGTTGACAATCGGCCCGCTGTGCTTCTTTCGATTCCTTCACATGTATTATAGGAGTAAGTATAAGCTAAATTTATGCATATCCATATTTTATATCGTGTAATAAGGTGTACACTGTCACTTTTTTATAATCCAGAGAAACGAACAGATAAACTGCGGCGCCTGAATTTGGGGATATTTTGGGTGATGTTTAAGCCATTGTGGATACTGTCCACCATTGATAGAGTGTTTTACGTACTGATGCTGTACACGTTATATGTGGCCGTTGGTAAGTGTGCAAATAAATGTGCAAGTATATATATCGGGAAATTCTTACGGAAAATTAATTTGACGAATTCAATTCAAGGTCCATGGACCGTGGGAGAAATAATTGAGGGTCACACTGGTGTGATCTTCATGTGGGGAACATTCATCGAAGGCATGTATTTACCGGGCGGCTTAACTTACTTGTATGGAGTCATTGAGTTATTGGTTTACCAACTACCCCTTACGTTGATGTTAGCGCTCGTCGTTAGTCACAGGTCCGTGATTTTGCAGCAATTGTTACGGTGTGATGAAAGAGACTGTCTTAAGCTTAATTGCCTGGGTTTCAGATTAATATACATCGAACAGCCCCCTGAAACCTCATGCCTGATAAGATTCTATAAGTATTGGCCGTTTTTACGAGTTATATGCGTTGTATCATTAATCGGGATGCAATGCTGTGCTGTTTATGTCATTTATCTGGAGTATGGTACAACAGCGATATTATTATGTCCATTACGATGGGGAAGTATTATGGTAGCGACAGGACTATGGTATTCCATTATCACGATGCCAGTCTCGTGCTTGAGGTTTGTAATTAATATTTGCATTACGATGTAAATATATGTAGTATATATTTACATATAAATAAATATCTGATTGTCTATTCTTTAAGGTCTGCCGCATCTGTATGGTATCCCAATGGAGTCATTCATAACGCAAATCGATAAAGCTGATAGCAAAATAACACGATTAGAAATATTGGTAAGCTAATATTACTAATAGGTTTTCGATTATTACTAATAGGTTTACAAAGAGAAGTTTTGAATGTATTTTATTTGACATTTTAAGTAGAATTATTGTGATACTCGGAAGCCAACCACGTTTTAAGAGAAAGTGTTAAATGCTGTTAATGAAGTCGTTGTTCGTCCAATAGATGTTATGTATTATTCAGTTGATTGGTCATGTAATCATATTATTAACAAAAGTTATATTCTGCTAAAACCAATTTATTAATTTTGAACTGTGATACGCTTATAACGCAGTAATGTGATAATTACTGTTGCTAAGATTTGCAATAATAATTATGATTTTCTTCTTCCATGTCACTCATGATTCAAACTCGATAGTTTATTTAGCAAAAAGCTTTTTTTTATTTTTTTTTACAAATAGAAATCAGATTGAAAAGAGATAGAATTTATACATGCTTATGTCACTATTGTTTTATACTTCACTCGAGAGTGCTTTATCTCTTTACTGTGGATGATGAGGTATTAGAGACGGTGTCATTGAATTGTGATATTTTACAATTTAATCGAGAGAGCTTTAGGAGGCAAGGCTATGTATATTTGTAAGATTAGCGCTCTTGTCCAGGATTTTAGAACTAAAATCTTCTAATCACCTTCCTTGTAACATATATTTTTCTACTGTCCATATTTGAGATTCATACTGGTGTACTCTTTTCAATGACGATACTTATAGATACTTTATAGATACTTTATAAATATATCTGAGAACAATCCCTCAGGAGATTTATGTTTATCTACGTTTTCATCACTATAGCATGTTACAAAAAATAACAGAGATATATCAGATGTAGAATTTAATGTATTGTTTTTCACTTGAGATGTATATTGCGCAAAGTGAATCGGTTTACTCGCTATAAGCTGCGACCGATCCTGCGAAAGGGTAATTGGACGTGGAATAGGTATCTGTGTCATAAACTTTCAAAAAGATTGGGCTTCGTGGTATGGTGCTAAGAGAAATCAATGAAAGTAACATTGTTCAATTAAAGTGTGATTACCAAATATGATATGACATGAACGTAACATTTATTTATGTATAACGAATCATACTCGATGTATAAATATAACGTCAATGTATTGACAGACGATGAGATTCTACGAGAGAGATATGCGTGAAAACGTTACGTAATAAATATATAATTATAATTGTACAATTAAAGAAATGAAATATTTCATTTCTGATATAGTTATCACAAAGATTAAATAACACCGTCACCAAATAGTACTATTAAAAGAATCGACAATCTTAAAAATTTAAACGAGATTAATTTATAATACTATATGCTTTGCTATTGTATCAAATTATTTTTTTTTTGTACAAAAACGTTTTGTACCCCACATACGCATATTCTGCTGTAATGATCTAGATATATTTGTTCAAAATTAATTTTAGTGTTATATTCGATCTATGCGAGTAATAATTATAGAAAAAAATGTAGTTTTGTGACAATATATATGATATTATTATGTCATAAATGTGCGTGCTTATTTGTGAATCCATATAATAAAAAACATTTAATATCATAAGCTAATTTTCAAATATTTATGTTGGTAAAAGATTTATATTGACATAATATTGATATTTAATAATTTTTGGAGCCCTATATTAACATATTACATATATAATAAAAATTATATATTTATTATTTATAAACTATAGAGGATAGATAATCTTTAATGTTTCGTCGGTAATAATATCGACCCGATTGTCACGCGAAGTGATAGAATCGTGCGTCGCCAGGTGTCACTTTTTCTATCAGCTGTCGCTACGATCAACGAAGCTTGCTCGGCTCGCATAGTCGCATCAGTTAGCTGCTAGTGCTGCTGTTATTTCTGTAATTTTCGCTACCCTCCTGCCGGCTCGCCGAACTGGAGCATCGCGCTCCTGATTGCCCGATTTCGACACGAAAGTAGTGATTCTCGTCGTGAAAAGGGAACAAAATGAGTAAACATCACACGCACGAGATAAGTGAACATCCGGAGGTACAGTGGGCTCTGGAGCTGCTCAAGCCGGATCCTACGTACGAGCCCAGCATTCTGTCCAAGTATTCGACGGAATTGGTATTCGTGATAGGCGGCTTCGCGCTTCCGTCTTTCATGAATGTATACAACATCAAGCCGTTCTATGCCGGTGAGTGTCTCTCGAATTTTCTCGACGAGATCGGCGTGGGTGTCTCATTCTTTCGCATTTCCTCCGGGCAACTTAACCTCGCGACACGGTTATGTAATACAGTAATCGATTTCGGATGATTATGGGAGCTTTTCGGTAAGAGACACACAATTCGACGTAGGAGTCATTCTGTTTTTGTTCAACGTTCAGTGAGACAAAGATAGAATGACTCCTGTCTTGGCTGAAAAGCTCCCTGTGTGAACTATATGTTTCTGTTCACGCGTGGATCTTCCCTCAGCGTTCCCGTTCGGCGGCAAGAAGGTTCTTGCTGACAACTTACTCATCGTTAATCTCATTTTATAAGGAAATCAAAATTATTCTTTAGTACACGCAATGATTTTCCGATCCTTTAGACAGTGCTTTTTCCCTTCTTCGGTTTCTAACTTGGATTTTTCATCTTACGTTACATTTCTCTGCCATCAGCCTTACAAGAGATAAGAGAGTTTGTAAAACTTATTAAATGATTCTTACATATTACTTTAACATCTTCAGAAAGTATATGCAAAGTTGTGTATTTAAAAAAATTGTGTTATAATTAATTTCAGCTGATAAGAATAATCTAATTGTGTGTACCAAGGATTATATCTAGAATTGCGAATTTTGAATAACGAATCCAACAGACATCGGTTAAAACGAATGATATTTTTTGTCACAGGTATGCAAAGGCATATCAAGTACGTAGCAGTGGGATATATCTTGTCGCAATTTGCAAAGAAGCTTGTTGACGATTATCAAGCAGAACGTGATACTAGACTGAGAGATTATATCGTACGGCATCCAGAACTCTTTCCCGAACCAGGTAACGCACCCGTCACACTTGATCTTCACTTTTAAAAAGAGGTCTATTTTTTTTATAGCTGAACTGGTGTAGACTTTTGTATCTGAAGTAAAATAGGTATATGTTTGAAATTTGGCGAAAACGAAAAGAGAGAGAATAATTCCAAGTCAATCCAGTGCAGCAATAAGAAAACAAACCTGATCAAAAGTGTTAAATGAAAGAATAATGTTTGTGCTTGCATTGTCCAATATCTGTTTTATAAATTTTATATAAATATTTTAATTAAATATTTTATATTAATATTTTTTTTACAGATAAATTGATATTTTCAATGAAATAATTGTAAAGAATCATGATTTTATAAAATTATAGGATATTTCAAACTTTCGATCAGTACTATATGTTATATTTTTATAACTTAATATTATTAATTCAATATTATAAATTAAAAATTAAATAAAGTTTTTGCTTGGTTTTTTAAATATAGAGTCATCTAATTATGACTTTAAATGAAAGCTTTAAAGGAAAGCTAGCTAAAATACGTTCAGCGATGAATGTGTTAAAAAGGATATCCGCCTATCTTAATCTGACGTGAAACGTTACATAGTTGCTTTCTTTTCTTTTTTCAGAACGTGTAAAGTATAGCCAAGTGTTGGAGAAATGGACCCCAATTCGTTAATTACTGAAAATTGTTAGAGGTGATTATACCATCTTGATTGCGTATTCCGCGATGCAGACAGACAGTGCAGTTCAATGCAATGAATGTAGACATATTGTGTAAATATTTTAAAAAATATACATATATCTATATATATATAATACATAGTGTTTCAACTAACGAAGTCAAGACGCCATTTTTATAAAGTAAAAATAAGGGGAATGTTATATATGAGAATGACTCTCTTAAATTGTTGCTATCCTTTAGAAATAAAGGGCAGATTTTTCTTTTAGATCTTGTAGCATCGAAACATTTTTATTTTCTCTTTCAGATCGAGCAGTACACACTTAACATTAATAGATGCGAACGTTGTCCGCACATATGTTCTATACGGTGATAGAAGTATAAGTTTACGCATTACTGTGACTTGTACATTTGTGAGATGCAAATTAAAATTTTACGAGGTTTCTCCAATATTAGAAAGTAAGATGCTTGACGCGCGCGTAGCCACGATAATGACGTCTACATCGCACACGCGCACGCGAGACATTCTACTTTGATAACAACGGGACGCGCGAATCGCTTGCACTAAATTAAATCTAGCTCACTCGAGTGACACTCTCCTACTTCTTTTCAGGATTGTAATTATCATTGTATAGCCCTGTACCCTTCGAGTCACCCAGCCAGGGATACTTGTTTGGGCACTCTCTACACGTTTCCATATACCTGTTAACACACAATTGACAAACAAATACAGTTACGATTCACTGAAAATATTTAGCAACTATTTAATAATTCTATGTGTTATCAACAGTTTGTTGATTCAATCTCTACCTAGTCGTTGTGAAATTCGATTCGGAAGGCTTGAAGTCTAAGGCGCACTTGTGTGCATTGTTGCACGGCGGTCCGGGCAGATTCTCTTTCTTCTTACACGACCATCCCTCGAAGTTGTGCAGAGCCTTGATCGGTTTCGGATCGGTCATCCATGTCAACGCCTGCGTGGCGGTCACGAAGTAAACGTCAGGTCTGTAAAAATGTTTATCTTAATACCTCGAGGCTTCTCTTGATAGATGTACGTGTTATGCATTTTGCACTCACAGCGTTACCACCCAATCGAGAAATTTCGACAGGCCGCGCTCCAATTCCTTGATCTGGAACCAATTAGTATGGAAAGGCATCATGTACGGCGCTCTGTTTTGCTCGTAATATCTGTTAAAGTCCTCCTGCAGCCAGTCGAACACCTCTTCGGGATCGTGATTGTGAAGGACGCATTGATCCAAGTAAGGGCAATGTCCACCCTCGTAACTCTCCACATAATGCGCATTCAGGGGTAGCTCCCATATCCCTAATAATAGCGCGTAAACGTTTCTTTAAAAGTGCAGTATACCATTATTCATTAAATTAGTAACACAATTTTTTAACACTCCTATTGTTATTCTATGTTGAATAGACGAGACTAAATCTTTGTCACGATTCCGTTACCTTGGAACGATTTCGTGGGACAGGTGCCCGCTTTGCATTCGTGCGGGATCTTGTAGTCGAGAGTGTACGGCCAGATCGGCACCTTCAGCGGCGAGATTCCTATGCTGCTGTCGTATATGTATCCAAAGTCCTCGAGCACCTTGTACTGAGTGTTACGACCGGGTTTCAAGTAAGGCGCACGCATGCCGACGACTTCGCCGGTCGATATGTTGCTGAAGTGCTTCAGTATCTCGCGCATTCCGATCATCTCGCCGACCCACTCCTCGTAACCCTTGTCCTCCAGGCCTTTCTGGAGTCTAAAAAAAAAACATTTGCCATTCGTCAGCATCGACTGATTTTAACGCACTCTGGACGCAAGTAATCGCGCGCGCTACTCACGAGATCGTCTCGGTCGCAATCTCGTGACCGTCGTGCGCCAGGCTCTGGACCATATTGTAGTTGCAGTACTCGTGAGAGATGAAGAACGTGCCCCTCAACGGACAGTTGTTGGGATTCAGGCGATCTTGGGTGAATATCTTCTGATAGTGATCGAAGTTGTTGTGATTTACCGCACCGTCAAACGTCATTATTATCATTTGCGGCGTCTGAAATCATTCGAATCGTTGTATCTTCGTTTGAATAGATCGACAGAGTAGTAACACGAAGAGAATTCACAGTCAAGTTGTCAAGTCGTTTTACCTCTTCCGGATGAAGACCACCGGGAATGATTGTGCCGTCTCTGGAGCAGAAGCAGTACGGAAGCTGGCAGTTCGACGTGTCGCAACGCTCGGCCAAATCCGTCGGCGGCTCGGTGATTGGCGCTGGCGCTGGAAATTGAAAGACATCGTCCTCAAAATTACGATTTCTGCGCTAAACTCGCACTGGAAATTATATTTGGCGAACAAACGAAGACTTTGAATGGTAAACTCAAAAAGTAACCACTAAAAATAATAATCATTAGAAAAATCACTTTTTGAAGATCTGTCTGTATTGTCTTTAGATTTTTTTTTAGTTCTGCTCGTTAAAATCAACATAATTTAATCAGTATGACATAGATTTATGTTTCTACTTACTGGTCTCGATGGGTCCGCATCGCGCCTCGTTTCTAAAGGTACAGAACTTGCTGATGTCGTCGAAGTGCAGGCCCGACGGACATCGGTTCAAGTAGGGATATCCATCGACGCACTTTCGGAAAACAATAAAAAAATATGCAATCGTACACAAATAATCGTATCGGAGGTAAACAATCGAGAGCTTAACCGGTAATAAAAATAATCGGAGCAATGTGCGAAACATAATTATTATAGCTGATAAATTGATAACGATGATAAATTACCTGATAAAACCTCCTGCAGGTTGCCGGATCGGCGAAGTTACCATTACCCTGGCCCTCCGGACACCGGAACTCCTCGTCTTTCTTGTCCTCGTCCTTCTTGCTCTTTTGACAATGCACTGAGAAGATAAAAGAAAGCGCGCGATACGGGAGGTAAATGGTTTTCCTTCATTCATGCAGAAAATATGCATGGACACGCTTCGTATATGCGCATAAATATACATCGTGGCAAAGGATTTTTCTCTCTCTCCCCTTTTTTCCGTCCACTCCATAAAAGTAACGAAGCGTGTCGTAATTAATCGTAATCCTACGCGAGAATTCAAATACTTTCATCTTTATCGCTCGTTTGCTCGAGGATCCCTCGAGCTCTTTTCATCCCGAACGATTACGAAAGTTCATTTTATTTTGTTTTTAGGCGATGACGTTTCGCGCGCGCGCGCGCGCGATCACACAGATGATTTAATGTTCGAAAGCCGGGAAAATGTCAAGGTTGGGGATCGCTTACTCGAGACACGTTTACGCCCGAGTGTATTTACGCTCTTGTATTCCGAATGAGGCCGGCTGGCAGCTGTGTTGGCTATCAAGTACCTACGTTCCACTTTTACTGCGTTCCTTCTGTCAAGCGTTGTTACGCTTCAAGCCGCATGATTACGCCCGACAGCGGGCGACAGAACGGTGACTTTAATGAATGGACAGGCTGGCAGTGCGGTCGTATAAAGCAAAACTTAATTTTGTATGCGACGTATAGAACGTCTTGAGAGTGTCGAGCGTTTCTCCGCATCGAAACGCGAGACTTCACTTGCAAGACTCCTTACATCTTTTGATCTGTGCCGACTTTAATATTTGCTTTAATATTGTGTTACATCAACTTAGGACAAGGACGATGAGGATGATGCGTCGCCGGCGTGTGCACGCGGAGGGGCCTCTCGCATCGTGAGAAAATATATGGGCGGGAGAAATTCCAGAAGAGAAGTTCGAGAAAGCGAGAAACGTGATTGCGGGCATTCCGATATGTTTGGACACGTGAGTGCGCGACGGATTCGACGAGGCGTTTACGCTCCTTTCGGTGAAAACGCGAATGCGTTAAAAGCGGTCTAAAAAGACGCGGCGCGAAGTATCGCATTAGCATATGCACTTACAAACGAATTTCCAACTTCACTTAGCATATTTCAGGATTCGTTCCGCTCGCTCGCTTGTTTTTTCCATCGTCTTTTTAAACCGGAAATTTAGAGAACTGCGTCAGAGAGAGAGAGAGAGAGAGAGAGAGAGAGATCTCCTTCATGCGAGGCGTTAAGCTGATATAATCGTAGAATGTTAAATCCGCCATTGATTAGCGGCGCAAAATGCCAGCGCGCTAATAATATCTTCGATATGGTATAAGGTAAACGTACCAGTGACTGAACGTGTATCTATAACTGAACAAGTACACAAAACAAGCACAGAAACTTATTTTTAAATGTCTTTTTTCATAATATTGTAATTTAATTGTAATCTTTAAATATTTTTACAATTAAATTTTGATATTATAATAAAAAAAGCATTTGAGATTAATAAATTTTGTGTACGTGTTCAGATATAGATGCATGTTCAGTCACTGGTATGTACATTTACCTTAGCTTAATGTTAATCCGGATTCCGCGAATGGACGTAATATCTCTCGGGGAGCGTTAAACACGTTACGCGCGCAGTCTGGGGTCCTGCCACCCGGCTGGATGCACCGTTATTTAGCTGTTCAGCCAAGCGTGCCGTGCAATCGATTTATGCGGAACGCTCGAAGAATCTCTAAGTGCCGGAAGAGTTCTTCGGGGGGGCTATTCCAGACGCGCGTACCGCGACTGCATGCGCAAGAGTTGCACAAGTTTTTCGCGAAACTCATAATACGCGCTCGCGGCGGGTAATAAATGGATATGCTTGAGCTAACATTATGTCCACGTCTATAGAGCTCTACGCGGCGCAGTCAAGGTTCTTTAAGTACTTCTCTTTCATTTGGCATTTTCTCTCGAGTAGTAAATTTAAAAGCTGGCGATTAATTGACTGAACTTAGCATTGAAATTTGGACTAATAAGAGAGCGGCCGGTACGAGCGACGCGAGATTATAATGAGAGAAATTGTACGACGGCGCGATCGCGACGGAGATCTGAAGGTATTAAAAATGGTGCGTAACGCTCGCGAGAGAAAGTAGCACCTACGAAGATTCTTCCCACTGACCTTATAATCGTTACGCGTAGCACATTTAATTTTGTCCCGCGTTTTCCTTTTGCAATATTAATTAAAACAAAATAAGATTAATTAAATCAAAAATAACGTTACCTTGGTGAAAATTTTTCTTAGAATTCTTCATATATTATAATAATTTTTCAGAATTTCGATTTATATAAATTCAAGAATGTTGCAGAATTTCTGTATAATTTTACAAAGTCCCGAGAAAGTCTACATCTTTTCTAGAAGTTCTTTACATAACGTGAATTCTCTGAGAGATTCTAAAAACGCCAAGATTTCTCATTCTATAATTTCCAAAGAAAATCCGAAGAAGTTTGAGAATTATAATATTTTTTTCAGAAATCTTCATCTCAATTTTAGATATAAAATTATTATAAATTCTTAAAAATATTCTGAGAAGAATTTTTTCTACCAAAATACGTATCTCTTTTGCGAATCAGATCTTTATGATTTGCAGTTATACGCTTCTTAAAAGCCACACTTAAACTAAACGACGATTCCGTTTTTATTAAACGATGAGGCAAGATAAATCACTCTCTGTGATAATTCACAACGTAAGCCGTAAACGAGGTAATAAAGTTTTCTCGGTTTGTACAGGAGATCGGTCGGAAATTACATGTGAAAACATCTGATACGTGCAACTCGATCGCTCGGCGATTAAAGCCCGGCAAAATGCCGCGGAATCGGCGACCTCACTTTCGCTGGACTTCCTGATACAATGACGGATGTCTACATTCTATACGCGGGACTCGAAAGAACTAAGATACATTTCAAACAATGAGGAGGAGGAAAAAGATATATTTCGTTGCAAGTTATAGATTTCGATAATCTGTGCGAGGTAATAAGAGATTATCAATGAAACCTTTATAGAATTTCTCTCTCTTCCGTTTAATCTGCCTTATTTGATTCTTGATAAACGCAATATCGCGCAACGAACGTCTCTTCAATCCTAGTCTATTTCTTTTCCAGGCGGGATGTAGTCGCGACGAGCGAGGACGGGACGCGTTGCGGCCGCAGCCTCGTCGAGAGAGGTGTTGCTCGCGTTCGCGGATGTCAAAGAGGTCCGTTTAACAGCAAAGTGGAAAGTGAAGGTATATCCACCAGCGCACGTTGGCAATGACGTTGCGCTCGCGAACGCGTTGCGTTCCTTCGTTCTCTCAGGTGCAACGTTTCCTTCTATCGTCCGGACGCACGCACACGTGCGGTGACACGTGTGTGCGCTCTCTCGCGTATAGGTACGCCATATGCGCGTGAAACAAATCTTATGTAAACGCGAGTGAAACCGCCGACGTATATACCGAATTTATCGGCGCGTCCGAGTCGTCTCTCGCCTTCCCGGGATTTCTACGTTTTTCTTTCCTTTTGTTTTACTGCGGACTGATTGAAATATTTTGTATGTCCCATGGAAGATTTTTACCGAGGGATCTTTCAAGTGGATCAATTAGTCAAATCATAAATCTTTACAGAGAAATTCAATTTAATACTAAAATTATTTATTTTAAATATCAAAAACATCGTTGCTTAATACTTAAAATAAGTAATTAATATCTTCCAGTATTAAATAATATAATTTCTGTAAGGGAATCATGTCGGTGATTATTTCTATTCTTTAATTAGACGAGTATCGTTCATATATGCAGCACTTCTGTTTATTTCTGTGATAAATCAATACAAATATAGAATATCGCGACGTAAGAGCGAGCTGCTTGATATGCGATTATTTATCGGATCGTTACAATTACGTACTTCCTTTCTCGCGCGTAACGCTATCGATTAAAAGTAACGGCCACGAAAAGGTGCGCAAAGAGAGAAATAAGAAAAAGATACGCAACGCGCGGAGAACGTTTCGCGGGAGAAGGATACCGTCCGTCCGAAGGAAAAAAGGACAAAATTAACGTCGATGACGCTAGAACTGGTCAGACATAGTTCCTTAGAGGAATAACAAGACGACAGAAACCAGACTGTCGAGTCAGTGCATGCTTTAGGAATTCAATGTTGGACGATCGCCTTGGAATTTCGTAATTCTTCGAAAGCGAACTGTAAACGATCTCGGTATAATCAGTGGAACGCGGTACGATAGCACGCCCGAGCGTTGCAAAGGTGAGCGGCAAAAGGAACTCGGTAATTTTAATCGATAAAAATTCAATCTCGAAATTTCGCAATTTCCAGGAAACGAGGTAGAAGGATTTTCACTATTGACTTTTATTTTATCACGGAGTAGAGAGACGGTCGGAGAAAGAAGAGAGAAGAGTTTCGCGCGAGTCCACGACTTTGAACAATTTCTCCGATTTCCGGTCCTCCCACACGGACAGGAAACGCCGACGGAGAGAAAGGTGGTATATCGAAGATAGCGAGGGGCGCGCCTACCTGCGACGACGGTCAAGACGGCGCAGAGCAGCGCCGCTTCCTGGAGCCTCATCGTATCGTGCCGCGCGTGTTCGTTCCCGAATTCCCTCCGCGTGCTTCCCTCGTCCAGCTCCGTGCGAACCACCGCGACCACGGCGACGTATCGTCAGCCGACCGACCCGACCGAACGAACGAAACCGACCGACCGATTCACCGATCCACCGGGCTGATCCGCTACCGCGACACTGCCGGGGGTACACCGTCGTCGTCGCCGCCGCCGCCGCCGCCGCGGCACTTCGCGGCAACTGGCCGGCACAGGAATCAGTTCTCCAGCTCATTGGCTGACCACTTTCTACCGGAGCGGCGCGGCGGATCGTCGTTCGGGATAAAACCGAACGAGAAAAGCTGTCTCTCATATCGGACACGACACGCCGCAGCGCGTGAGAGATTCACGGCTCGCTCGCGGCCCGAACGTTTTGCCCTCGAGCCCTCTCCGCTCGTTTCGCTTTCAAACAGGGACGGATCGGCGCCGCTCCGCGACGATCTTTCCGCCGCCGCGGGAGTAGAGTCGGACAAATTGCGCCGCAACGCGACAATTATTCGAGCTGAAAAGACAATCGAAATGGAACGTCAGAGTTTTTGTGTAAAGCTATAATTTTTGCAGCAAGCTACAAACGCAATTGTTGATTGCAATATTTTTATTGGATACTGAAAGGAGACTTTATCTCGGAATTCGATATGTATAGCAACATATCCAGATAACATACATTATGTATGGCAACATATTGGCGAGAATATTATTAAATATAAATGCTAGATTTGCATTCTTAATTATAGCTTTTGGCAATTATAATTATATAATACTATTTATATAGACATTGTAGAAATATATAGTTAATCCTCGCCGAATTAAGCCATTCGGAAGCTCGTCGTTATCAATCCCGTAAGATTCGGAATCAGATATGATGTCCACCTTTTCTAGGATTTCAACGGCAGCGCCGCGAAGAGCCATAAATCGCTTCTCGACGAGGCGATTTAGGAACCGGTTGGAGGAATTCTCGCCAGCGCCCAGAGTGCCGGCTCACAGCTCGATTTTAGCAATCTGCGGTCCCTTTTTGCGTTTTTCCTTCTTCGCAGGTTTCTTCTTCTTCACGGGCTCCTCACGCTGACCGGCGTGCGCGGCGCTTCTGTACGGATTAAAATAGGCCGGATCGCGTTCCGTGATGTTCAGCTCCTGCTCGACCAGGCGAAACATCGTGATGGTCGATTTGTTCAGCAAATGCCGCGTCTGATTGACGAAATTCAGGGACCAGTGTAACGTGGAGTTCCATCCCGGCTGCGTCCTCAGTATCCTGTGAGTGATGTCCGGCAGATGCAGGATGATGTCGCCGAAGAGCGCGGTGTTCTCCAGGATGCTGGACAACGCTGCGGCAAACACAGTAAGTTAGGGAGAGACGTCCGGATGGATTTCGATTTGTTATCCTTATATAAAATCGTTAACATCTCTTACACAAATACTTTAATAATTTAATACTGTAGGCGCAAAATACTTAATTACTTATTTCGAGTATTAAAAACAGTACTGTTCGCTAGTGCTTTTAATACTCAAAATAAGTATGATTATTTGATTTTTCCGATATTAACTTTCTGTAAAAGATCTGCCGCCAATTTTTTAAATTAATTTTAAATAATTTCAAATTTTCATCGTAGCTAAATAATAAATTAACTTAATAAGCAAAGAGTTAACGGCGTTTGCCAACAGATCCAGGCAGAATTGCAGCAGAACAGCGTCAGCTGTATCCGTTGCGTGTATTAAACTCGTGTTCTGTCATAATCTGTTGGCAGATTGCCAGCAAAAACCGAGCAGTCTGTCATTTTGTAATCATTTAAATGGTTGCGAAATGCCAGATTTTACTTGGTTTCTGCACTCAATCCGCCGTCATATTCCATTAACAGAATTCTGTCGACATATATATTCTAATGACAAAATTTGTAACAGACACTTTACGAAATCTGTTTCCGCAACAGAGATTCGGCTATCTGGATAAATAATCGTACCGTCTTTGACATTGGTATCTTCTGGAAAGGAACCGTTTTGCGGTAGAAAACCGGCCTTCTCGAGGACACTCTTACTCGATTCGATGACCTCCACCACCTTCTCAGCCAGCACCGCGATCATTTTGTACAGACGCTCGTAATTGTCCATCTTTAGGAGAGTCTGCACAGCTTCTATGTGATCCTTTCGCCGTTGAGCAAATAGCTTCTTGACTGTTGCAAAAACAGTCGAGGTAATGAAGTAATAAGTTAAAGATAAAATACCGGATAAAATATTCAGAATAAATTAAGACAATTACGTAAAATATTGTTGACTAAATAGAATATATATATTGAAAATACTTGAGGTAAATACAGCCTTAGCTACAAGTATAAACTGATTTATTGCATTTTCTTAGAAAAGGCGGCATAAAAGCCAAAGGGGAATTAACAAATTTAAAAACTTAAATTGTTATGAAAATAAATATCATTTGTCAATAAAACTATTTTTTAATTTATTTTTCGTTAAACACAGAACGTTCACGTCAGTTTATATTTATGACTATAAGGCTGTATTTAAGATAAAATCTGTGAGACACGAAAGCGCATCGATAAAACTCGCGTCTTTTTTCAGCTGTACTTTTTTCACACTTTGCGTATTTGAAGCAACATGCAAAGCTACCGCTTTGGAAGAAGGTAGAAACCGTGTAGAAAGCGCAGCTGTAAATAACAGAGTTAATCGAACGCGAGGAAGGGAAAGAAATTATATAGGTTCGATATAGACGTACACAGCTCTTCGTCCAATTTCGATTTGGACTCGCCACCCGTTCGCGGCCCGCTCGCGGCTCGCTCGTCGGTTTCCCGCTGCGCATGCGCGAGTAATGTCAACACCGACATAGCCACGACGACGTAGAGCAAGGTGTGCGGGAATCGACTGAATCGACACGTCCACGGGCGGAGCATCGCGGGCGAAGTCACATCCAGCGAGCGACGACGTCGCCGGGACGGCGTTCGCCTCGCCGTGGCACCGTCGCGAGAGTGATAAACCGGCCCCCGGTACCGGATTGACATACGTCATTCGAACGCGGCCACGCCGCAGTTCCGCCACCGGCCGCACTGACGCCACCTGTCGGCGCATCGAGGAAGCCCCCTGCCCTGCCGACCCATCGACTCCACCGAGCTCCGTCCGGAGCCGTCCGCGGATCATCGAGATCAGTTATTGTCAATCGTATTACCTCGCCGGTATCTCTTACGTGTCGATCAGTCTCGATTAACCGCGAGATCGATCGGATAAATGCGGCGTCCTCATGGCTTCAGGTCGTCGTTGCCGATAACGAGTCGCGACCGCGAGTCGGCGAGCTGAGGAAAATACGCGCGCGCGTGTGTGTGTGCGTGCGTCGTGCTGTGTGTGCTGCATCGCGGAACGTGTCGCGCGCGGACGACGTGTCGATCGGCGGCACGCGCACGACGGCTCGTCCTCTTGATATGCCTGGAGCGCATCGCTCGCGGGATCGTCGACGTACGCTATATACTTCCTCCTAGCTCTCGTTAACGATTCGAATCTACGTCGGCGGGGAATATGGCGACGATGGACGGCGAGACGAAGCTCGACGTAAGTATCATCCGATTTATTATTTGTCAAACGTCATCGTGCCGCCCCGAACATCCGTTTGTTGGGACTCGCTGCGACGAATATACTACTCGGGGGGGGATACGATTTCGTTGATGTGAAACTCTGGTCTGGCGTACTTTACGTTCGGTGTTTTATATGTTTTATATGTTTATTATGTTCAACAGATGTACGACGATGTCGCGTACACTGTCGATCCTCAACACGTTGAGGGCGAGATGACAGTTGGCACGAAGCAGAGGTCGACTTTGGGAGAGCCGGAATTTAATACGCTGGATGAGCCCATCAGAGATACAATTGTGAGTAAATGCTCGTTTTTCCAGCAAGAGACACGGATGACACAGTGTAAAGCTTTGTGTCGCAACGAAATCAATCCAAGATCTCGAACGGAGACGGAATTAACAAATTATTTGAACAATTCGGCCAATTGACCAGTACGATTGGTCAATTCTTTCTCTGTACGGGATACTTGAAGCATTCAAGGTTTCAAGCATCGTAGACGTCAATTCACAGTGAATTATTTCATCCTTTAATATTGGCAAATAGCAAAGATAAAATGTTACACTGTTCCAATTGTGTCTCTTGCTAAAAGACTCACAGTCTTGAATTTTTTAATTATTTCTCCGAAATGATAACATTTATTTTAGATAATATATATTGACAGTGGCAAACTTTCATACTTGTAGAGGAATGATAAAGTTTAGAATAATAAATGAGACACAGAAATAATCTACGTCCGACTCAACTCCTTGCAGTCTTTCATACAAGTTTTTAATTACTTTACATAAACTTTGATTTTGATTTAATTGAATTGCCAACAAGAGTGGAACAACCTCAAAGAGAAAATATTTTAAACAAAGTCTTAAAGTATTTTTTAACTGAAAAAGAAAAGAATTAAATCAAAATCTATTTGATATAAATTATTATTCCTTTATAAGAAACTCCAAAAGAACTCCAGATTCCAGTAGAATTTCTTGTACGTATTTTTTAGTACATATCTGTATTGCTGTCTGTTACAGTTGAGGGACGTTCGAACGGTAGGCAAAAAGTTTTTCCATGTTTTATATCCTAAAGAGAAGAAAAGTCTACTGAAAGAATGTGAGTCTCTGAATGACAGAACTCTGTTAAGAAGGTGGCTGATCATTATATAATACGTTTATATATATTACAGGGGATCTATGGGGACCATTAATATTGTGTACTTTTATGGCAATGTAAGACATATTTTACATAGACATTATGAATATGTATGAAAACAATTGTATACATTAATTTATCATTGTTTCATTCAGGATATTACAAGGTTCCACTGATGTAGCAGATAACTCAAACGATGGAGGACCCGAATTTGCGGAAGTATTTGTTATCGTGTGGATTGGATCTATGGTTGTTACATTGAATTCGAAACTATTAGGTGGAAATATGTAAGTAAATGAACTGTGAATGTTGACTTATTAATCGATTTATAATTGAAATCGTTGTGAAATGACTTTAAGTGTATAACACATTAAAAAATTCAATTTTACAGATCTTTTTTCCAAAGCGTTTGTGTCCTGGGATATTGTCTATTACCGACTGCCATCGCACTAATTTTATGCAGAATTATACTGCTGATGCAGCAAAGCAATCTCCTATTTACCCTCAGGTTCGTGATCAGCATGATTGGATTCTTATGGGCAACGTATGGTAAGCATTATTCTAGTAAGATTACGTATATTCTTCAGAACAAATCATCTCCTAAGGAAACTGTATTGTATTAAAATTACATTAATATTTCAGCATCGATGGCATTCCTCGGCGACAGTCAGCCCGCAGGCAGAAAAGCGCTAGCGGTATATCCAATTTTCCTGTTCTACTTCGTCATATCGTGGCTAGTTATATCCCACACCACATAAAATGCGGACACAAATATTAATTTGCTACAAGACTGCACATTGCTCCGGCCTTCTGTGTAAATGCCAGGAGACGAAAGGGAAAAAAGAAACGAACGGAAGGAGACGCAACGTTTTTCGTACGTGGTATTTTCCAAGTTCTGCATTTGGACATATTCCGAATATCGTGCTTTTTTGTGAATAATACACGAGTATATAAGTAGGCAAGTATTTATTATCTTAGATTGTCATTCGATACGTCAATTATCAGACTTGTAATTATATTTAATCTCGCTAAATACACGCTACAATTGAGACAGATTTATTGCCGATACAAAAATATATTCTCTCTCCACGAATGAGAAAATTGTCAAATTGGTATATATTTGTACAGACTTGAGATAAGAAAAAAAGAGAAACGAAATAATACGAGCGATAATTGCTTGTCGTTGATTCTAGACTGCTGCGTCCGGATATCTCTTCCATAAATTTTTTAACGATCGTTACTTTTTTTTTACCAGATTCCGATTTTATTAATTGTAACGTTAAATTTTTAAACGGTGCAGAAATCTGAAGTATGATTTGTACCTTTTTGTATATTATGTACATAGAATTACGTTTAAACTATATGTTACAAATAAAATAATATAGAAATCAAACAATACTATGGAATGTAAGAAATTCTCGAGTTGTTTATTTCACGTATGTGAGAAGTATCGCTGCAGCTTCCGCAAAAGAGTCTTACTGTCGTGATGTGCGGGATATGCGTTCAATGACTTTTGCACCGCGATATAGCTCGTCTGCAGGTCCCCAACCTGTATGTGCATGCGAACGAGTCTGTAATGCACGCTCGGCATACGTCAAAATAAATTAAGAACAGTTACCTCGTAAGCTAAGTGCGCGCTGTTGAAGTGCGCCTCGTACACGTAACTGGCGATGTTAGCCGCCGCGTGGAAATACGTTCTCCCCGCGGTGACGTTCCCGTTGCGCATCTCTAACACGCCGAGATTGTTGTAGGCGAGAGCGTGCCTAGTATCGCTCGCGATGGCTAGCCTCAAACACTCCTCGGCCATTATGAGATCGCCCAGCGTCTGCAATCGCGTCCATCCATGTATAAATTATATTTCAAAACATAAATACGCAATAAGTTGTACATACGATAGCAATATGAGAGATGTTGTACCACACGTCAGCCACGTTCTCGTCGGTTCCGAGGCTCAATGCTCTCTCGAAGCACGATATAGTGTGATCGTATTGCTGAGCGTAGAAGCAACAGAGCCCGAGATTGTTGAACAACTCGGCGTTATGCACGCCCATCTGCAAGAGACGCCTGAAACATTTATTTTCGAAATTTACTATTTATTGTTATACATATAAATAAAGCGCTGAAGATATACAAACGAATCTACATGATCAGTTCGAAAAAATAAATTATAACAAAATAAGAAGACATACATGCGATCTTGTATCTTGGATATTTTAAGTTTTTTCTGTACATATATTACATTTAATATTATATACGTATACCTGTAATAACGCAAGGCTAGCTCCGGTTGATCGTTGTAAAAATGATGCATGCCTATACTGGCGATCGCCTCGGTGTGCGAAGCGTCCTCCTGCGCAATTATCTTGTAATACTTCATGGACATCGTCGCGTTGTTCAGACCCTCGAATATACGGCCCATCTCCGTGAGGATCGTGACGTCGTTCGCGAAGAACTCGAGGCCCCTCTTGCACGTGTCCAGCGCGGCCACCGGCTGATCGAGCCTGATGTAGACCCTGATCAGCCGCAAGACCGTCTCGACGCTCCTGTGATCCTTCAACGCCGACTTGAACTGCTGCTCCGCGTCTCTCACCAGGCCCAAGGTGTAATAACACTTGCCCAGCTGAACTTTCCACCACCAGTCTTTGTACTGACAGACCTGCGTCGCCTGGACGGCCAAGTCCAGCGCCTGTTAATATATTCAATTCAACCACACTTTTAAAATATTATTATAATACTTTTGTCAATATAACATCTACAAGATACTCACGTATCTCGCATCGTGTTCGTGATAATATATATATTCGAACAACGGTTTCGCTATGCTTTGCTGATTAGCGTATTTAGTTATGTTCAATCGCGACAGTTGGATGAAAGGCCCACCGGGCTCCGTCAACATCGACGCCGTGCCAAGCCTTGAAAGGCGAAGATCTCGTTTAATCTCTTCATGATTAAAATTAAGATACACGTACATAAGTCGCATGTTGTACGGTACCTAACGCTGCGGCCTGAGCTTGCTGTAATCGGCCTGGCAGTCATCGCTGTTCTCGGTGTTCTCAACGCCTGCTCAATCGATTGGGACATCGCTGCCTGAGTGGCAGGTCGTACTACCCCGGTAACGGGCCTGCCTTTAAGATGTCAATGCAGAATCTCGTTTTAGAATGCTTGAAAGATTAAAAATTGGAATTTTAAGGTGATAGCTCTCTGACAAACCGGACTGTGACTTAGGTCGCACTCCCTGACCAGTGTAACTGGTGCCAGGATTTTTCAAGGAAGTACCCGGCCTGGGCATCGTCGATATCGCGTAATTGTCTAACAGGGTCTCCGCGATTCCCTCCTCCTCACCCTCGATGTCGTCCACGTAAACTTGCAGCGTTAAGGCGCGCATTTTCAGGACCCACACGGCCTGGTGAACGAAGTCATATATGTCACAACTGATGCAAAAACAATTATTAACAAGGAGAAACAGTGTATATATTAATATATACCTGATCCAGCGGATTTTTCCTCAACAAATCCGTGCATATCGCGGCGCACTCTTCGTATTTTTGCCGGCTGAATAAGCTCAAAGCTTTAAATAATTCCATGTTCGACAAAGTTTGAATTTCCTCGAAATGGAATATCAGTCCCGTGGCATTGATCCGATTACTGTAGACTATACCTTTATACTATGCTTTGTGCAACCACCTGCCTTACGACTGTAGTACAAGCACAAGCGAAGTTATTGATTATTCCGAGTTACTTCTTTTGCCGGCGTAAAATGTAAAAGTATAGTAATCGATGCAGCAGTATGATTGGTATTTGTTCTTAATCGCGCGAAATGATACATATTCGACATATATAGCCTTTGATATTCCTTATTTTTAACGCAAACGTGAATGGATAAATTATCGAATGTAATCCTAATATGATTTTGATCTATTAAATTATTACAATTATCTTTTCTTTTATTAGAAAATTATAATTACTATGACATTTGTTGGTAAAAATCACTCGAGGTTAGTGGAAAAAAATAGCCGACTGTTATACTGACAATTTATAATTCTTACGTATTTATTACGTACACGATTGCAGCATACGAGATGCATTCGAACGATTTTTCGAGACGAAAAATATAGAAGAGCAATGCACCGAGCAGTCCTTGACAAGTTTACACAATGTTTTCTTAGTATGTATTTAAATGTCTTTCTCCCCCATTAATTTTATTTCACAAAAATGTCCTGAAAAATAGCGACTGGAACGCATTAATTTCAGTCAGCAGAGAACGGGATAATGAACTCTTCTCAACTGTACGATGCTTTCCAAGACATCCTCAAGATAAAAATGACGCAGGAGGAGTTCAAAGTATTTTTCAACAAAGTCAGTTTTAACGTCTTACATTTTTTTTTTCAAAATATATTTTCTCTACAAATTTCTTTCAAAATGTAATTATCAATTCCAGATGGACACGCGACTTGATAACATGGTAACGTGGGACGAATTCATTTCTTACTTGCTGATAGAATTTCGGGATATAGACATTAGTTTGAGATCGCAAATGCTGGAAATGCCATTAACGGATTTACCAAAATTGTTAAGGACGCGTCATCGCACCCCTGTGTGCAGAATTACGTTTTGTCCCGAAGTTTTGCCGGTATGCGTTAAACGATTAACGTTAAAGTTAGGATCCGTTACGTGAATGCTCAATCAACTTCGCTTTATTGCTTGAAGAAATTCATCGTAATTTATTTACCGATACTTTTTTATTTTCAATAACGTGTTGAAAAATTGATTTCCCTAATAGAAAAAGTTATAATTGATCGGCTTTTGCGTCAATCATTCTTTCGAAAACTACTTAGCTTCTGATCTGTGTGTTTCTTTGCGGTCGTCGCAGATTTATTATATCGCTACTTTTTAGGACAGAAGCACGAGTTTCCGTCAAGGTTGTTATTTGACTGTTAGCCGAGAGGGAGTGATTAATTACTGGTCGTTGGATCTCGAGTACGAGCGTAGTGTGCAATCCAAGAATCGTTAGTATTACATTAGCTCCTCTCTCGTCTTCGGCTAACACTTTCAATATTTTTTTTTTTACAGCGTATTTAAAGGTGCGATCTACAGTTATAACTGATATGATCGTGCTACCGGATGTTCAGATAGTGTGCACGAGTTCAACGGAATGTGATTTGAGATTTTACGACGTCTCGGCAAAAAAGTTTGATCTTCGCATACTGGTCGGTGATCCAGATTTCGTAAAATTGTGTCTTTTATCGTCCGTTACTAGCAAGTTTTAAATTTTAATTAATGATAAATGATATTTCTATAGATATCCAGTTTGGAAAATGCAATCGTTTGCATGCATTACTACTTCAGTACGAACACGAACGAGAATTCCTATATCGTCCTGGGTGATATGAGTGGATCTGTCGCAATCATGGCCTTTAATCCTACGGACAGAGGACCTTTCAAGCAAAATACTGCACACGACATGATCAGTCTGCGTTACAGCAACGTTATTAAAGTAATATAAAAGATCTCTCGAGCAGCCAAATTTGTCGAAGATAGGTCTTGCAAAGCATCTGTTAGAAATTTTATCGGCACAGTAATTTTTTAGAACGCACCCCGTATTAAACGGAAATGAATTAAAATATTTTTTTTTTAATTGAAATGGATTGGCCTTTATAGTAAACGCATTCATTTTCACGAAAGCAAATCCATTTCAATTAATTTTAATCCATTTAGCGTTTAGTGTGGGCAATATAATAAAATATGACAAAATCACTTGGCTAAAAGATTGCTGCAATTAGGGAGAGCTGCGAGGTTTCGACATCACAGAGTTCAAGAACATACATACAAACTGGACGAGCCAGGTGGCTTATTACGGAAGCTTACGAGCTTTCGTGTCGAGCAGCCAATGCTCCGATTGCTCCTTGTGCGTTTTCGACGCGAGCGGAGCGAGGACGCGGTACATATTCCAAGTTCCCATGGGAATATCCTGCTTCACGCTCTGCGACGGTATCCTCGAGCCTTTGCCACCGTGGATCAATTCACGGTCGATTGTTGAAACGTAAACGACTTTTTCAGAGAGTCGCGTACTGGTGACGGGTGGTCCAGACTGCGTGGTGCGCGTTTGGAATCCGTTTTTCCCCGGAAAGGCAAACGCCGTTCTGTCGGGGCACCGCTCGACCATCTGCGCCCTTGTCGTGATAGACGCCGGCGAGCGGATTTATTCCCTGTCGAAAGACAGATGCGTAAAAGTGTGGGACGTCCCGTCTTTTAGCTGCATTCAGGTTTAGGACGTTACGGATACGATAATAGGCGTCTCTTCTTTCTGCGAAAACTTATTTCGCTTATACGTCTATAATTTTTAAGAGATTTATCTTTTAATAAATATAATTGAAGATACGCGTATATTTTTCGTACAACTGCAGACGTACAACCGATTGCCGCACGAGCTGAGTGAATACACTCCTATGACCATAGTGTTCAACACGCTGACCCGTACGATGATTATTGCCAGCATGATGATAGCCATCCTCGTTTGCGAGCACGTAATTAACGAGGAATCCTCGGACGGCTACACGCATACCAAGGGTGTCAGTTGCGTGCTCTATAATCAGCTCTTCGGTGTGGTGACTTTCTCTTTTATCTGAAAATCGTTGATAAAATTATTACATTTTTTATTTTAAATTATTAAATCATTTGACTTTTAAATTACTAAATCAATAAAATGAATTGTTTAATGAAACGATCGTATTTTTTGTTAATCTACCGGTGTCCAGATTGTTTCCACGGGACTGGATTCGTGCATCATCGTATGGGATCCGTGGCGCGGACGCCGTTTACGTTTGATATCGCACGCTCACAGTATTATACAATACGGGCAACACGTCGACATCGAGATCACGGCGGCTTGCTTCGATAATTCGGAGCAATTTGTAATAACCGGCGCTAGAGACGGCTCAATGAAAATGTGGAACTACAATCTCGGCGTCTGCGTACGCAATATAATGGTCGATTATCAATGGTACAACGGATGTTGTAAACAGCTGCTTTTTTTCTTATAAATTATGTGACATTTCATTAAATTACAAAAAATACTGTAATCAGAAAACTGAATTTTTAAGGAATTATTTATATAATAATTTTCTTCCCAAAAGTTGTTTGCATGTCACATAATTATAATTAGAAACAAAATGAGAAACATGAATTAGAAATGTTTTTTTTATATTACTGGTAAAATAGTATCGAGACATAAGCTTAAATATCCAACGCGATTACAACTATTCATCGATATCGTGAACGATATAATAAATTTCATATGGTTATTGTTTTTCTGTAGCGAAATAACGAACGTCTTCTGGTACGAAAATCGAATTCTGTGTTGCGGCTGGAATAAACGCGTAACAGAATTCGCAGCTTTCGAGTCTGACGTATGCAAGAAGAATTGGACGACCAGTCACACCGACGACATTCTGTGCTCGGCTGCAAAACTGCCGCAGCTGGTAGCTACCGGAACGTACAACGGAGAACTGATTCTCTGGAGGCTCGAAACGGGCCAGCCTTTCAGAAAGTACCAAGTGACCGATGTTAGTCAAAGGTGACGTCAATTTGGTATTTTGTCACGAGTAAAAGTTGACACACGGCAAACGATGGCAAACGTGCAATCGAAGGCTAATTTGATTTGATTTAGGTACACGAGAAAGACGGACGCGCAGAAAGAGTCCGGAAAATCGGATGAGATCGGCAGATCCTTGAATCAGCAAATTGAGTAAATTATAACACGCTTACAGTCACGGAAGAAAGTGTTTCTCTTGTCTCTAAATCGGATTCTACGTGAAACAGAAAATTGACTCCGTGTGACCATCAAGAGTCGGCGTTGAACATCGTTCGCGTGATCGCGGTACGCGCGATGATCTTTCTAACCGCGCGGGAAGCGAAACCGGACGTCGGCACGCTGCTGATCGCCATCGATTCCGGCCTGGTGCAAGTGTGGACGCATCATCCCGCGGCGGGATTTTTAGGCGCGTTCTCGGTCATCCACACCGTCGGCGACTGCGCCACGTCTCTGGCTACCGATCCTGAAAATCAATTTCTCGTAACAGGTTTCGAAACTCTCTAAAGAAGTTCGATCGAAGGCAGCCTTAACTTTTCGCCGTTAAATTATCAGAATTTTCTTTTTTCGAATGTCTCCGCAATTTTATTTTGTTCCTGAAAACCTTCCCTCGAAGGTCACAGCGTGGGGTACATGAAAGTTTGGCTCCTCTCCAACTACATGCTACCAAATCCGCCGAAGGTGTGCATGCCGCTGCTAAGATTGGAATTTCCATTCTTGTGGAAAGACAAGATAGACGGAAGGGCGAAGAGAGCGGTGCGAAATCAAACGTTGCCGCTGCTGCTGTCGTCCGTGCGCGGTCACACGCGAGGAATTACCTCTCTTCAGATCATTTCTAGCGCGCGAATAATAATCAGGTAATAAACACGGGCTGCTTTCCGTTTCACACGCATGATGTAACACGTTATCCTTGTTGTTTATCAAACAAGGGTAAAAGGATAAATCATGCGTATCACGCGTGAAACGGAACGCAGCCACGATCACTGCGTGGGCATCGACGCAGGCGCAATTGTACTTTACCAGTAAAGATATAAAATAAATAGCGGCAGTGCGGATCGCACAGTACGTTTGTGGAGTTTCGGAGGTCGTTACATATCGACGCTGGGCACGTTTAGAGACTGGATCCCGATTCTGCCCACGGTGCCCGTGCAGAAGTACTTCGAGGATTATAAAATTCCAGCGGACATCAAGGGATCCGCCAGTTCCACCACTTTGAAGGTACGTTCGAAGAAGAATGTTACACGGTAAACGGCAATGTATATACCTTTGCGATGACACGAAGGTACTTCACGGTGGCATGAGGCGAATACCGACGGAGATCGAGGAGGAGGAGATGGATATGCCGAAAGAAGTTCTCGAAGAGGAGCGACACATGTTGTACGGGAAGGAATTGGACATTGTTGCGCTCACGACTTATTACGAGTCACAGCTGCCTGAAAGAACGTATCAGAAACATCTGCGATTAGACAATACCTTGCCATACGTGAGTACACGCACATATACATGTTTTATATTAAAATATAATTCGTAAAAAATATTTCGTAACATTACACGAGTACATATCAGAAACAATAAAGAAAATTATGTATTCATTCATTATACTTCGTTATATAAGACAATTTGAGCTTGTAAAAATCAATTTTATCAATTCTTGTAGATACCGATTTACACGCATTTACCAACATACTCTGTGAATCCTATCGAGATGCAGAAAACACTTGGACAGAAAACGGAACTTGCGTATAAATTTTTGTTTTTACTTGAAATCATTAAAAAAATATCACACACGGAGTTCGGTCAGTGTTTTGTAAAAATATTTATAATTACAGGAAAAATCTATATTCGAAAAGAGCAATGAAACCACTGCACTCCTCCGCAATGGAAACACCCAATTAGAGCACTTCCACGAGATGAAATCTACCGCAATGTTGAATTCTCCATGAACTGAAACTTATAAAATTCTGGCGAAAAAAATGTTTGCAATAACAATATATATTTTACACATTATATAATTGTATATATAAATCGAAATTGGATATTTAGATTACTCTCCGATTAGTGAAACTCGTATTCATTAACAATTATTTTTATTTATTTTTTTATCTAATTATTTATTAACTAAATCTAATTACATACATGACGATGTATAAATAAGTAAAGAAAATTTTAAGCATTGTCAATTTACGTAAAAATACTTACGAACATACATTATTGTTATTCTGCGAACATTGGGATATAACAATAAACAATGAAGTGTAACGTTTAAGATAAATCGGTATTTAAAGTTGAAAAAAATAGGGTGTTTATCGAATTTAAAATACGATTTATCTTAAACGTTACATTTCATTATCGGCTAATAGCATATGCGTACAAATTACTTACACCTAATGATCCGATTTCCACACTCAAATATTTCTATGTGACATGCATTCCTTTTTTAGTTTTCATGACAATTTCGGTACGGCGAACTCAGTTTCCATCATAGAAATACGCGGCGGCGTTTTCCAGATTGCACTGGACGTACGTTTCAATCGACTTCTATCTATACCGTGAAACAATTCGGTCAGATCTGGCGTGCACTTACGAGTATCGAAGAACTTGTAAACTATTGCCTCGGGAATGTATTGTTGCATCGCAAGTTGCGTTTTGCGGACGTGCGCTGTAATTAAAAAAAAAAAAAATGTACACATACACATATTTCTTTTTCGTTCGATTTTAACGATAATTTAAGAAATGTCGAAAAGAAAATACACGTACTCTGCGCCCAATGCGGTATCTCGTGTTTCGGTCTGCTTTCGTCATCCGATTCGTCATCGTCAGGTTCACTATCTAACACATAATTCACATCCGCGGCACCGCCACCTTGGTGCTTATTATTAACAGCCTGTTGTTGCTTGAGCTGCAAAAAATCAAGTGAACGATCGGTCAATTGTACGAGTGCAAATATTCCTCTACTCGTGTTATTCTCTTGCAGGGCATAAAGAACATAACTCACTTTAGCGGCTTGAACGGCAAGCAACTGATTTTTCTGTTTCAACGCCTCGGCGGCCCTCGCTTCCGCCTCCTTACGCCTCTCGGCTTCCTGCTCCCGACGTCTCTGCTCGGCGAGCAAACGTTCCGTCTCCTCTTGTTCCTGCAACCTCTGCAACCGCTGTTGCTCCTCCAGCTTGCGGCGCTCCTCCTTCTCCTGCGCACGTTGCAACAAGGCGGCGCGCTTCTTCTCCTGCTCCTCGCGTTGCTTCTCCTGAAGCAGGAGGCACATCTTCGCCTTCTCCTCCCTCTCTTTCTCGGCCTTCTGCCGTTTCTCCAATTCTTGCTTCTCCTTAGCCTCCCTCGCTAATCTATTCTTGAGTTCCTTCTCTTGCCGCTTCCTGTGTGCACAAAGTACATGTGAGATATTTGTGCTCCGACAATTACTCATCTCTTTTATATTATGAAATTTTTACGTACCTCCTCTTCTCCTCCGTCTGCAATCTCAAGGCATCCTCTCTCTTTTTCCTCGCATCATCCTCGTACCGCATCTTTTCCTCCAACTTCTCCGCCGAATTGGTTTTAGTTATACTTTTTGGGGGTTGAATGAAAGACTCCACGCCGGTAACGATATTCGTGCGCGAGCCGGTCAAAGTTTTCGAATACTAAAATTAAAGTGTGTGTGTGTGTGCAAATAGACACGTCGTAATGTGATTCATAGTGTGTAGAATAAAATTTTGTATTAAAATCTCACGTTCGGAAGATTTGAAGGGGTCTGAAGACGATTTATGGATAATGTAGGCTGCAATTTTATCTTGCTCAGAGGCGTCGTTTTCAACTGCTGCTTTATAGTTGGTTTATCAGTCTGGACTAGAAGTTTATTAATTCGCTCAGGCAGTCCTTGTTCCTTGTTCTGAAAGAGAAAGTTCAGTTCATTGTTAACGTAATGTAATAGTGCAAAAGAAAATAGAAACGGAAATAATAATTGTAGACTGACCGTGAATTCTTTTACCTCTTTAAACTCGTCATTGCCCTTATTCTGCCTCGCCAACGAGATCTTCTTGGCTTTCGCGATCGACTTACGGGCTAATATCTGCGCGACATTCCTCTCCTCGTTCCTCGTCTCCGTCTCCGCGTTCGCCATTGCACGAGTTTTCGTTCTAGTCATTCTAGGCGGGTTGTCCACGTCGACCGGCTTCGGGCTGTGTATAATCGCTTGCTGCTCAAACGCCTCGACCCGCTTCTTCACCGATTCCTTCGCGTAAGGACTGAACAACGCGTTCGATTTGTACGCGGCTTTACTGCCTTGCGCTTTACCTCCTTGCGCGACCGCGCCCGTGGGGCGCGTTTTCGTTACCGGCGTAGTAGGGATTTCATCCTCGCTGGACGTGGTCAGCACGTTTTTCTTCTTATTAGCCTGCTTCCTACCAAGTTGCTTCTTCGGCTTCCTCTTTACATCGGGCGACGATTCATCGTCCGTAATCAAGCCATTGCAATCATCGTACTGCGCGGATTCTTTGTACGGTTGCGCATTGTCGTGCGGCGTTTTCTCGGGATTGTTTTCCCTTTCCTTCGACCGCTTGCCGCTACTTGTCGCGCTCGCCGCCCTCTGGATCACCACCGTCTCGTTTAATCTCGGTTGCTGGTTCGGCAAACGCTCCAGCACTACCGTGGCGTTCAAGGGCATAACGGGACTCTGCTTCATGGTCGAATTCATAATGGGTACGGGCTTCCCGATCGCGTCTTCGTACACGGACGGTTCCTCGGTGTCGTCCGCGCCACTGGGCGCGACATTGGCCTCATGCGCTTTATTCGCCTCCCTACTCTGAGAACTCTTGGAGCTCGTTCTACTGGATCGTCGTAGAACGGGCGACTCGAACTTGTCGTCATCATCGGGCTTTTCGATCTCCTTAGCCCCTTCAACGGGCACCGTGAGCTGAGAGACCTGCTTCTTCCTCGTTACTTTCTTCACGGTTCCTTTCGCCTCCGTTAGATTCTCTTCTATTTTACTGTACTTGGGACCCCTCTCGTTGTCACCCTCATCGGAACTGCTCACCGGGGACTTTTTCCTCTTAAGCTGGCTGTCTCTCTTTGCCTAACATTTATAAAATCATACATCATCAGTACAATAATAAATATAATCCTATAATTTGCAGTCAATTTAACAGATCTGGTGTCTGGATCACATTAAAAACTTTTTACCTCGATTTCGACAAACTTCAAATACATATCCATTTAAAGTACACATGTGTTAAAACATAATGAATATACACCAAAACATTTCCATATACTATACAATTTAATGTATTAATTTTTTTATTCTCAACTAGAAAAATGTAAAAAGATAAGTTAAACAGAGATTAAAATGAATCTACATTAGTGAAAGTAGACAGCTATTTCGGTACAATTACAAAGAACAGACCTAGACTGTGTTGGCTTTCGCGCTTACAGTGCTCACAACATCATTTCATCCTTGTTTACCAAATGTTAAACAAGGACAAATGATGCTTATAAGCGCTGTAAGCGCCAAACCCTAACACAGCCCTATTGCTACAAAGATGACATAGGAAACCACCGTCGCTCACTTTCTTTGCAGAATCATTCAGGGCCGAGCTTTGCTTCTTGATGTTGTCCACCGCTCTCTTGGACGCTTGCCTACGGGTTCTACTGGCCCTACCGCCCGCTTCCTCGCTCTCCTTACGCTCCACCTCGTTGACAGACTGCAAGGAGCTCGCCGGCGAGATGTTACCCTGCTCCAACACCTCGTCCTCCGGTATCGTCTCAATACGCTGGACCGCCTTCCGCCGCAGCAGCTTCGGCGTCTTGGCGACGAGCGGGCCGGACGACGGTTGTGACAACTGCGCGAACAGCTCGCGCACGTAGGTCAGGCTCTCCTCGAGGTTCTCGGCGAGACGCTTCGACATCTCCACGCGACGATCGTGGATGTACTGCAGATCCTTCCGAATGATGTCCCGGATCTCTTCCTTCGAACGGGCGTTCATGATGATGGGCGGGATTTGTTTCTGCATGAAGGGTCCGACGTTTCCGCCGCAAAGTCAAGCTCGGACACGCACGCGTGTCGGTTTGTAATTTCTATATTCTGGACGACGACGCGAATCACAGGTGAATCACATTACGAACTATGACATGATCGTTGCCGGATAGGCGCCTAATTACTCACGCGACACGAAAACTAATAACACGGAATTAGGCTAAGGACCGTGGTCACCATCAGCGGTCACCGACCGCCGGTTGCTCCTTGGCGGCACTTTGGCGGGATCATCGAGACAAGTCAGGACAGGGACCACCAGCCGGGTGCCGCCGCCGCCGCAACGTCTTTTCCGTTTGATTTGAACCGTTGATCGTTAGCGACATCTGTACCCGCCATCCATGTCCGCCCTGCGTTCGCGAACGCAGCGTTGTCGCGCCTCCCTTTCCGCCGGGAAGCGCGCAGACGGAAATTCAACTAGAAATAATAAATCACTAAATTTAAACAGTTCAAAATTTCCGCAATATAAATTAAGAAAGAAAAGTGCTCGCCAAAAAATTATGATATATAAAACTACATATTTAAATTCTCGCAGTGAAAGAACAAGACAAGTTAGATCCTGTACTTTTATTTTGTTACATCTCTTTACAAACGTTAATCGCTCTTATTTACATTTTTTTTTTAGTGTGTGTAAACAGCACCTTTTTTTAATTTAATTTGTATCACATTTAAATTGTTGTCATCGACAATACAGCCATCGAAAAATACACGAAAATGGAGAACAAATATTTAACACACAAAAATGGAATTATATATACATCTATATATACAGAGTATTTGGTTTAAGCGTTACACCCAGTTATTTTTGTGATAGTTATAAACATTTTTAATAAAAGTTACTTTGTTTAAAGATCTGTATAATGACTTACTAAATGAGTTTTGAGTTATTTTTTAATAAATATTTTGATTGATATATTTTGATTTTTTACTTATATTTAAAAGTGATACAAGTGACACTATTTCATTACCAAAAATCACATTTTTTAATTGATCATAAGATACTCCTTAGAAAACCGCAATAAAGTAGTAATATATTTAATTTAAAAAGGTAAAATTGTTATTAATACATAAAAAAAATGTTAAACCTTTGTTTAAGTCATCATATAGACTTCTTAAATAATTTTTGATAAATTTTTAAACTATTATTAAAAAATAACAATATATAAACCAAACACACTGTATATAACAAATAATATATTATACATATAAATATATATATAGATCGATTATGATATAATTTATAATCACATATATATGCACTGATACGAATAAATTTTGTTGTATATCCACATATTAAACCATGGAATCAACTTTTTAAATTTATAATATCAACGTTTCTCAACGTTGTAATGTGCAGCACAAATTTTTTAAATTGGCAGTGCATAATATACACATCTAATAATCACTTGGTCTTTCTCTGAATTTTAATTTAAATGCGAATTATCGACCCTAATTTCTCATTAAATGTATCGAGCTGATTGCTTCTAAAATCACATTTTGATTCTTGATTGCTTAATATTAAATATATCCTCAGAAAAGTAGATCAATCTGTGAAATAGATTTTTCTTTTTTACAATAAAGTGCAGTTGCAAAAGATTTATCACATTATATTCTTACGAATGGAACAATCCTCGCTTTGTATTCGAAATTCTACATGCAAATTCCAAATCGTTAAAGTCATTAAACTTTGCCTCTTCCTCAAATATCATTTTACTCTCTGCTTCTCGTGCACTTGTTAGAATTTTTAGCAGGACATTGACCTCGTTGAGCAAATATCTCAAGAACCTCGTCTTCAAAGTTGGGATCGAGCAAAATATCTATTCCCTTCGTTCCATTCATCAAATACTTTTGAAACACGGTCCTAGCCGCTTCCCATATTGAACAATTCTGTTGCAGCATATTGACCAGAGGTAGCACCGACGGGAACAATAACGACAGATTACTAGAAAATAAAATGCAAAATGCATAAAACAAAATATAACGTTTACATAAGCAAATCGTGGAATGTATAATTTACTCACGTAAAAACGGGGATAACCAAGTTGGTGATGAATTGTATTTGGAGATCAGGAATCGACGCACGTTCCCTGTCCATCATTTCGACAGGCGGTCTGCCCATGCTTTTCTCTAGATCCCCTTGCGCGAAGAATTCGTCAAATATTTGCTCCTGATGACGGAAAAATTTTAAAATTTTATTTATAGCCATTAACAGACTTGTAAGCCGAACGTTGAAGTCGTGAGAAATTTACCGCTGTTTTCTTCGAAATTTTCCAATCTTTGGTCTGATCACTGAGATCGCAACAAGTCATGAGCATTCCGAATAATAGCTTCCGTTGTTTCGGATCGTCTTTGTTGTATCCGCTATGAATCATTGCCTCTTGGTTCTTTATGCTACGAAAGTGAATGGCTAAGTCAGTCGCAAGTATATTGCTCCTGAGCCAATCCAAAGCTTCGCTGTACTCATTGCTACCCAAACTTTCAAATATGTTGCAGCCCTCGGTGTTTAGAATGCACATCGTTTGCGCAAGATGATGTCTCTGTCAAACAAAGAGAAATAGAACCAAATAGAAGTAAATCGACATTCGATTGATGTCCATTTCCATGTACATTAACTTTAACTCGTTATTTAACGTGCTTTTTTCCTTTTCTAGTTTTAAAAATTGAAAGAAAAAAAGATAAAGAGTAAGTGTTGACGAGAATAAGTGTAAATCGTCGAGTTTGAAATTAATCTGCATCGATAAAAATGGACATAAAACAAATCAATTTTTTAAAGTAACAATATTCTAATTTTACCTCCATAACAGATCCCTCCGAACTGTAAAGACTTGCCAGCACGGTGTCGCACTCGATTTGAAACGAATTATTAGTTCCTCTGTGATCAATGTCGTGACATAAGCATGATACAAGGAACACCAGAGCTTGCAAAGACGTCATGTACTTTTCCTCAAGCAGCTGCATATTCTTTACCAAAAGATACGCAAAGTGCGCCACGGAAAATGCGTGTGTCCAATTGTGATAAGGTGCGTCTCTGTAGCTTTTCTTGACATACAATATAAATCTAAGGAATGTTACGTTTTATATTACAATAGAAACTTATTGAATCACATTTTTTTTTTGTATCTCGCAGTTAATTACCTTGCGAGTGTCGGCATTTTAATTTTCCAGTGATTTAAGAAAGCCAGGTCGGTAAACATTTTAATAGTGTAACAAGGTATGTGTTTGTAAGGTACGTTTCTCGGGCTGAAGTGGAACTTGCTGAAATCTTTAATGTTGTGATCGTCCCTGCAATTCAACAATGCCTGCACGGCAGATTCTTCCACCTACAAATAAAGTCTGTACTGTACACGTAATCCATATAGACCGATTACAAAGTGTATTATTAATCTAAATAAATGCTCACCTTCATGTGATACATCATTATCTCGTTACTAAGGTTGTTTCGGGCTTGAGCGTCCTGCATTTTCTTGTAAACGATACTATGCACTATTGATATACCGCAGTACATACTAAACGCCGTCGCGATCTGCTCGTCGAAGGCGTCGAAGTATAAACCGTTTATTTTATTGCACAATTGAGCCACTCCTGAAACAAGAACACGATTATAAAATATAATAACGATCTACAATCTACATCTTCAGATTTTTATTACAATTTACTTCAATTGCAATATTCCCGCGGTATAACGTTGAATATATGTTTAATTTACCAACGATGCCTTTCTCGTCGCGTATTGGGAAGCACAAAATGTTTCTAGTCTTAAACCCTGTTGCCTCGTCGATCCCACGATAAAAAAGGGGATGGCTGTAAGCGTCTCGAATATTGAGTAATTTACCGGTAGTCGCGACGTGACCAGCTATACCTTGTCCAATGGGTATTCTCATCTCGCTCAGACTCTGGGAACGTTTAAAAAGAACACGAGGTTATTTATAAAAAAAATCGATGTTATTTACATGCGAAATTAACTGTACAAGTTACCTACTTCTCCCGTGGAAAGACCGTCGAATACTTTAGCAACCAAGTCCTGCTGATCGGGATCCAAAAAGAATAAGGAACATCTCTCTGCGTTCGTCAGTTTTCTGACCTCTGCCATAATCTCGCGCAAGAGATCAGGGAAGTCTCCTGAATTTGGATTGAAAGATAAATAAAAGATGGCAGAGATCGGCTATATTATACTCAAAATTAGTCGCCATACCCAAATACGTGAAGAGCTTCCTAGAAACGGCTAATAAATCTTGACATTGCTGTCTCACACGGGTTTCCTCGTAGCAGCGTAACGAACCGAGCAAGTATCCAAGACAAAACCTACAGTATTTCACATTTATGCATTCTATTCAATTGAAATGTTTCCATTGACAATAGCAATTGTAATACAGCCTTGACCCAAGTATAAAACACCTCCACAAACGTTCTATATGCAACATCTAATTTAAACACAACTATATGTAACGTCTAATTTAAACAAAACAATTGACATTTTCTAATAAAAAGTAATATTTATTTGTGTAACAATTTTTAATATTTTGTTAGTCCTTTAATTTTTATTATCAACTTTTCCAAGTAAATGTAAATAATTGAAGGCGCTTTATACCTATGGACAAGCTGTATATTGCAATTGCATTTGTATAATACTACCTAAAGCATTCTTCAACTATTTCTGTGCAAGCATGCCTAGCCTCATCTCCATCCACATAATCTACCAGGCACACGAGCAAAGCTGTATAATGCTTGAAAGGGTGCTGTATCGGGATCGTTAAGAGGGACTGCGGCGTTGTGGCTGTTATTCTATTAATGTATCTCAATAGCTCACTATCGAGTTTCGCAACGCTCAGGGCTAATGATGTCTTATTTATCACAGCCTCGTACAAAACATTGTTTGGTATCTGCAAAACAAATTTTTGTCCTGTATATTCAGGAAGTACATCATGCAAAAAATGTGCTTTCTCTTTTCTCAAACGCACATCAATCCCTAAAAGTATATGATGAGGTGTCTGTAAATGTAAATTCAAGAAAGAGAGATGCAGCAGTGATGGTTCTCATCAGAATTCTTATCAGATGATCGATTACATTATTGAGATTACATTACAAGGAAAAATCGAATCTATAATCTTATCACAAGTGGCTACAAGCACACACGGTTTGATAAAGTTTTATTTGATAAGTTTAATGACCAGTTGCGTACATTGATAACAATAAAGTGTGACACACAACAAAGTGCCTGAGACTTTCTAAGTGCCACAAATAAACACTGAGGAAGATAAATATCTTCTTGTTGGATAATCTTATGATCGCTCAATTAAAATTACTGTGAGCCATCTGATGTTTCTTTTATCATTCTTTTTTATTTCATAAAAATAAAATAAAATAAAAATCTCTAACAGAGACACTTACGAGAAATCTCAATTCTCTATCCAGAATTTCATCGCCCATCACATGAATAACCATTTCCTCAGATTCTACCAAGACTGATATGAGAAAGACTAGCTTTGCGTTTGTCGCGTCCTGAACCTGTAAAACAAATAAAATTGGAAAAAACAATAAAAAATGGAAAGATATTCACTGTTGTCTATTTCTATTAATATATATTAATTTTAGTTTATTAATATTAATATTAATTTCAGTTCAATTTTTAATTTTTTTCTAATTTTTCATAAGTTGACTATTAAACCAAAATTAATTTACAAACAAGACAAAAGAAATGGAGATGTATCGTAAGGAAAAAAAGAAAAAAAAAGAGAGGACCGAGCCAGCCGGTGTTCCGTCATCTGATGTCCGACCTAGCAGACGACCACGATCGCTCGCGTCACCATTGGTCAACTTTGGCGCCCAGGTCTCGCGCGTGCCGATCGATCGGGGATCGCAGCGCGAGAAGACTGGCTCATCGGGAGCCGGGGGGGAGCTCGTGTTTCATTCGTATACGCACGTATCTGTTCAGCCGCCGCTGCACCTCCGTGTACGGCAGGTCGCACAGCTGCTCGATCAGCGCGAGGATCCTCGTCGGATCGGTGACCGGGCGCGAGCCCATCTCGCACGACGATCGCGAGTCGCGTCTTCCGCTGTCGCTCGCCCGCGGATCATTTCAGGACAGGACGCGGCGCGACGCCGTCGCGGAGCGGTCCATCGGCGACGTCGATCGCCTCGTCACGATTCTCCACGCGGATTGACATCCAATCGCCCGCGAAAATCGCTGAAAAACCTTCCTCGGGGGGGGAAACTCAGGAGTGCGATTCCGGTCGTGCGATCGATATATACCGCGGCCGATATCGCGATCGGTACGCGACAACGAGGGGAAAACGCGATTAACGCGGAAAGGCGATCAATGAGGACGAGCACCGCGCGTCACGGCAGTCACCTGTCACCGCCAGCGCACTGCCAGCGAGCGGGCGGGAATTGCGCGCGGTCGCGTCGCGATCTTCTCTTTTGTTATAAATAATTCCGGTACGTTCGAAAGTCCTTCCCGATCGGCGCGCGAATAGATCGCCGTTCTTCGATGTCCTGCGGAACGCGCGTTCCTGGACAAGTTTCGCTGATCATTGATGCCATAACTGCGCTCCGAAACTCACTGCGAGCAGCAGAGTTCCAAAGTGGAGCCGGCTTTGGTTAGATTGGCAACACTTTTGAACCGTCCCGAGTGCCCTGACAGTTTGTTTCAAAACAGTTTGCAAGGGAGAACGATCGAAGATGTTTCTCGATAAGATGAATTGCAGCTTGCTGTAAATAAAATTCTTTTGACGTTTCTAGCGGGACAAGTGTACGTTGAGGATATATCAGGATTAGAAACAATAATAAGAGGTTACATTTCGATTAGTCGGCGAGAGGGAAGTGACATTTGTTGCTACGATCGTGGGATTCGAATGTTCATTACTGAGAAACAGTCGTTGTTATTTATTACGTGTACACAGTTGCAATGTCACGTAACAATGTGACGGTCATTCGCGCGGCGGCGAACGACCAGCTGATCGTGCGATTTAGCCAGTCACAACGGAGCCGTGAGGTTACGTGTCATGACCGTTGCGAAGATGTGACTTCGAACCCTTTTATACTATAATAATCGATGTACAAATCGCGCGAATCGTACGGCGTGCCCGGTCGATTGTGCGTCTCGCGAGGATGAGCGGGGGCGCGGAGTACAATGTTGCCGCCAGGTACCGGACGGTCAGGAAGCACCTGGACAACCTGGGGTACAAGCAGGCGCTGTCGCTGGACGCTCTGCCTCTGATAGAGGCCCTGCTGGCCGATCTCATTCAGACTACAGACAGCCTTAAACATTTCAAAACTGTTGCTCAGGAGAACATCGAGGTACGCCGTTAAAAAAAAAAAAAAGAGTTTGATTCGTGAAATGTTCAGTTCCCTCTGGCTTTCTGGGCCTGTTCTTTTCTATTGAATTTGTATGGTTTATCTTTCCTTTGTTTTTCAACACGTTGGAGAAAAAAGGAGAAAACTTTTAAATAAAAATTAAATTTCAATACATCCCTCCTCTATTATAGTAAACTCACAACTTATTACTCACTATTACATTTTTTTTGAATTATTAAAATCTTTTTCATGTAAAAGAATTATTTTTATTAAACTGAAATCTATTACTTAACCCTCTCAATCAAAACTCCGCTCCTTCCCCCTGAATGGTGCAAAAAGTTAAGTTAAAAAGAACAGACCGTTTTTTGTGAAGAGAAACATTTGAATGCAGTTTTCAATTTGTCTAACTTCAAGCAAGAGCTAATACAGTCAAAAGTCAAGAGAATGATCTCTTATGGTCTCTAACGTCACTGACGAATCACGCGATTACCGTAAATTGTACCGTTCAATAATTTTGATAAAGTGAAAAACGTATTCTTGTAATTTTTATGATCTAATTTGACGGCAGGCATGCGGCCAGTTGCAATTGACAGTTGACCCCTACAAGTGTGATAATGCGAGATTGGTGCGGGAGTGCAACCAGCTTCACTCGGATTTGATAGAAACTAAGGAGGCGCATCAGAAGCAAGTCAAGGATCTCAAGAGGCAGATACACAAGTTAGAATGTGAGTGCAACGACCTGCAATTGGCGTCGTCGCGAAACATACATAAGATAAAGGAGCTGGAGGCGGAGTCGGCCACCAAGTCTAAGAAGATATTGGAGCTTCAGGGCAAATGTCTGAAGCCGACCGTTATTAATGTTGGTCTTGGTAGGTTATTTTATTGTTTTGCTATCGTGAATGTCGAAGCATCGTTAATCAATCTTTAGTTTTTAAATCATACAGTATGTATCTTTACGAAATCTTTTACAGCCGCTAAGAAACGTCCCTGCTTTCCTCTTCGAAGACCAGCCTTGGAGGCCGAGCCGATGCCGAGGGCAAAGAGCAGCGGCTCGCTGCCAAGATTAAGTAACGTGGAGCCCAAGATAGTAGATATAATAAGCATGGCGGATCACAAGATGAATTGCCTGAGTCAGGAGGTAATGAAATTACGAGGGGAACTTTTATTGCAAACCGATACCATAGAGACCCTCGAGAAACAGGTACACTAAGCATCAATATTTATGCATGCGTTTCTTGAATGTCTCTCGAATGTATTCCAAGAAGGAATGGAAATGTGCGTGCATGCAATCGTTTTCCTGCATGCTTATTGACGCATTGGTAACAATATTTTTAAAAAGATATGTGTTATTACCACTTTAATACAATAAAAAACTATATACTATGTAATATTTATTTATAAAATAAAGAATTCTTTATAGCTGGCCACAAAGGAAAAAGAAATAATTCGACTGAGAAAAATGTTGGAGGGTGGTCGTTCCTACGCTGCGATTAACAAGGACTGCTCTTGCAAGAAGATGGAAAAGAAAGCTGGCCACGATACTACGGAAATCAGTGAAGTAAGAGTTCTCCAGCAGGCCAAACTGGAGCTGGAACAGCAATTGAAAGGCAAGGAATTCAGTAGAGTAGAAAGATATAATATTTACTTTCAACACGAATTATTTAATCATACGAAAACCAATCCAATTCACATATTCAATTTTTCTTGAATGATGCAGAATCTCTAAATAAACAACATGATGCTATGTCTCAGGCAATGAAACTAGCAGCACGAAATGAGGAGCTAGAGAAAGAATTGAGAGATATAGATCACGTTGCATTAGCTGTAGAAGCCGACTGCAATTCTACAGTCAAAGAGAATAACAGACGAGTTTGTAGGCTCCAGGTAATTACGACCGCAATTGCGTTAGCGTCATATTTTCAAGATGATTTCTTTGTTTCCACACTTTCACGCTTGTTTTACAGGAGAAATTGGAGGATGTCATAATGCAAGTGCATGTCTTGGAGCGCGAGTTGACTGTAGAACGCAGAGAGATGCAAGAGTTGCGGGCGGATCTCGAAGCGTGTAGGCTTGAAAAACGTAATGTTCAACGCACTCTCGAATCTACATTGGACGAAAAGAAACAAATGTCAGACAAGATCAATCAGCTGACGGTCATTGGTATGTCAAAATTGTTCCATCTTTCCTTTTTAGACAGCCTGGGCTACTTTTTGTCGAAGGTGAAAGTGTAAAATGATATTGCAGAAAAAATTTTAAATGACGAAATGGAAAGACTGACTAAAGAAAACGAGTGCCAGAGACAAGATATTAATCAGTTGCAATTTACTAATAAATTATTAGAGAAGCGTGTACACGAAAAGAGTTTCGGGGAAAGTAACGAAGAGAATATACAGACGCGAGCGAGAGAAAAGGGGGAAAAGAATGATCAGAATAAAGGGACGAAAGCGTCGAAGAAAAAAAATGGTATTAATAGGAAACCGATTTTGAAATGCATAGCCCAGGAAGATTAAAATATAAATAGTTAAATGTAGATTTTGATGGAGCATTTATTTTTAAGAAATAATTGCGTAGAGAGAAAATATATTAAGAATTTTTTATCCTTTTAGCATTTAAAAATAACAAAAATGAGAAATATGATATGGGTCATCAAGTTAACGATAGAGAAACTATAAAAGATACAAGCAGCTTTGATATGCAAAAACGGATTGACGAAGCGGATTTAAAAATTGCATCTGTAAGTCGAAAGAGCTTAAATATTTTTTAATTGAATATATTTTTAAAAATATGATATGTTAGAGAAATTTTTATTTTATAGCTGCAACAGACAATTCAGCGATTAGAAGTAGAACGAGATCACTATAGAAAGGAATACATCAATTGTCGGGACGAGCAGCGTAGAACATCTGACAAAGATAATGTAAATATTATATCTAAAAAAAAATACGCAAAAAAATTATATTATATATTTTTTGTAAAAAAAAATTATAATTTTATCGCTTGTGACAAATTACAGGCTGACTTGTGGACACGAATTTGTGAATTAAAACGCGAGTTAAGTGACAAGGAACAATCTTTAAGCAAAGCACTTCGGGAGAAGGAGGAGCTGTGCCATGAGAAGGAGGATCTAGAAGCACGATTGCAAACTTACAACGGTCAGAGGCAGATGTGTATGCCTTGCAGATCGTGCAGCTTGTGCAAACCCGTCCATTGTTGTACCTGTGCCACTGGCTTGCCAATGTCTACTGGAGACATCAGCACGACGAAGGTACTTAAAGATTTGCAAATGAAATATGTACGTTTTATTCTTATTACAATTTTAATTTGCACAGACGACACTCGAACGTCTGGAACGAGAGCGGGATGCGGCTAGAGCGGATGTTGAGCGGTTGATAGACGAACGCGATGCACTACGGGAGAGACTTAAGGTAGAGAACGGAGATTGTTTTAAGTTAAATTTACGTTATCCTATTCCTTAAGCGACGTCTAATGAGACTTAAGACTTAAGATTTAAGAAAATTTACCAATCACAGTCGATTATTCATCTCACGTGAGAAGAATAATCGATTGATTTATTTTCTTAAATCTTAAGTCGCAAGTCTCATTGTTAAGATTTAAGAAAATTGACCAATCGATTATTCTTTTCACGTGAGATGAATAATCGGCTGTGATTGGTAAATTTTCTTAAATCTTGAATCTCATTGTAGATGTCGCTTTATTGATTTCCTTCAAAATGCACATTTTAATTTTAATATACTAACAATAACTTAATAGTACGATCTAAACATTTATTAAACTGTTTCACTAATTATGTGTTTGACAACTATCAGCATGATTAATATTACATGATTAGCATAATTAATACTGACTCATATTAATTTATGCTAACGCGGTGTGGGTACACGTTGTAAATGCATGGCTTGATAATATCGTGATGTAGATGATGTCGGACAAATCCGAGCAACTCCGTCTTGAGGAGAGTTTAGTCGAGACGGAGAATCGCTTGAATCATGTAGAAAAAGAACAAGATCTGTTGGTGACCCAGGGCACGAGGAGAACGGCGATAAACGGTCTCGAGGATCAGTTGGGCGACGTGCAAGAGGAGCTGCACCGTACGAAGCAGGAATTAATGGCGCAACGGACGCAATATTTCCAGCTACGGTAATATATTTGGGTTTTACTTGCTTTTACTAAGAAAAATCGGAGTGTAGTCTTTCAATCCTCTAAACTTTTGCGTTGCAGAACGTTGCAAGATCAAACGGATCAGGCGCTCGGGGACGCGCAGGGCCAACTGTCGCAGGCAGAATTGGAATTGAACAAGGCGATGGATCGCAACAGAAGTATGGAGCAGCAGCAGGTGCAGTTGAACGATCAAATCAAGGAGCTGAAGCAGGAAATAAATACTCTGCGCTCGAGCATGGCGCTCTTGGACCAGGAGAAAGATCGGCTATTGGTAAATAGAGTATTGTAACGAATTGTATTGCTATCTTAAGTGATTGTTTGTAAAATTGATTATATTTTTTTATTACTTTTGCAGATGGCACTGGACGAGAAAACAGAGAAGATCGCCGCACTGGAACGAGAATTGACGCACAAGGACCAACAAGCGGAGGAGATGCAACAACAAATCCGCGATTTACAGCATAAAAATGAGTAAGTACATTTGCGTTTATTTACAACTTCTGATGAGCTTCCTAGAAAAAAATTGGCACATGTCTCTCGTATGGTCTCTCATAAAAAAAACTTTAAACTTCGTACAAATAAACGATATTTACAATACTTAAAATATAGAACGTAATAAATAAAGCTTCGCTCAATCATGTGAGATAAAATTAAAAAAATAATAAGTCGTGTAACATTATGTACAAAATTAAATCGATCGTTGTTCCTTCAACTGAAAAGTTCGATGCTAGGTTCGTTCTTCACATAGGTAAAAAAAAAAAATAATTTGATGAATCTTATAAATTATAAGTACGAGCTATTGAGCTATTCAGATTACCAACGATTTGATATTATCGTTGAGAAACTTCGCCAGGCTCACCGCAGGCGGCTGGCAACTGTTCGGCGAGATCAGATTACTGCTCTCCAGCTCTTCCTCGCCAGAGCTGTGGACGATCCTCTTGTAACCAGGTCGGCACTCGCACCTGGCTCTCGGCCGCGATTCTCCCTGTCGCCATAACAGCCGACTGTTCCTCGGTGTCCTCTGCGCGACCAACCATTCGCCCGCGGTGCACGGGCCCTGCGTGTACAGTTTGTAACAGATCTTCTTGATCATCACCATGCCTGGCGTGCTCTCGCAGTCGTCGCTGTCGCTCCTCAGGCACTTGCCGGCGTCTCTCACGGCGCAGCCGCACACGCCGTTGTAACTGATCCCGTCGAGGGACGGTCTCACGTTGTGGTCGTACAACACTATCTGCCCGTTCGGGCACGGTCCCCGCGTACCGATCTTGTAGCAGGTCCTCTCCTGAGGGAAGTACAGTCTACCGCGTTTGCATGGCACGGGAATGCAGGTCGACGAGTTTACCAGCATGTAGCCGCTCTCGCAGGGTCCCCGCGTGTGCAATCGGTAGCAGAACCCGTCTTTGTACAACACGTGGCCCGATTTGCAAACGCATTTGGCTCGTACAACGTCCTCCTGCGGTGATCGGGCGTCCATTGTCACCACGAAGTGATGTCCTTGCGGACACGGACCGACGCCGCCTGATAATTCATATTAGGAATTTAGACATATTTTACCATTTTTTTAAATTAAATTGAAGCACTAAATCGATATATAACTCAATCACGAGTAGTTATAATGCGATAAGAAGTTACAACGAGATCTCGATCTTTATTTCGTCTCTTCAACCTGATATTAATTACAAATTGATTTTATGAAAATAATAAAATCCTATAAGAATTTGATGAAGAATATTCTTATTTGTGAAATAATTTTTAAGGCATAAGAAAGTTATGTTAAAGCAAAAGGTAATATTTCTCGTTTCTCGCCTTCAATTTCATTATTATATCAGATTTCCATTTTTACATTTTAGATTCGGATTGTATTACTCGATTATGTGAAATATCTTACCTAACTGATAGCACATCTCGCTCGGTTCGTGATAGTGAGGCAATTGAGGGTTGCAACCGCACGTCCCGCCCGGCAGAAACAATTCTCCCGGCTCCGAGCAGGGACCCTTGGTGTAGTGCTCGTGGCAACCGCCGCCGTTTCCCAGCCAATGGTATCTGGCCAGCTCGCCGCTCGTCGAGCACGCACAGGTCGCCAGACCGTCCTCGCCCGCGACGAGGAGCTCGCCCCGTGGACACGGGCCCCTGCTGAGCTTTGGATAGCACTTGCCATCCCTCGGCCAGTAGAGCTCGTCTTGCTCGCTGCAGATTTCGGGATCGCGACAGACTCCCCATCGTGATTTCGTCAAGTGATTACTGAAGAGATTCCGTCTGCATGAGTACACAGGCGTTTCCGTTTGGCCGCGGGGGAAATTGAGGAAGGAGTGTTTTCGTTACCCTGACTTATCCGGCGCGTCCGGCACTGGTGCGAAGAACTGACCCTTGGAGCAGGACGCTCTCGTGAATATCGGATGGCACAAAGCGTCCCTGGGTGACTGCGCGGTTCCCGGGGGACACCTGCACTCCGCGATTGTTCCGCTACCGGCCGCCGGGCCCAGTTCCATGGTCTCCGGACACGGGGCGCCGATCTGTCATAAACGCAACTTACTCAGAGATGAACGATTCCTTTAAATGAGTATTTTATTAAGCAATCATGTGGCATGCCTGTGGTAACGTAGATCAACCGCACGCGACAAATTTTGCCAAGGAAAAGAAGATTAACACCTGCCTGGAATATTTTGTAGCATTTCCCGTCGGCCGGCCAGTACAGCAGCTGCCAGCCGCGCGGTTGCGCTGCGCAGGGGTTACTCGAGGGATCGGCCCACGGCGGCGGCATTATCGCCGTCCTCGCGTTAACCGCCGACAGAAGGCAGATGATGCTCCCTAGGAGAATCCGCATCGCGCTGAAAATTGCCGCCGCGGAAACGTTACTTCGGATCTGCTGATCGTTCCGCGACGAAGAAAGTGTGTATAATAGCCGAGGATTAAAGAAATCGCAAGTTTCCGCCGCAACAACACGGTAGCACAATTGCAAATCACAGAGACGGCGAAAACCACCGCGCGAACGGAAGATGTTACCTCTCATCTTCGGCGCGGTCGAATGCAGAAGCCAATTTCACCGGGTTCGGCTCCGCGTGCGCAGGTGGAGAGCGCCTTCAATAGGATGTGGCATTCAAAACGAGACTATCGCGAATAGCGCGAAATGCCGATGCGTGTGTCGTCTCGTGCGTGCGAGGCGGCAGGAGGTGGGAAGGAGGCAGAAACACGCGCCGCGACAGCGAGGGCAAAATGACCATACTTTCACTGTTTCGCTATGGCAATGGCATTGTCCCTGGCGGCGCGGCACAGGGCTCGGGATGACGGCATGTGCGCGGAATAAGAATAACGCGCTCGCGTTATACGAATGCTCGCCGCGTCGCGAAAAGCAAAAGGTCGTTTCTCTTTTTTTTTTTTCTTTCTTCTGCCGCGGTCTCGTTGACCACGGGGATTACGCGAGTAATACTTTGCGGTTTGAGCCTCGAAGTATAACGAAACGAAACAGTTCTATCCGTCCGAACCACAATCTCTATTCCATTTATATCTAATCAATTCGAACGGTATCCTCTGTTATCGCGCATACTGGGGAAGAACAAGATAATATGTGTGAGAATCTGGGGGGAAAAAATACGCTATTTTATCATTTAAAAGTCGGCCCATCATTCTTGTATTTAATAGAGATTCTATTCTTGTTGAAATAATACAATACAATGCTTGAATGAGTCTAGTGAAACGTTATACCATTCTGCTGATGGAGCATCTTCCAATTGCTTAAGAGATGTAAATGTTGAAAGAGGAAATCTTTTTCTCACTTGGCTCCTCAAAACACCCTGCAGGTGTTCACATTACATTGTCTATTACTCCTTTATAAGTCCCCGATTTGTTTACACGGTAAATTTAACGGCATATTACACGCACTGTTGACTCGGGGAAAAAAACGCGACATCTCGTGTGCCTTTTTTTTTTTTTTTCAAAAGTCAAGGAAGTAATTAAGCAGCATGAGGTCTTGTCAACGTTTCAATGCTGTTGCCGGTCGAGCTTTCTTCCGCGAGACTTTCCACACAAGCGAGACCGAGAGTTTTATTCTCCTCGCCGTGGCGTTTTATTAATATCTACCTTTTGCAAAGCGCACCTAGAATTTATCTCACGCTTGTCGTTCTAATTAACGCGGCGATTCATCCAGCATATGCCGAAATACTCCTCCTAACGCGCCGTGTCAAGATGAGCGCAATCCTGTGGCAATCCGCGCGCGCGCGTGTGTTTCAACTTTCCCGATAATTTGCACGATTTTACAAATCGCGTGCCGTTTATAGTGAACATGAGGGTTCGTGTCCTGAAAGCAATCGGCGTTATCGCGTTCCACCTCTCGTAAATACGACGAGCGCCGCGGCGGAGAGAGATATTTCCTTTTCCTATCTCTAATTAACGCCGCGCTGAATCGCTTTAGCCGCCGAGCGTGAATAAATGGACGAGATTATTATCTGTGTGTGTGTTACTCTCGTCGGCGTCGTCCGTGAGATTCCTCTGATCGATGCCCCGCAGGTGCGAACGCACCGTTACACAATCGTCTAATTAGTACAGTGATCATCCCGGTGGGAGCGTGTTACATCAGAACTTTCTCGTTTGCAGGGGATCTCGTTCTCGATAATAATAAGTACAAGAGAGAAGTAACGAGATATTTAAATCTAATCGCGATATCGTTCTCTCGTGAATATAGAGAGAAAATTAGTCTCATTCGAGAAATCGACGTTGCATTAATATTCCGTAATAAAATGCCGAAATTTTGTGATAAAAATTAAAGATATGAATTCTCCTTCGGTAATCTCAATGAGAGACAATAATGAAGTATCGGCGTGAGCTTGAGATTGTTTTGCAGACGATGCGTGAGGAAAATCGAGAATCGGCGGACTGTGTAATTCAAGACGGTTAGCTGATTCTCGTTTAAATACAGAATGCCGGAGCGGATTCTGAACTCTTGAACTGAAGACGCGTGGGAAGCGCGCACGCCTCTGTAAATAATTGCGCTATGCAAACGCGTCCATGGATACCGCGGGGTGGCGATAATCACGGCGGGATTCGGCGCGAAATTCTTAGTATATACAGGGTGGCATCCCCCCCGATACACTGTTCATTGTGATTCATTCTTTCCCAATAAGTTTCGACGAGAAGGCATGCCGAGAAATTCACAAGTATCACTCTCGATCGAAAGCCATGAATTCCTGTTGTTCGATGTGTCCTTATTGCTGTTCGCCTTGCGGCGATGACATTTCTTATAGGTACACCAATAACTTATGTAATATATGTTGCGTAATTATATTACTTTTTTTATTACGTTACGCGTTCAACTGTTAACGAAGTTTTGGTCGTATATCGTGTGGCGCGTATGCGTATCTGTAATAATAACATTGTAACGAGAGATATTTGATAATATTTCAATGGAACATATTTTAAGGGGAAAAGTGCGATATTATAGGACAATATAATTTATTTTTATGTATCTTTTTCTTGAAAATTATTGAACCGATTTTCATAAATTTTTGTAATTTTTTCAAAAATGAATGAACTATGATTTGATGTGTCAATTAAAAAAAAAAGCATAATTTTGTCAATAGTTTTTATAAGTACCTATATTTAAAGTTACAAAAAAACTTTATAACTTTTCTCAAATTATAAATAAAATTCAAAAAGAGCTGCGAGAAGATCAATTTAGATATATTAAGAAACGATTTTGTATAGCTTAAAATGCCATTTTTTTTCAAATATCTGTTCTCTTAAATGATATAGGTATTCTGAATTATGGAAAATGCTCTAGACTTCTGTGCAGTATAAATATTTAATTTACTAATTGAAATGATGATTCAGACAAAACTGATTCTATCAGCTGTCGTGTTAATTTACTTCACATGCAGCTCTTAAGGCGTTATTATAATGTCGCATCTTTAATGAAATTATAATAGTGAAACAAATTATAATATTTTGCCAGACCCGCGACACTTTTGTGACGCGTTATTATATATTATTTATTCGTCATGATTTTACTTTCTTCGCCAGATGCACTTTCTCCACCTTCCGTGTCGTTAAATTGTAATAACCAGTTATTACCCGAGTCACTCGTCTTACACGCGTGCACACACGCATACGTGCACACACACACGCACATACACACACACGATCGGACCGTATTCGCAATTCGCAGTTCTTGTGTTCACGAGGAATTCTGGGATGTTTCGAATTGCTTTGATTATCATTAGACTCGCGCTTATATAATCGCGCGTGCTTCGCGCCTCGGAAGCGTGGCGGCGGATTTATCGTTCCCGTAAAAAGAAAGTGTCTGCTAATACATTATAATCGATCTGCGCCGCGCAGAAAATCACGCAATACAAACAATCGCGATCACGTAACGTCAATTCGTCCGCGCGACTCTTTTGCTATAGGTAAAGAAATACGCGCGAGTCCCCCTCGTTTAATTTCTCTGAAATCTTTAGCATCGTTCACTCTTAAAAATAATGGGTGTTTGATTTTAATAGTATAAACACTATTGGTGTTAAAAGCCATATACAATTGGTACCAAAATCACACCTATATTTTTAAGAATGTTTATTTTTAATTTTTAATCGATAGGTACGGCAATTCTTTTCGTCTAATTCCTCCGTAATTTCTTTCACTTTCATCATGCGAAGTTGAAATGCCGCAGGATTCAAGGATATCACAGACCGTGAAGAAAAGTCGTCCTCTCGCATTCAATGATCGTAGCTCCGATATAGTGAAAGGATCGTATCGAATGTCGATTTGTTTAACCTTTCGAAGAGGACTTATTCAATCATCGCTTACCATTCAATCCCGGAATGGACGTTATTATGCTATTTATCACGAGCACAATATACCCTCATCAGTTGAGTGATTTAGTTTCGCTGAAACGTACCTCATCATCGACATCATCTTCATGGTGTTCGCCATTCGCCAGGAACGATCGCGATTGTACCCGCTATCACACGTCACTATTTTGCCAATTGTCGTTTCTCTCAAGTTCACCACTCGGTCCACCGCATCCCCATATCAGAGGCTCGCGTCGAGCCGCGCCGTGGCCGTCATCGTCGTCGGTCTTATCGCCGCGGAAAGCACGGCGAGACTGACTCGCGCTCGTCCCGGCACCGCGGCTCTATGCTGTTACCTAACTCGACCGAGTCGAAAACCGAATCCGCCGAAGCGAGATGGACATCCTCCTCCCTCCTACCCTGTGACTAATACCGGGTGCAATCCGCGTCCGGGGGAAAACCGTCCCTGGCATACCTTCCGCGGAAGGTATTTTCCTCCTCTTTTTATCCCATGACGTATCAACAGCATTAGCTAACAGTGATCTTGAAAATAATCTTGTTAATTTAATAACAGTATGAAATAAATATGTCACACTCTCGTTTTAATAAAATGTTATTTGTTTTATCAACAGCGTTATTGAATTAACAAAATTACTTTCAATTAGACTGCTGCTAGCTAATGCTTAAGGCAAATACGGGAGGTTTGTATGATCAAATTGATAGCGAAATTTGCGAATTCATTTCAGTGAAAGTTAATGGACGGTTATTATTCACTACTATATATAAGGTGTAGAAAATTAATTTGTAATACCAAATTTAAAAGTACAGAAGTTATCTGTCATTGAGGACAGACCCGAAAATTTCGAGTGCCTCGCGTTTTCCTACCAATTTCGTAACTTCTAAGGAAGCAATCTTTTTTGGTCTAGTTTTCCTCAAGACACTGTTTTACATATTGAATTTCAAATAGACTATTAGAAAAATCACAAAATAATAACAATATAAATAACGTCAGTTTTTACCCGTAAATTAGAGTTTTATATTGTTATCATTTTGTAATAACATTTTTCTAATTTTGTAGCACAAATTAAAATTAAATTTTTTTTAAATATAGCAGTAAATAACACTTAAATAGAGAAAACTGTTTATTTATTTCTTAAAATAAAAATTCGCAAGTTTCTCCACTATAACTTTCTGTCTTCCCTTAATACTGCAATATACTCGTAGTTTTTCATCTAGTTTTATTGCATACGTGATATTAGAGTCAGACGTGATTTACGTTGATACGTCGTGAATCAGTTCCAATTCGTCATCCGTAAAATTTCCCCGCAATGTGTAAATCGACGAAATGTAGTGGCAGTTTAAACATTTTGTTTTAGAACATTTGTTTTAGAAATTTTAGCAGTTTAAACATTTTGTTTTGGAAATTTTCATTCATTCTTTCATGTTCACTTTTAGGTCAACGGTTATATTTTTGGAGAACGGTAGAAAGTTCAATGCATTATATTCGCGACGATCGCGTACCGCAGGGCCTGACATCTTTCCCGTACAAAATTTGAATATGTGCTGAGGTGTGCATCCGTTCTTGTAACGCGATGGCCGCATTAAGGAAGCGTGTGGCGTGCGTTTTGTATCCGGTTCAGCGACAGCGCGATACCTCGCTTCTCGTGCAGCTGCGAGGGAGGAGAGACATCAGGCGCGTGGGATTTCGAGATATCTGAAACGTAAATCTATAGTGAGATCATCTACGATTTGATTCCACTTGTCGAACGGGACTCTTTGACAGAAACGCATTTGTTGAACGAACAAACGTCATCGATGCAGTTGCAGAGAGTATCTGCTCGTTCAAACGATAATAACTTTAGATCTGATGACCATTTTAGGAGAACCGTTGAAAAAAAAACAGAGAATTCCGTGATAAAGAAACCGGTTTCGGCGAATTGATGTCTTTTTTTTGCGCAATGTCGCGATTGTCCTCCCGCGTGCCCCTTCAAGGTTTTCTCAAAAATCGCCGTTGCGACACTTGCACGCAACAACCTCTGGTTACACGGAGGACTTTCATCGTCATTGGACCTCCCGAAACGATCGTTGTCGATCGTTACAGCGTGGGTTTCTTTATGAAACTGTTGCATAATTCCGGACCTGAAGCCGAACCCAGTAACGGGAAACGCATAACCGTCTCTGACACTCATCCAATCCCGATATGAAGAGGCAAGTTTCTCACGAAACTGTCGTTGTTACGTCATTGGCCTTGAGAATTTACGAGATCGTACCAAATTGGATTTACTCGTATTTCGTCGAGAAATATAAGAACTTTTCGTATTTTTCAGCAGGAGCGGAAAATGGGTTCTATGTTATATCCGCGTGAAACTCATTATCAGACTCCATACAAAATGAAAAGTTTCTCTTTATATAATAATTTATAATATATATATATTGTATTATATATATATATATATATATATATATATAAAATACAATAGTACATAAAATAATTTAATATAACAAAGAAATTATTTTCATTTTATCTTAAAACAAAAGAGATTTAAAAATTTACTGAAAATTTATAATAGATGAAGTCTTAGTATTAACACTATTAACGTAGAGCTATTATAAGATTCCATTAAAAAATTTATAATTTAGTAAAATTATCAATAAAATAAATCCAGAAATTAAAAATAATCTTACCACAAAAATGCAAAATAGCCACCGTTATTGTCGTGATGATTTTTGTATGATTTAAGATAAAACAAAAAATTGTCATTTTTAACAATTACGTGCAAAATTTCCATAGTTTAAAAAAGCATTGCATAGGGTAATTTATTATGTAATACGAGGGTCGCCGCATAATTTATTTTTTTTTTTTTTAACGAACGCTCTCTTATTTTTTTTCTTCGTACAATGCTTTAATTTGTTAAATAAGTGTGTAAAAGAGTAATTTTAACAAAATCTTACGTTAAATGATCGCGTCGTTCGGATAATTTCACGTGCGTTGGGACAACACAGTTCCTTCTCTTTCACGCATCGTCTCTCCTCGGCTCTTCTTACGTAACTTCGAGTTTCGAGGAAAGGAAACGTGCAATGCCCTTTGCCTATAACGGTAATGCTATACAAACTGGAGAATCCTCGAAAGGGCGCACCTATGCCCCTTCACGTGAGCTAACTATGAATAACAAAGGCGGCAACGTAGGTATACGTATCTCGGAGCTGCCTCGTGGACCGCTTCTTCCTGCCTGAGAATCAAAGAAGACGTAAAATTTTAACTTTGTTTCTTCGTAATTTTTAAACCGCTAGCGCTCCACACATCGCAACGTGTATAATAACATGTTGAAAATAACATTGTTGGAGCTAAATTTTCATAAATAATTCATTTGTCTTCAAGTTATCGAGATCAGCGAAGATGATCTGAGATCTCAGTGAAGAAAACGCCAATGAGTTGAGAGGATTAAAATTTTTGACGTTGCTCACGAATCCAATATTAACGCTCGCGACACACGTGGTAACGCTGCATATCTTCGTTAGAACGGCTCTCTGTAACGGATTTAGTACCGCTCGCCATCAATTTTGACATGTATGGCTTTGTGAGGCAATCATGAAAGGGAACACAGTGGGAGAGGTCCAGTGAACCCTCCTTAGGGCGATGCATTCTCTGACTCACCTCCCCACGAGTGGTCCCGTCGCAGCTTTCGGTAAAGACTTGTGCCTCGTTTTCTACGTGAATACACATTTCATCGCGGATCAAATGATCTTCGATATGAAGCTCTCGCGCTCGTTATTACCAGAGTGGAAATATACGAGCTGTGCCATTGGACTGTCGTGCGTAGCTTTCACATTTAACGCGTCGCGGCAAAAAGTGCCTCGCACCAATCATGAACATGTAAATCGTGAAAAATTTCGTACATATTTAACAGCTAGATTGCCGCGCAAATAGCGCGATGAATGAATCGCGCATTTTGTAACGTATGGAAATTAGGTCTGCCTTGTGTGGCTTCGTAATTAAGTCGATATACGAAGCTGCCAAGCCGCCGATTATTCCGATGTCGCGCGAGGAGCATCCTTGCATACATATTAACAGAACGTTTGTAGAGCACTTGCGGTGCTTTCTATGGCACTTTTCCTTTTGCGCTATCGCGTCGTGAACTTTCCTTCTGAACGCCGGCGCGGCGCCGAGGAAGGAGAGAGTGGAAGGCGCGGAAACTTGAGGAAAGTCGAAATGAAGAGCGAGGCGCGATAATTGAGTGACGAATGGTATTCGATGCCAATCGAATTATGTATTTAATTTTTCGAAGATTATCAAGACGAGTAATTCGCAACTATTTCTATTCATATAGCTTTCGGAATGCGGCTCGCGGATCGGAAATCTTCCGCGTCGGAAAGTACAAGCGATGGAAAAACCGGTAACTCGCTACCGGAATCGCCGCGCATTTACGGCGACTTGGGGGATTTCATCATCGGTATATTGCCCACAATATAACTTCGCCTCGCCTGTAGAGGAGAAATTTATCTCTCTGTCGCGTAAGCGCCAAGTGGAAATAGAAATCATTTCTTTCGGGCATTCGCGAGTGCATTCTTCTGTAACATCCGTGACATAATTTCCATCGTCATTATATCGCGAGATGATAATCCGCCCCGAGGCGTGACGGACGGGGAATCGCCAAGGGTACGCACGCGATCCAAACCATGAGAAAATTGATTATACGAGTCCGCGGCATTATCGAGGTAATGAGATAAATTTCCCGGCCGGTTGAAGGCGCCGACCCCAATTTTTCATCGTATTTCCCTGACATTTAATAGCTCGGAAAAAATTCGGATTAAACCCTAAGCTCAGTTTTAATATTGGCACTCTTTCTTCTCTAATATGAAACGCATTCTTTTCACGCTTGTCGATATTCGACAGACGGCAAGAAAGGCTGGTTTTTCTTGCGACCAGAACCGCGCCGGACTGGAAGGTTGTCCCTTCCGCTGCCCCGCGCGGAAAATGCTTTCCTCGATTCGCGCGCGTGACGGAATTGGTTTTCACTTTCATGCTTGGACCAGATCTTCCGGCGGGAGGCGACTGTTGCCTCGCCTGCCCGTTGCTTTGCTGCCGCGCAAGACCGGCAGGAGAGGCGAGAGAAAGTCGTCCGGCGCCCGGGATATTTTTCGCACGCGCCACGGCACCACGTTGCAGGTCTCCCGCGCACGATTACGCAAACCGCACCGCGCGTAATCGGCGCGCGCGGATGATCGATGGTCCACGCGTTCGTCCCCGTCCGGCGAGACGCTCCGACTCGCGAGAATTAAGCTGGTGCGGACTTCTCGTCGATTCGCGATTTGTTTCCGCTCGTTGACTCGTTGAGCTCTCCGTCTCGAAAGTCCGGGAATGATTGACTTTCGTTAGACATGCGTCAACGTTTTCCGCGATGAAAGCTGCAGATCTCTTGTGTCCAGTCCTTCCGAGAAAATTTCATCTAGGATATTTCACGTCGCTATTCAGTTCAGTATCATTTGTATACGTCGGCCAATTCATCAACGTGGCATGTGCATGAATAGATCGATATTCCGTTCGGTTTGGCCTTCGGCGATTTATTGACGCACTACGCAGTCGCGGAGGCAGAATGAGAAATTCGATCTGTTTAAGTGATAGTACGAAAATCCAATCACGTTAAAGTACGTCATTTCGAGAGAGTTGTGCAAGTTGGGAAACGACGAACGCCTAATTCGTGCTGCCCTTGTCCCCTTTCGAGAACGTATCTTGCGCCACGAGGAACGAACGCCTGATCCGCATAAACGATCGCAGACGTTGCTCTGTCCAAAAACACAACAGAAGATTATTACAAAGACGATGATGATATTGAATAAGAATCGCATTATAATAAACGGAAAAACGGTTTTGCTGAAGAATCTAAAAACTTAACTATAGACACAGATCTGAAAATAATTTTGTTGGGCCATCAAAGTAATTACGTCATGAACACTCAAACTGGTTGCTAGAATGTCAAAACTTTTTATAGGATTGCTCACCATGCTTGAGTTTTCTACAGAATTATTTTGATGATTTAACAAAATTATTTTCATATTTGTAGCTATTTAAATTCTTAAATACTTTAGCAAAATCTTTCTGTGTACAGTTATAAAATACGATACGAAGATAATTTGTTATATTTCTAGACGTTTAATTTTTCTATGCTCTTCAACGCGCAATGTCGATATTAATTGTAGAATATGCGTCGATCAGAGCGCGGAGCGGGAGCGTCATCTCAGGTCGCTGCAGCTGGAGATGGAGACGGTGCAGCGGCAGTTCGAGGCCGCGTCGGTGGACCGCGAGAACGCGATTCAGGAGAACCGGAAGCTGCAGGACGACCTGGCGGCGGTGACCTGCGAGACGCGGAACATGCAGCGCGAGCTGGAGACCTCGCGCGCCGAGTGCTACGACCTCAAGAGGCAGCTGCAGACCTACGTCAGTGAGGTCCGTCGTGCCGAAGAGCTCTTAAATCGCAAGGTAGATCCAGAAGAAATTGTCAACAATGTTGGCTGTTCGCCTCGCGAACGTCGCTTATCTTCCCTAATATCTTTCCAGGAGAATGAGAGAACGGAAATGCTGAACCATTTCCGAAGTCTCAGCTTAGAGGCGACGGTTCTGGAGAACAATAATCACAGCTTGGAGTCCGAGGCGGCGGAGGCTAGGGGCGCCCTTCAAACCGCAAGGCATCAGATACTCGACCTGGAGCGTCAACTGGCGGACCGGGACTGTCTGATAAAGGGTTACGAGACTCAGGTATTTCACTCTCTCTTCATAATAGATGTGAGGAAACGCACGTGGAATCATTGGTTACTTTCACTCATCACATATCTCACGACGTCTTATATTATGATATTCAGCTGAAAATGACCTAACTTAAATCGGGGTCAACAAGGAGTCCACAGATTTTTGAGACGTACAAAATATCGCGTCGTTCTCACGCGTGTATAAAATCAATTTAATGTTCTCTCCAGATAAGCAACCTGACGCAGAGCGTCGCCAGCATGGAGACGCAGCTGCGGCAGCAGATCGAACAGAGGCACCAAGCCGAGGCCGATTTAATGGCGGTCAGGGACCTGTGCGTGAAATTGGACCAACAAAAGGACGCGCTCGTGGAGCAACTCGGTGATAAGGACACCGTGAAAGTGCATGTAAATTTACTTGCTCTTTGTTCTATATCCGTTTCTATTTTTTTTTTGCGCGTTGTCTTTGGTTTCTCTACCACCTTTGCTCTTTCTCGTGCAGTACGAGTCGCAATTGTCAAGACTGAAAGCCGAACAGAGCATTGTTCAAGATCAAATTACCAGAGATCGCGTGACCATGGAACGGCTGGAGACTCTTCTGGATCAGGCGAGACAGGAGTCCATCAATGCGCAGGCCACCAATCAAGAGCTGCAAAACGAAATCTCCAGATTAAAACAGAAAGTCGCCGAGCTACAAAGTAAACTGTACGTCTCACATTATCGTCCCTATTATTTTTATTATATTGCGTGTTTACATCTTTCCTATGATTACAGTTCGTCGGAATCTGCGGAGCTCAGGCAGTATCAGAATCAAGCGGCGGAATACAGCAAACAGATCAGCGAGCTCCGCAGGCAAGTCACCAACGAGAGATTTGACCGTGCGAGAAAGGAGGAAGAGAGTCGCAGGTATCTTATCGCTAAAAATGTTCAACAAGTTTGTCTCTTCTCCGTCGAGTACTTCGTTTTACGCTTTCTCGCGTCTCGTCGCGCATTGCCCATCGTGATCGTTCGAATTTAGACATTCTGAGGAGTCTATGAGTCTCCTCGAAGAAAAATCGCTCGAAGATCGCACGACCCTCCCTCAGCCGGATGTTAGGACCTCCAATGGCGAGAGTGTCGTCTCCATATGCAGGTATAGAGCCGGAGTGACTGCGATCGCGCTCAAAGTACTACAAAAGATTATAATTGTGATTAATTAACTTAAATTACGAATCTCCGCCAGGCAAGTAGATTGGCTGAGAAAACCGTACACCGCGATTCCCAAACACACGTGCTGCGTGCGCGATCCCGGCCAAGAACTGACGAGTCACGACGATCGAGTCACGTCATTTTCGATCGAGTGTCGGTGTTCCTCCTTTAAAAGACGCATCTCCCCCGCCGTTTACGTGCCGTGCCCCGCCACGTTCTCCCCGCGACGCAAGTCTACCGGCGACACAAATAGAAGCTCGAAGTTTCCTTAACGGGGAAAGTGTCGTAAACATCTGATTAATAACGTTTTAAAAGCGCTATCTCTCTCTCTCGGGGCTTTTGGAAGAATCTTTAGCATTTTCGAGCATTTTACGCTATATGCGTATACATTTGTGGATAATGTATTTTATCATTTTTACAACGCTTGCTTTTTTACGATTCGCGCTATGCTCTAATGAATTTCCCGACGCGAGAAAATATATCTAACAAATTGTGTACGCTCCGCGACTGACACTTATCTTTTCTCTGTTTTATTTTTGCAGGTCGCTAAATTCATCGCCAGACAGTTTCAATGTAGATTTAAATGTAGTGATATAATACACTATGCACAATGCATGTCACTTGATTTATACATATTTGCAGCGCGAAAAGGGAATAGTAAGGATTGAATGAATGAAACGAGACACGTAATTTGATTTAATATGTCAGGTCTCGGCAATGTGACTTAGATTATATTTATACATTAAGAAACATCAAATAAATATTTCTTAATGATCGTATAAATGTGTGTGAACGACTCTGCAATATATAATATATTAACATAATTCTTCATCTAAAATGAATAGAATACGAAATTAATGAATAGTACCGCGTCAAGAGATCAAGACTTTCGAGAGATGAAAAATTAACGATTTTGACATAAGCAAGATCGTTTATATATATCTATTAATTTATCTAATTACCAAATAATATATCAAATGAAGTATACATGAAACAATCAAATTGTACAAATTATACTTCGAAGTTCAATTAAAAATGAATTGAACTGTCACAAAGACTTAATTAAGAATGACTTAAAAAGTTAGGATATTTTAAAGAATTGTATAAGGTTATCGAGTATATGATAGAAAATATATTGAGATTGTTAGGTATATTGAAAAGAAAAAAAAGACAATAGTCGACAATACTTTTTTAGCAATTTTAATTAGCACTTCACAGATGTATTTTACAAAGTTTGAATTTCTGTAAGTAAAAAATTAAAAATAATACGAGAAATTTGAAGTGACCATATCAGTCATACTGAATAAGTCTTTTAAAATAAATGGGAAAGAATATGTCATGAAAAACAAGAATCTCTTGAAGAATAACATACTACATTTATATGTATGAAAATAACTCACAAAGTAACTTGATAAGTGTGTATCCAAGTACAAATATATGTATTTTTAAGCCTTTGTACACTCAACTGATTTTGCAATAAATTTTATACTTTCTACAATTTCTAATTAAATTTTATTTATGTTGAAATATATGTATTTTAACTATGAAGAAATATGAAAATAATTAAGAGTGTGTAGTGATAAATAAATAAATAATTATTGCGTTTAAATGATTTTTATACGTACGTGTAGATGACTGTAGATGAATAAGGCTTTGCGTTGTCCAGTTTTTCCGCCTTTTTTTTCTTTCGGTAATTTTCCCTGGCCGCTTTTTTCGCAATCGCGCGATACGACGGAGAGAATAAGAACAATCCAAATAATCAGTCTATATAGTTTTCCCATATTCTCCTTCAGTATTTAGTAATTTTATTATATCGTTCTTTTATTCCTTTACACAGATGTTTATTTATGATCTCGATGATCGTACGAAACGGTGAACATGTAAACTAGGTATAATTACAAATAATAAAAATAAAAAGCCTCTCACAAGATTTTCGTCCTCCTAAAAACGTTCAGCTATTAAACTTGTTTTTATATATTTATATATAAAATACATAATAGAGGCTCGCACAGGGTCCATTATCATACTTTTTTTTTATGTCTAACCTTAAACGGCCGTTTTGCAATATAAGACGAAACCGTTCCTCTTGCTGTTTCTCTTCACCGAACCAGTTAAATAATTACAAAAATCCGTTTCTTGCAACTTCTATGTCTTGTCACAATCTATTATAATACAAGAATCTTTTACTTTGTTTCTCTTAAAGACGCATTAAACTTACACTCTTAAGAAATTTACACAGAGGTTTTAACATCATGAATGAAATACAGGTATTATGTACAAGTATGTATATATCTTTATATATATATGTATATATATATATATATGTATACGTATATGTGTGTGTATATAACGTGTGTATATATACGTATACATATATCTATAAATTTCAATATGATCAGCTTACTCTTATTTATTTCTTTTTTATGCAATGTAATGCTGTTTCAAAAACTCAATAAAGGATAAATGCAGTTCGCGAAGTAGTGACGTCCGAGAATATAAAATACTCGTCACTTTAAGCGCTTCAAAAACCGTTCGAAATAAGATCATTTTATTTTGCATAAATTATTATATATTGAGTTTTCCGATTAGCCAGATAATAAACAATTCTTTTACTCGATTTCATTTGATTTAGAACTCGGAGAAAATTAGCATCTTTAATAGTATATCTTCCTTGTTTCGCGTACACACTATACATATAATATAAACGGAAATTCTACAAGCTTCCAAAGCGATCTTTGCTTTTAAAAGTAAACGATGTTAGAGTATTACGTCAAAAGACAACTTTGTCATTATGCGTTGCAATAATATGTTACAATTCACACGATATCACAATAAATTTCGTCTATACTGTTGTATAAATCTGCTCTGTTCATTCGAGTTATTATGTTCAATTGAGATGCTCGAAGTGTGGACACATCAGCCAAAAGCTAAGCTAAGCTTTCACAGGAATGAAAAAGAAATGAAAAAGAAAATATGATAATTGTGCATTCACGGATTCAGAGTAATGAACGGATATCAGTAACTCTTTAGTTAAATGAGAATCAACGAAAAAAAAAGAAGCCAGTATTATGATCATCATATAAAGTAATGAAATCTTAGGCCTTTTTTAATATCCAAATTTTAATATCGTAAAGAACGCTTCGAAATTTGCCTACTTAGTAACTCGTTAATTTTGTGTTACCGGTTTCGGGATCACTTTTCTTTGCGCGATTTATTCTTTTGATTGGAAGTCACGCTAATGACAAAGTCATTTTATAAATTTGTCTAACGATAATGCCGCATTACTCAGCGAGCGAGTAAAAAATTTCTCTCTAAGTATCCTGACACATTGCAGAAGTCGAATGGCTAGGAGTCACCGAGCTAAAACTGATCTAAACTAGACGTTAGATTTATGCAGTGATATGAATGTTCTGCTGTAAATGACGAACTCGCTAGCATGCCAATGCATGTACTGTTATATCTTACTAATTTCTGTTGCTAGATTAGATTAGTTAATAATAAAACAAAGAGAGACAATAATATAGCCATGTAATTGCAATATGCAATTAAAGCAAAAAACATAAATTCCTAACAAATACATTTCATAAAAAGGTCGTTTCGTTTTTTTCTTTATATCCTAGGTCCTTGGTGATTTACGAAAAAAAAACATACAATAATAATTAATAATAGAATAATATAATATTAATTATAATATATTGATTATAAACTATAACGTCCATAAAGTATCTTATTCGTTTTTCCTTTTTTGTACACGTTTACTAAAACCTTGTTTTCGCCTTCCTTGTTGAGAAAATAAATATTAATATTAAATCTGAAATATCATCTCTCTCTCTTTCTCTCTCGTGCACACTCTTTCTCTCGCCCATTCACTCACTCCCTTTCTCTCTTTTTCGATCTTCATCGCACACACATACACTTTCTCTCTTTTTCTCTCTCTCTCTCTCTCTGTTTCTTGCAGTCTCATTATCACTTTTCCATATTTGACCTAAATGTCTTTGTTTCGTATTTCACTATAGTTACAGTTCATATTATTAATCTAAATTGGCAAAATGATTTGCCTAGTAAGTTTATAGGCCTCTTTTTTTCTATATATGGAACATTTATCCTCGCAATATTCTTCCCATTCTTCTCTATATAGTTCTAATCCTCCAAACTGTGCATGGACACACATTGCACGCACGTACGCACGTACGCACGCACGCACGCACGCACATACACATAGGCACGCACGCATACATGCGTGCATGTACATACATCTAATGTGCATGTATCAGCACGCGGCAAGTGACTATAAACTTAATACACTCCCGCTTTCCTCCCCGTGTAATTCGAAATAATGTAAGTTGATCGCTGCTCGCAAGATTAAAAGAGCTTTTTAGAGGCCTGATTCAAGAGGTCACCTATGATGGCTACTGCTACTCTGGTCGTTCATATCGTAAAGGACTTGTGCGATTGTTCTCGATGATTCGACATTGCTTAACGCCACGCCTGCCAAGTGGGGCTCGTACGCTCTAAGATGCCTGCAAATAATTCGTGAATGGGCCAATGAGTCGCGAGACATAAGAATTAAAAAACAATGAATGAATGAAACAGCGAGGGCTCGCTTACCTTCTACCGTGTGTTGAGTATATGACTAGGTTCCTAAGAATGAGAGCTGCCGTTAGGCGAATACTTTTGGTCACTGGACCTTCGTTGTCATCCTGCAAGACAAAGACACACAGTTGACAATCGATCGTCCCACGTCCGCTCGTTTTTTTTCACACACAGAAAAACTGATGACGGACAACAACGTGAATGGAAATCACTGATCTTTCAAATAATGCTAAAAAAAGGGGATCTTGTGAAAAATGCATGGACACATAATACGTAGTTCCACAACTGTATGATGTTGTTTCTACGAATGCGTTATGGGAGTCGTGTTAATGTGTAAGAAGCGCTGCAATTTCTCGGCGAAGCTGCAGTTTCGTCTGTCCTGGACAGTCGCATGTGTCAATTCGACGTGTCAATGTGATAGACGGCGACGAATCGTGTTCTTGCACCTTAACCACGTTACAGCAACATGACAATAGGACGCACACATATACAGACATATATCCAAACCTACGGATCTAGCAACATCTACTTAGTAATAAAAAAAAAGGAGTTCTGAAGGCGCTGCTTTGCTGCTCTATCGAAACGAGCGCGCTATGTGCCAACACCCTCCTAACATGAGTATTGCATAAGTTCGACGCATGTAAAAAAAAAACAAATGCCAGCTACAAAATGTAATGTCGAAATAAAAATAAAAAAAGGACATGCTACAACAAAACGGCAGGGTAAAAACAAATGACGGGTTGGGGGGGGGGGAAGGAATGACATGGTGTGCAAAAACAGAGAGATAAAAAAAAGCACAAAGAGACGACAGCAGCGGCAGCGTACTGGAGCTGCAGCTGTGTCGCGATTTCCCTTTTCAACTCTCTAATACATTTTTACCTGTTCTGGTGGAGAATTTTGCCCAGGTCTGGGGGAAGAAGAGCTTGAGGTGGCTGCAGCGGGCTTGGTCGGCCTTTGCTGCTTCGCCAAGAGAGAACAAGAAATTTCGTTAAATTAGCCAGTCAAAGATCAGCGGAATCGAAGACTGATCGGTTGATTTTTGTAGAATCTTTATATCATCAACAGAATATCAATGTGACAGGGAGAAAGATTGTAACATGTGTATCTCGAGATGTGTAATAAGTGTATTAAGATTATAAATTTGTGTATCTATGTAGTTTGTATATCTTTACTATCGGTTTACTATCGTAGAATAGAAAATTTACCTCAGACTAAATTTATAGAGCATACAGAATATTTGGTTTAACTCTGTTCTTTTGTTCAGCTCTTATGACTTTATCTTCACTTTGCGGAGATAAAAGTAAAGATAAAATTATTTTTCTCATTAAATTACAATTATTCTACAAGTATTATTCTAATTTTTTTCCAATTTTATAGTCTCACCAATCTTTCATTTCTAATTAAGTACATTTGCATTGATTAAAGTTATTTCAAGATATTGATTAAAATTATATAACCATTTTTAAATTATATTAAATTTAATTTTAACACATTGTACGCGCTACCTTCACCGTTTGAAGAGCGAGTGCGTTCGCGATTTCTTTGCTCAAATATTTGATAAAATAATCTTTTAATAAACATTTAATTTATATATTTATACAGGGTATCCGGCAATAACCGCAGCAGCTCTCGGGGGCTGGTAGAGCAAATTAAACTGAACAGAAAGGTCCTGTATCATTTTGCAAAATTCACAATCATTAACGAGATATTAATTTTTGAAGATTGGCGAATAAACGCGTATCCGTCCGGCCCACCTCTGAATGTAAGCGTGCGGCGAACTGACGGCGAGTTTAATCTACTCAACCTTGAATAATTAACGACGATCATCGTATTAATTGTTCCGCGAAAATGATCATTTCAATTATTAACAGATCGCACAAAACTTATCGACGTTTTATATTTTTCAATATTCAATAGAATTCAGGCTTAAATGAAATAAATCGAATATAGATATATAGGAATAAAGCAATGTGAGCGACTTGACGCACGCTTGCATTCAGCGGTGGGCCGGATGGATATGCGTTTATTCGCCAATCTTCAAAAATTAATATCTTGTTAATGATTACGAATTTTGTAAAATGATAGAGAACCTTTCTGTTTAATTTAATCTACTCTACCAGCCCACGAGAGCTGGTGCGGTTCGGTTATTACCGGATACTCTATATATTTATTTTAATTCAATAGTTGAACAACATAGAGAAAATATCCTAAAAATGTAAAGTAAAGCAAAGATTGATATTTTTAGCGTATATATTTTTCAAAGTCCGTTCCTAATGAAAATTGATAAGTATATAAATCGAGTAAAATAAGTAAACTTTGTATTGCCATATTTATAATTTTTTTTCTAGACAAAAATTTGTATTTCTTTATATATACGTAGAAAATTTCTCTGGATTATTAAATTTTAATGCACAAGAAACTGGAAGCTAAAATTAATTCAGTAGACGTCTCGAATGCGTTAATTCGGTCGTACAATGTATTAATATTAAATGCGTGCAGAGAACGAACAAAACAGTAGAATTTAATTCTGTATTCTCAAAGTTTCGGAATTATAAAACGATATTTAAAAAATTTACCATTAACTCCTTAGGATTAACGAATTCCAGAGCATGCCGTTTAATAGCGTGGAATGCCGCGTTGGGTGCGTATCCGGGATGATGCGGAGTCGGAGGCGTAGACGTGGAAACTTCGGTTTTACCCGTTACTGTCAACTGCTTCCTTCTCATCGACATTGTCTGAGGAGGAGAAAAAAAGTTGCGAAATGTAAAATTCGCGATATCGAACATCGTCCGGCACAATTTCCATCATCCAAGATCAGTGAAGGATCGCGAATAGTAAGATGCAAGATTACTCACGTCCGCGTTACAGTGCCTATCGTAGAGATGCGTCATTAACGAGAACTTGCGTCTCTTGAGAGCGTCACAGCTCGCCCACAGACACAATATCTCCTCGCCACCAGTCGGACAGTGGGCCTCGCAAACGTGAAGGTAGACTTCGTGCGGTGTTTTAAATTGTCTGAAATTGTTTCGAGATATTTTTCATTAATTCGCAAATGTCTCATACATAAATATGACTATGTACTATTAATTGTGAAATCGTAGGAAACTCTCGAATAAAATATTACTTTTATTCGAGAGTTTCCTAATATTTATATCGAAAATGTATTTTCGAACTTACCTAAGACAGCCCCGCCACTCGCACAGGTAAGCGTTGGGATCGATTTTGATCGTGATGGTTTTGTTCTCCTGCACTGGCTGTGGCGTCTGCTGCTGCTGCTGCTGTTGCTGTTGACTCGTGGATGGTTTTGACTCCGGCTCGGTAGAGGTTGACGAACTCACCGTCTTCATGATCTTGGTAACGGGCGACGGCTTGATAGCGGGCACACCGTGGGTAGCCGCCGCTTGATGCGGCGTCGTGGGCCTGGTGGGCGGCGGCGTGGACGCCGGGGTAGGCGTCACCACCCTGGACGGCACGCTGGTGGATATTGGAGTTTGCTGGGCCATCGCCGGGATCGTGACGGTCACCGTGTTCGGGTTGGCCTGCGCCACCGAGCTGTTGACTATAATGGAGGCCTGCGGGATGGTGGCGGATGTGGGTACGAGAGGCGGTGGGATGTTACCGAGCGCCGGGCTCTGCAGGATCGGACGAGGAACCTGCGTCACGACCACTTGCTGCCCCTGCGGCGTCACCGCCACCATCTTTTGCGGGGTCGGTTGCGCGGCCGCCTGCGGTTGCAGTATGATAATTGTCTTAGTACCGGTCCCCTGTTGCTGCGTCGTCTGCGCCACGAGGACGGTTTGCGCCTGTCCCTGCACCAAGGCCGTCTGCGGCTGCGCCAGCACGTAATTTTGACCGGGCACACCGCCCGACACCACGTACTGCAATTGTCCGCTCGCGTTCTGCTGCAGGAGCACCTGCGGTTGCGGCGGAGGTGGCCTGCCCTTCATCGACGTGGTGGGAATAAGCATTTGATTGGTCGTTGGGATCGTTTGCTGCACGACTATCTGCCTAGGCGTTGTCACTATGAGTTGCTGCTGCTGTTGCTGAATCGGTTGCTGCTGCGGCGCCTGATTTATGCTTGCGATTTGATTTATGAATATATGAGGCTCTTCTTTAATGTGTATAGTCGGTGGCTCCTCTTTCACGAGAACCGGCGTCGGTTCCGTCTTTATATGAAGAGGAGGAGGAAGGGAAGCCGGAGTTGCCGTTGCCACCGCCACAGTTGCTGTCGCTGCCATTGCTACCGTCGCCGTGGCTGCCATCGCTACTGTTGCTGCCGTCGCTGCCGCTGTCGTCGTCGCGGTCGCTATTGCCGTCACTGGCGTCGGGGCTGGTGCTTCTTCCTTTATCGTATCCTTAACGTTCACTTGCTCATCCAGATCCATCTCGTCCTCTATGCAGTCCGCTGCCAAAGCGGCATAGAGATTCGCCGCAGTGGACGAAACGGTCGCTTTCTCGCTGTCCTTATCGTCATCCTCGGATTTTATACTGGATACCGTAGACTCCGCTGTGGTCGAGTCGACCGCCGGATCGGGAGACATCGTGCCGTTGGAGTACTTTGGCTTCTTGATATCCAGCTCATCCGACTCGCTGGCCGATCTCTTGATCCCTCGAGGCGGCGCCTCGATCAGAGTATCCTCGGACACTTCGTTCTGTATAACGTTGCCGCTCTCCACCTCGGATTTCATCTTCAGTTCGGCGGGGGATTCTTTTAATACCTTCTTGATGTGATTCTCCACCAGATCCATCTCCTTCTCGTTAATTAAGTTCTTGGTAAGCACGCCGTTCAGAATTGGTTCCTTGTCAACTTTTCTCTCGAGCAGGTCTACCAACATCATGCTCTGCAGCGGCTTGTCCTTCGAACCCACGCTCGACGAGTCCTTGGACGAGCCGTCCTCCTGCGCGTCAATGTCCGTGTTGTTGCTCGCCGGCGCACCGTTAAGTAAGATACCTTCGAAACTCGTCGGCATGTTCTCCTCCTCGACCCTGAAGGAGCAGTCCCTGCTGCCGCCGATACCGCTGCTGGACGCCAAAGAGTTGTTGGTGGAATCCGAGTCCTCGGCGATGGAAGTGCACGTCGTGCGTGATTGATTCGTCTTGTTCGGTGTGGCGGTGGCGACGTTGACCGTCGTCGTCAGGGGCGGACGACAGATCTTCGCCGGTGAGGAGGATATGTGGTTTTCAGTCGAGTTCACCACCGTGGCCGTGGCCGTGGACGTGATAATTTGGTTGGCATTGTCGTTATCGTTTACTTCAGTCTGAAACATAACGCGATGCATACGATACAGCAAGGCACTACGCGAGGCGGCTACTTTCAGCCGAGCTGCGACTTGCAAAAGCAAGACGACTACGTACCTTCTCGCAGTTATTAGTCACAACGAACTTGGCGCCGTTGAGCCTTTGTATCTTTTTGGCAGGAATGGGTGCGATCGCCGGTTTCTGTTTAGCGTTGACGGGAGTCTTCGGGAGTATCGTGGCCGGGACGGCCGCGGGTGCAGCGGGCTGCATCACACCCGTCATCTGTTGTTGCAGTAACCTCTGCTGTTGTTGACGTTGGGCAACCTAGGGGAATATCCGTGGCAATATTAACCGGGGAACATAAATCGATACTTCGACGTTCCTTCCGACAATCGTATCGCCTCTCGCGGCGCTCCATCGATTTTATTTATGTTTGTAACGGAATAAGTGAGAAAAGAACAATTGAATTCACCAATCAAAAACCATGCTGTTGTTAGTACTTGATATTACGAGTACTCTTATTTGATTTATATTTCAGAATAACACTCTGTTAAATACTAATGACTCTTCTGTCGCAAATATATTCGTCAAGAGGGGAAGGAGAGAGGATATTCTCTGGTCTCAATTCGTGTTCCAAAAAAAAAGAAAACAAGGAAATAACATAACATGTTTGAATACATCAACCAACACTACATCATAAGCAGACTTTAGCAGACATTTTGACAAAAAAAGTAGTACTAAAAAAACGAAAAAAAAAAGAACAAAACGTAAATGCGTGTTATATTCCTGCGTGGATAGCACGCAGAGATAATTTACTAAAAACGAATATCTTAATAAGAGAGTCTATAATAGATGTCTATAATTGTATGCTTTCTATAATAGATTCTATAATGGATAGCAAATAAAGTTGTTAAAAAGTTAAAATTTATCTTGCATAAATGATTGCAATTTACACACGCATATGCACGTGTGATGATTTACTCAGCGGCCTCTCTTTGTTTTAAATTACGTTGCGTATCGCATTCGTAATTAAACTCAAAATGCACTTAATATTTTCTCATTACACATCCTTCGTGGAAAAGTTATAAAAATATCAAGAAAAACGAGATATTCCAATTTGGTACTTTCTAGGCAAAAATAGGAGAGAAAAAAAACAAACTACTTATACTTGTTAATGTACAACAATGATACCTGGTTGCTGGTTATTAGCTGGTTGGCACTGATGCTGGATGCGATGCTAGCAGTAGTGTTTGTTACGCAGGCAGTAGGGGTAGACACACAAGTCGCAGCAGCACTGGGCATGCAGTCGCTGCTGACTGTTACCTTAGTAGCCAATAGGCTTTTTATTATGGAACTCGACGTAGTGCCACTTCGATTATCTTCCTTAGCAACTACCTGGACACATTGTAACTGCGGCTGCGGCTGCGGCTGCGGCTGCGACTGCTGCTGCTGCTGCGGCGTTTGGGAGCCGCTCGCTAGCAACGCTTGGCTCAGATGCGGATGCGATACTGATACCTAATCGACAAGGAGGCAACATACAAATTTTCAACCACCACAACGAGTCACAGCAGTCGGAAAGTATAGTTTTAAGCGTTTACGTGAGCACATGCTGCGTATATATGTATCTTGTATATTATAGCGTAGCTACTGTTTACGCAGTCGGAAGAAGCGTTTGACAAGCGTAAATCACAGAGACAATACATTGATTCCTTGGAAATAATTCCGGTCGTGATATTTTCCAAGACCGCAGCGATGATTGCGAATAGAAAATATGACGTATCTCATCCTACGTAAAATTTTATATAATAGTAAATAATTTGGCGAGTAATCTAAGATTTTTTTTCGCAAAAAAGAAAAGAAATGAAACGAATTAACAAACATTGACTCTTACGGTTAACTCTACGTATCTACCACGGTACCTCGGCGATCACAGAGCTAAAGTCGAGGATTCACGCGGCATGCAAAAGGGAACTCTCTCACCCCTGTGTGTTACGAGGAAGTAGCTCTAGCTCGTGTTAAAAAAAGGGGGAAAAAACCAACAATAAGAATAGCGTTACGAAGCTACGATACACAACCAAAAGTGAGAAACCAAGGTCATAAACGAGAATGGCAGAGAATGGTATAGAGAGAGAGCTAGGATTTCGGACCCACCTGACTTTTAGAATCAACCTTGGTCACTGGATTTTGGGACTGGCTCGAGGTGTTGTTGGACGGGGGTTTCGGCGGTGCGGACAATTGGGCCTTGAGGATGGGAGACGCGGGGGTGGAGGTCGTTTGCGTCCCGGACGACGCGGCGGGACTATCGACCTGGGAAGCGGCCGTGCTATCGGGTGCGGGACTTATATTCTTGACTGTACGCTGTTGAACGGGAAGCACCTTTACTGGAGTAGTGTTGACCGCCGGAATCGAGAGCGTATTAGTCGCGACAGCAGCGGTGGTTTGGCTCGGATAAGTGATCGGCGCGGGTGTGGCCCGTACTCGGATGCCTTCGTAATACTGGGTACCGGTATTTTCGCCCTTCAACGGATTCGGCCCCACGATATTGCCGAAAACGGATCTGCACATATACATTAACGCGTTTCGTCAAAACCAACGTATATTATGTAACAACAAATAATGCGATGATTTATGTTTCGGGATAATCACCTGACGCATCTGGGAAAATGCAGCGGTGCTATCACGCCTCGTCTACCGATCTTCGTGCAGCAGCCGAGGTACTTTTTATACAATTCCTCCTGTTCGATGCGTACACCGGGTATGAGCTCGAAGGTCGCTTTCACCCAGTTTAGAGCAAACTGTTCGTTCTCTTGAATAATCTGCTGATGCGCGTTTTGTTGCTGGATCGCGTTAGCCGTCTCCAACGCTTCTGTAAACGTGAACAAAGAAACAAAGATGTAGAAAGAAAGAACAGAATCTGCAATTCCATTTCTAAGAGAAAGATTTTCAATCACGTACTACTGTGCGTTGTCGACTTGGTCGAGGTCGCGGCGGGAGTCGTAGGTCGCGAAGACGCTGGACTGGCGGGTGCCGGTGTCGCGGTAATCGAAGCCGGCGTAGACGGAGTGGACACGGACCCAGTCGTTGTGGTCGGTGTGGCAGGAGGGGCGGTTACAGTGGCCTGACCCGTGGTGTTCTGCTGCACCGCTACTGTGGACACCGTCTCAACCACGCGCATGAGAATACAGGCCTTCGGGCCGTAGCTTTGCGCCTCCACGGTGACGAGGGCGACCAGCGTATCGATGGCACCGCGGACCCGCGCGACGCTCGTGCATGGTCTCTCACCCAGCGACGTTAAAGCGTACAGACATTCCAGGGTATACACTAAGAGGGCTATGTCACTTAGAGCTAGAAATCTGCAAGCAAGCACAACGAAATCTCACGTTACAACGCGACGCAACGTATTGAAAATACTCAATCGATATCGATATAGCACCAGTGAAAAGTATCGTAAATTGTGTAAGTTTTCAGAAAATTAATCAATATACAATTACTTGTGTATAAAGTTTTCTTATCGAGTCTAAAATTAAAGCATAAAACTTTGCTTTTAATGGTACATCTTTTGTACACGTGATTCGAGTAACTTTGTATTAAAAAAAATATCACGGGACATTTGCTCAAGTATTCGAGTACAATACTTCCCATTAGTAACTACATTTTTTATTCAATTAACGGAAATTTATGAATTAAGCAATTTTTTGCAAAACAACACAGCTAAAATGAAGAGACATGTACACTTGCCTGCATATAAGTTCATATACATTGTCTGCCAGACCGAACGTGACAATTTCTTCGTTACTGTCTTGCTGGCTGATCTTGTTGAGCACCTCCAGGCAGGATATAACGATAAACCTGTCCTGAGACTCGATTCCCTTGGCCACGCACGTTAGGACGACGTCTGTTATCCTCTCGCCGGCCTCCTTCAGGATAATCTCGTTCGCTATGTTCCCTAGTATGTCGAAGCCGAGCTGGTGCAGATTGCTCCACCTCGCTCTCACGCAGAGCAGCACGAATCGCAGGAAACACCGGTTCCTGCCTAATACCGTCGCGTTCTCCGGCGTGAAGCTAAGATTCCGTAGGATCGAGGCGATCTGCAGCACGCGCTGCCCGTACGCGTCCTGCGTACCTAACGTCCGACCGACGCAAAACAGATCCTTGTCCTCCTCCTCGAACTTGATGGAATTCTGATTCTGATCTTTCAGATTCTCGTCCGAGTGCAAGAGGGACAAATCTAGCCGCGGGCAATCTGGAAGTATCTGGAATCCACACAACGAACAGCGTATACAAACTTGAAAACAATCAAGAAATCAATAAGATTTCTCAGAAAGTTCATGCATGTCGAAAACGCGGACATAGACGAAATGGTTTTAGATTATTCTTCGAAGATTAAGCTGAATTTCAGATGACAAGAGATACAATAGCACAGACAGACGTAATACAAGAGCCTTAATCGAATTCAAAGCACGATTTCAGTGTCTAATAATATTTCCCTGTGTTTCCAGTTCGTGAAAAACTGCGTGTCAATTATTTGTCGCGAAACACAGTCCTAAATTGAAGCTGGAATAGTAATACCAAATTAAATTGATAATCAATTTGACGATACTGAGAAGTATTGTAGACTGTTTCAAAGAATTTACTGTAAAAAAAAAATATCAGAGTACGAACCTGAACCAGCTCGCTATTCGGAAGCTTACTGTCATGGACGTTTTTGCCAATTCGACCTCTGGGTAGTGATCTTGTACGCGCGAGTAAAAGGCGTATAAATTGCAAGACCAATACCGGGTCTCCTCGGCTTGCAATATATATTATTCTCACCGCTTCGGGATCCAGTAGGTGCGACGGTTCATCGACGTTTTCCGTCGTCAACGCGACGACGTCCTGCTTGCTCTGCTTCTCCTTCTCGAGGATTTTCCGTCTGGAAAACGTCGGCAGGCTGGTGGGCGGCTTCTTCATGAAGGTCCTCTCGTCCGTGAGGTCTATCACATCCTGGGAGTCGAGCACGTCCGACCAGAAGGAATTAATGGAGTAATTACGAACGCGCGAGTACACCTCGATGAAGAGTTGCCGCGTGCCGGGCGAGTCAAACACGCCGGCATGTGCCAGGAGGATGTTCACCAGACGGGGATACTTGTCGAGCCGCAGGGTGTGCTTGCCCTCGTTCGACAGGAGGGTGCAGACATTGATGGCGAAGTCCTGCTCGTTTGGCAGCGGCGACAGGAGCGACAGCGAGAGCTTGTCGTAATTCGAGGACTTGTAAAGGTCCGACGAGAGTCCGTTGTAATCGCGCAGAGATTCTGAAAGCAAAGACGAAAGAGTGGAATTAGTATTTTATACGAGGAGAGAGAAATTAATTTTATATATTGAAACCACAATAATTCTACTCATTCGAGCACCATTTAGAAAACTAATCTCTCTCTAGAAGATTCCTACTTTTATGTAGGAGAGAGAAAAAGAAATAATCTCTCTTAAAAAGTTGACTTAATTTAAAACTATAATTATTAAATTACAAATCGTGTAGTAAATGAGCTGAGCAAGACGTTAGTTTAATTAATTAATAATGAAATTTACAGGAAATTAAAATTAATATCAATAAACCAAACATTTCGACCTCGCATTAGGTTTGTTAATATTAATTTTAATTTTGTATAAATTAACATAATAGTTAAATAGTAGCATAACATCTTACTTGGCTCATTTGTCTATTTACTACACAATTTGTAATTTAATTCGCTATTTTAAGGCCTTTGTTCTATAATTATACAGTATATCAATGTAATTTTACAGAATTTTTCCGATTTTATAAAAAAAAATGTCTATAAAAATTCTTATAATTAGAGTTTTTAAATAAAACGTTCAATGCCATAAAAAACTATATTCGTGAATGTGAGACCGTAATAAAATTTCGATAGTAACAACCGGTTGTAATCACGATAATTACGCCAACTTTCGGAACGTAAGAAAATTATCGGGATACACATATTCGGTGATGGTACGCGTTGTATTAGCAATTCTCGTTATTACATCGATGCAAAATTAATGGATATTGCGGGGTTTACTTTGGGTGAATAGATGCGAAGGTCGTGCAAACGTTTACACACGTCGTGCTCGCGTTAAAACCTGCCGACGGTTTTTTAAGCGCACATACGCCGTACAATAAATTCGCCGTCGACGGTTCAATTAAAATAATTGAAACGCACAGTTATTATCTTGCCGGCTAATTAAAATCATTATAAAACCCGCCGGGGTCTTTCAAAATGCACGTTTTGTCTCATGGAGTCAGCGTTAACATCGGACACAATTCAAATATATACTTCATACGTATATATTCGCTTAAGTACCTTCCGGCAACTGCGAATGCGTATATCTGACACGAGAGATATTTTAACAAATACAGTAGAACATATACGTCCATAATATTAAAAGGACACAATTCCATACAACAAAACTGCTTTTTCTTGAAAAAAGACGTCACTCCTTTTCTACGTAAAATGTTACTTTTAAAATGTTACATGTTCCTAATAGTAGATAGAACTTGCAGCAAAAAAAAATAGAAAAAAACACACAGGGGACGGACTGTTGGAGTTACGCCCTTTTAATATTGAGCGCATCTGTATGACGCACGCTGATCGCTCTGTACGTCGCTTTTTTTCTCCGTTCGGACTAATAAAAACTGGTTAATGACACGATTATGTATATCTTATCGATATGCTGAGATACGCGGAGTTTTTATTTCTGTTCCAAGTGCGCGATGATTAGAATATCTTTTTCCTCGCGGGCACGGCTGCAGCTCCGCCGTCGCGAGAAACGAGCGCGTATCTCTGGCAATCATCACCGGCGGAATTGTCACAGGGCCAATCCGATCCTGCCCGCGCTTGACGACCGGCTCATTGAGGCAGGTCATGGCTGGTTGATGCAACAAGAAAGCGGAGCCTAGTATCATGACGATATTGCACCGGATAACGTTCCGAGCCGAAGCTCCTCCCTCTTTCCATTCTGGCGCGAAATCGACGCTCCATTTTCAAAATTTCTTAATATAATTGGCAAAGTTCTGGCTCCTCCATCCCTCCCCAAAAAGTTCCGGAAAGTACCCGATAAAAATCTTAAGAAGAACGATTAAAAGCGTTAAAAAAGAGGAATCTAAAAATGTAGAGAGCCTTCGTCATATTTCCGTTGTACAGAAATTAGTCGTAACTTATTTATTTATTTAGGATCAATTTGAATCCTGAATCTAATCAATATGTAAAACCTTTAAAATGCTACCCAGCACTCTCACCCACACCCGAGGGAATGCCAGATTTTTAAAAATAAACTTGTATCCGTAATAATTCAAATATATAAAATTCTTTGACGAAGAGCCAGCGTATGAATTATAAATTTTAGGAAATAGATTGTTAACTTTAGAAATTTCTCTCTTTTGATCTGCGTTGTTATATTATCTAGCAAGATATATTCGGTTTATAAATGATGTTTGAACAAATAGAATTATTGTTTCAAACAAAATTAATTTCGCGTAATTAATCCCTCAAATAGTTACATTTCGAGTTTCAAATTTCTTTAAATATATACGATATATGATATTAAATATACGCAATAAAATATGATTAAACAATATAATAAAGATGTACGATATATGATAGAATATGATAAAATATACGATATATGGTAAAATATGATAAAAATACATGTATGTGTGTATATCATAGAACAAACTCAATTTAAAAAAGATCCGTTTAAACATAGATAAGAGGCACATTGCGCAATCAGTTGAAACGATAGTCGATTCAGAACGGGGAGAAACATTCGTTCGTTCGATCTGAGAATATGCACAGGGCGGGGTACATAAATTATTTCGAAAAGCTATACACAACAATAATTAAAGACGGAAGGCGGGGTCGATTATCGGGATTGGTTATCGGCCATCGTCGGGGTGTGCGAATGTGCGCTTATCTGAGGAGAGCGGCGATATCTCGGCGCCGCGATATCTGGAATAGTAAAGCCAGCTAATCCAGCGTTCGATTTCCATACAACGGCCGGTTTATTCCGTCCGATGACGATCGCCGCGTCCCGCGTCGTTTTATTGACGCCGAACGCGATCGCCGGATTTTAACGACGAGCGGAACTGGGGACTACGATGTCGAAAAGGAACAGATAATTATTCGACTATCAATGTTTTACGTTGCACGTCATAGTCAATTATGCGCGCCGATAAGGTGATCGACTTCCATTTCCGATACGCACCACACAAGTAGGCTTGTGCTCTCGGTCTAGCTTTCTACGAATAGCCGACCACGTTCCATCAGCGGATATATATATATATATATATATATAACTAAAATATCGTAGAATCAATTCCTGCAGTGCCTAATTCTAATTTTGTTCAAAAATTACGTAAATTTCTAATGAGCACAAAAAAACGACATAATTGATCGTTTGTTAAAGTGAACGCGAAATTTTCTACCTGCAAAACTTTACTCGTAACTTTCTGACTGTCGAAAATAGAAGGCCAGGAATAAACGGTAATGCCAACATCTCTTATACGCTGTTCATATTTGTCCAACGCTCGTAAAATTTATGATGTAATTTTCTAGAGTTTCTTATTCTAGATAATTTCTTTATTAGGATGAATCATTATATACTAGTCACTACATACTTGTCTCTTAGTCTAGACTTTTCGAGATAAAAATATTCCTTTGAAGATTCTGTCGTGTCTTTTTCGAAAAGCACGAAAATGACAAATATTTATGAGCCGTAACGTTTTCCTATCTTCCGCTCTTTGTGTGAAAAATAGAAGTTTGCACAACCGGGGGACGATGATTGATTTTTTTTGAGATGTTAATCACGCGTGCCCGTATAATGACTCGGCAGCGAATTAGTTTCCTTCACCCGGACGGAACTTTTAGCGGGGTAGTATCGAGAATTCCGAACGCGCGAGAGCGAAATATACGGGGTTATGTATGTGCGTGTGGTGTGTGTGTGTGTGTGTACATGTACACGACGGCGCAACGTTATCGCGGATCGCAGTAATCTTTTCAGCCGCAAAACCGCGATCAATATCGCGTCCCAGGAGAAGTGTCGAGTTTCGCCGGAAACGAGGGGGGACACACAAACCGGGGAACCGGTAAGCACAGGACGATGAAAGGAGACGCGCGGGCGAGGGCAGCGAAAGGCCAGGGAGGAAGGGGCGGGAGGGAAGGGAGATTGCAAAGGAGCCGGGGCCTCGTTAATAAAATCATGGCTCGTCAACGATGCTACGAAGTGGCGAGTATCGATTTCAAGTTGAACACCTTGTGTTTCCATGGCGTAATAAAGGGAGTGTTGCTTTTACGTAAGCGCGATGAACAAAAGAGAGGCTCCGTCGCCATGAAAACGCATTATTTTTCTCTCTCCGCGTGCCCTTGCCTCTAAACATATTCCATGATAATAATTTATAAATATTTCATGGTAGTTTTCTCGCCGTGTTTTATTGGATATAAAAAAAGTCTGTCAGCTTGCAAATTATATTACCATTTTCAGACGTAAATATTTTCTGAGTTGTCTTTTTGGGCCATCACATTCGATGTCTCTATGAATACACGAAAAGAACGATTTTACTAAAAGATCTAAAATTTAATTGGATACATAGACCTGAAAATAATTTTGGATCAAAATAATTGTGTTCGACATTCAATATTGATGAGAACTACTGCAAAAAATTTTGATATTCTGGCAACCAGAGTTCGAGTTTCCAACAAAATTATTCGTTCCGTGTATAGGAATTGATTCAAGTAATATTCGAGCTTCGGACATCGGTCAGTTTTATATATATATTGAAAAAATAATTGACGTCTTACATACAGAAAAAAAAACACTGAAATTTATGTCCACCTCGGCAGAGCGAAATGCGATTGATTCGCGCGTTGACGACGAGCGCTTAGAGCGAATGTTAACGGGGCTATTTGTAGTCCGCCGTTATGATAAAAGCAATATGCGGCCGACGCACTGTCATCGCGTGACATTGTGTGTTTCCCAGCGTTTCAATCAATCCAATTCCACCTACGTCAGTATCAAACGGGCTCTACGATTAAACACCGATAAATAAGCGATACAAGCGCGGCGCACAGAGGGTTCGCAATCGATTCCCACTTGTAACCGACGAGAGGCGAACGTTAACCGCTCGCATTACCACCGCATACGCGTCCGACAATTAACAATCGAGCGGGAAAATCTCCGAAAGTCGGGGAGAAATCTCGAAAGAATTGACACTTGATAAAAACTGGTGGAGCTCCCGTACGGAGCACGCGAGGTCGTTTTCTCATAAGTAATTAAGCCAAAAATATATATAAATATATCCGCGTGAGCCGGAACAATTCCATCGTTCCAAGCATTAGAGGGGTATTCTCGCGGGGGGGGGAGGGAGTGCGAAAGCCGCGATCCCCGCGTGTTAATTGGCGTCGCAGTCCGCTGACAAACGCGTCGTAACGAGACGAGACGCGCGCAGTGCGGCGAAACATCGTCGATGGCATACCGTTGGCACGCGGTGGCCCGCCTATATGTATCCCCCCCCCCGGACATCGTCACGTCAAACGTCGCGACACCCGCGTGCCCACAGGTGGACTCGCTCCGGAGATCGTTTCGATCTCTCTGGGTTATATTTATATACTTAATGTACTCTGGCTCTTATACTCGTTAAATTGACATAAATTGTTTTAGCCACGCAACCAGCTAATATTATTTTTAATTTTAATTTCAAATTGATGCATTTTCCGTCTCATTCTCTTGATACTTGATTTTTAAATTCAGCATTTACAACTGTTTCCGTTCGAATTCATAAATGTTTCATGTCCATCTTGTATCTTTCCATATACTATGTTGTTACGTTATGCAGGATGAATTGAAATACGCGGTAATTCCCGGAACGGGAATTCTACGACTCAAAATGAGTCGAAATAATAAAATTAATTTTTCTGAGAATAAGGACTTTCGAATACGCATTCATTTGACTGATATAACAATTCTCGCAAAAAAGTTTCTTTGCTATCAGGATTAATTTAATTAGTTGACTCTTAAGATAAACAAGCAAATTTATGTAAGACAAAAAATAATTTTATTTTTTGCATATTTATTTTTTATCTAATCAAAATATTGTTGAATATGTTGGCCGTTTTGTCGCGTATAAAGTCATATTCTGCGAATTAATTAAAATAGAATGGATTATCTCTAATGTATTCTAATTCTTCAAATGCAAAAACAATTAAAGTGCTTTTAAAGTCCTTTTTCTCGAACATAAGGCCTTATTCGCAAAAAAATTTACTCTATCAATCCGACTTATTTTAAGCCGTAGAATCATCCTCTTCTTCTGGTTATATTTCGACTCTGTGTATACATATTTTCTTCACAGAAATTCATAATCACTCTGTTATTGTGAAAATTTTGTATTATTTTCTGATAATAATAATAAATATTATTGTCATTGTTATTGTTGTTGTCATCATCGTGATCATGGCATAATCATCATTATTATATTATATTATTTTATAACGCTATTTATATTATTACATATTACGTATTCTGTACGCCTTCAATTTGAAAAGGACATTTTAGCACATATATGTAAATATCAACATAACATGTAACAATTTCATCATAACAGCCCAATCTCCTCAATGCCAAAATTTCGCAATAATATTTGTGGACTGTGAAGTCGGTGACGAGTTTCGTACAGAAAGAGTACAAAGAGGAGCCAACACAGTTTCTTCCTTTCTAAATAGCTATCTCTAATCTAGCACACGACCGCGTGCGCACACAGAGCACAGCCGGGACCGCGGGTGGGCTCTCTCTCTCCCTCCCTCCCTCTATCTTTCTCCCGCTGGAATCGCGGCGAACATCACGCAAGCGCGGCATTATGCCGGGACGATCAAGAACCGACGGAACACTTATCCCCGCAAACGCTTATTGATTGTGACGCGCACCCCGTCGTGTCTCTCGTTCTCGCACCGTCCATCCCTCCCTCCCTCCCTCCCTCCCGCTGTCCGTCGACGCTTCTCTCCAACGCACGCACGTGACGAGACTGTCAATCTCGGTAGTTAATTAAGATTTTAATCTAGATTTTACGAACGCGCGACTCTCCTCCCGTTTTGTCGCCCTCTTATCCGAGAACGATGATCTCTCGCAGGCGAAAGGACGGAAATTTAATTTAAAGGAATACGCGAATACGCGTACAAATATATATACGCGAATACATGCCGAAGGTATGTACTCGGGACGGGCCCACTCAAAGATCACACATCGCGAATACTCGACGAGCTCGGTTAGCTCGCGCGTGTCACGCGATTCTCCCGACACGTTCGCGTGCGGTGGTTCGCGTGTATCCTCCGCAGCAAAGACAAAAGAAAATTTCACGGTGCATGCGCAGTCGATCTCCTTGGGGGTAGCACCAAAAAGGTGCATACAGCAACATCGATTCTCACTTATATTCTTCCGGGATTCCCCCCGGATGGCCGCGGCGATAACGATTAAATTAATAAACGCGATGTTGCGCACTATTAAGAGAAAACGGATAGACCCAAGTGAGCTACAAAGTGCAAATCGTTGACTCAGGATGTGTCATGAAATAAACACTGATCGCTGACTGTATCATCTTCCATCGCGATGACTAAGACGCCGATCGAGCGCGCTGAATAATTTGTTATTTCCAAGTTAAAGTTTTTTAATTGATGCGTCAATATATCTATATAAAGTGTTATTCAATAATTACGGAAAGAATGACGCTTTCGTAAAGATCGACACGTGTCGAAGAAGAGCCGTCAGTCTTCTCGGCTCCAAAGATTACAATACGCGTACCATCAGTGTCCGATCCAGCGCGCCCGAACGCGCGACGGAACGGACGCGTATGATTAGGCGAACGATCGGCCGCATCGATGCGCGAAAGGAGGAAGGGAGAAGTGGAGAATCGGAATGGGAAACGGGAATAGCTTCCCGTTCGGGGGCGCCTTTACTGCCCCAGTTCCGGGTGCTCGCGAAGCACGGCGGGAAGGGAGAGAGGAGGAGAAGAGAGCCGACGAGACGGGGCGTAACGGGGGTACGACGGGGCGCCGGGATGCTCGCTCGCGACTTGCGCGGAAGCTCGCGAGGAGTCGGGGTCGGGGTCGTCGTCGTCTTCGTCATCGTCGTCACCGCCGCGCGCGACTAAGACCCCGGCGAGCAAATTAACAATCGTTACGTACACGTAGATATCGGTAAGCGTCATTTTCGCACCCCCTCCCGCGACAGGCGAACCTTTCGCACCCCCGGGCGCGCTGCGCGCTCGTAACGTTTCCTCCGGCCCTCCTCCCCCTTCCCACTCCTTCTCCCCGTCGTCCATCCGGCGGGTTACCCCAGAGCTTCTGTGCGGGCGGTCCGCTCCGGCAGCGAGGCTACCCGCATGCGGCCGTGGTGCGCATGTGCGCCGAGTATAGACCCGCGCGTTCCGCCAGTCGACGGGCGAAACGCACCGGCGGCTCGCATATATGCGCCCTGCTCTATATATGTATACGGGATGTCCCAGAAAAACCGTATACATCCTCCCAATGAGTCTTGGGGGCCGATCTGTATTCGGAAAGATGTGGTATATACTGTTTTTCTGGGAGCGCCGATATCTTTCTTGGGACATAAACGCGAGGGAGAAGAGGAGTTTCTCGCGAAGTGGAGAACCTCGGAGAGCCAGACCCGGCGGAACTAAAGATACGTGAAGTTGCTTCCAGATAATTAGAAAATCATAATCCAAATATACCTTCACAGATGTAAAGTTATATGTTATACTAAAGAATTTTAAAATATATTCGCCAAAAAGACGAACAAAAAGGAAAAAGTGACCCGAAGTCACACTAGCGATAAAACGCCAGACTGTCAAATATATTTGGCACACCCAGTATGGATGTTTGTCATTATTATAGCCCATTAAATTATCTTGCACATGCCGCTCGCGCGACCCCTCCTACGCCCTCCTCTCCCCCGTCGACCCCACGGTGCGCACGAATGCACTCGCGGCTCCCAGCTCCGGGCCGCGGACGCGGACTCGCATGTGCGCCCTGCTCCGCTATCTATCTCCCTATATCCCTCTCCGGCTCGATAGCCCACCACCGCTGCTGCGGCTGCTGCTGCTGCTGCTGCTGCTGCTGCTCTCTCCGAGCGGCAGCACGTCAATAACCCGTTGCCGCCTTGGCCGCGGCATAGCACGTACATGTGTACATAGCGCGCGTCTCCCGCGAAGACGCGCGCGACGCGACCCGCCGCGCGCGACGGAGCGCGCCGGTAGGGAGAGATGCTCCCGATTTAATTAATCCCGCCGTGCACAAAGCGTCACGATCGGCAATCCCGCGCGGTGGGTATGCCAATATATTCTGCAAATATCCAGACGTTTTTGACCAGAAAATTCTCCGACTCTCATATTTGACGTTGGGAATTTGACCTGACTACGATATTAGTGGATCGAGTCGTCTGAATTTACCGTTGTCAAATGACCCCCCCCCCCCACTCTTTCTTCCTCTTTTACGGTACATTTGCGCCACGACGAGTAGCGGTCGTGGAAAATTCAAACATTTCTCGTGATAAATGAAAATGGGTTCGAGAGGAGGAAAAATCGCGGAAAGACTCGGCAGAGAGAACCGAAACGTGCGATATTTTTTACAGCAGCGCTGCAGGGATGATGCGGAACGAGCGAGCGAAAAATTCTGACAGCCGGAAATTGCTAACGTTGCGAATTATTGAACCGTGACTCGCACGTACAAACAGAGAAAAAGGTAGAGAGAGAAAGAGAGAGGGGGGGACAGAGAGGAAAAAGGGAGAGAATGCCGGGTGTACGCGCGCGACCACGATGCGACGATGGAAGAGCGACAAGGAGGAAAACAATGGAAAATGCATTCGAAAGTCGCTCGGCCGTGCGTACGTGTAACGCGAAATGTATCGAGACGTGCACACCGGCATAAATTGGCAAAAGCGATTTATCGAAACTGCGGACGCGCATTCGGCGGATTCGTATATTTCGCGACAAGCGCAATAAAAGGGACGATACATTGCCTGCTCGGATATGTGCAGACTGAGCCATTATTATTTTTTTTTTTATCAAGAGATTCTTCGACGTAAAATTTCTCTAGAAGTTTCAGACAGAGCGAAACGTTGGACATATTAATCACAACTCACCTGCGATGTTGTGCTGATGGTGGTTATAAGTAAGAGGAACGGAGTGCAGTGCTCTGGCCGACCATTTTCGATGCCTGGAGTCCTCATCGTCGTCGTCGGCCTGTTGACCATCCTCGCCTAGGAAGTGGACCTTCTCGTACCTGTCCAGATATCTGAAACGCATATTAAAGTGCTTTAATGTTATACGCAAGCTTACAAAATTGCATTTGTTCAGATCCATTTTTAAATAATAGATACATAATGTAATTATCTCTTAGGACGACGTTTACGTCCGTTTCCATTAATGTAGATTAATTTTAATCTCAGTTCAACTTACTCCTCTCATCTTTTTCTAGTTGTAAGAATTAGAATTGTTTCCACCAATGTAAGATCAATTTTAATCTCGGTTCAACTTTTACTCTTCATCTTTTTCTAATTCTTAAAAACCGGAAAAAGACGAAGAGTAAGTTGAACCGAGATTAAAGTTAATCTAGGTGGAAACAGGCATTAAAGAATAGGCCTGTTCTTTTTAGCTGAACTTCTTGCACCGTTCATCCTTGCTCTTTTTCTCTTCATATTGGAAAAAAGAAAGAGGAAAGATGAATCGTGCAAGAAAATCAGCTGAAAAGAATGGGCCTGATAATGGTTCTTTTTAAGAACTTCAAAGATCGACGGACAGTCCGAATGAAAAGAAGGCGATCGATTACTCTCATTTCCAAACAGTTTGAGATAATTTCAATAACTACGATAAAAATAGTACCGTCTAAAGATTATGTAACAAGAAATGAAACAAGCGGATAGTCTCGGCGCGAGAGTCAGCTGGATCAGCTAGTTTCGAAGGATAAATAGTCGGCGGCTGAGACTCCTCTCGGAATCGATTGGCGCTTCCGGAGAACCGGTCGACCCGCGGCGGCATCAACACGTGGCGCACCGAGTTCTATCTGGAGAACGCACAACTCAGTGCGGCGCGAAGGCCGATGAAAGAAACTCTTCGAGGCGACCGAGAGACCGACCGACCGACCGACCGACCGACCGACCGACCGTCGTCGAAAGTGCGACGAACTCTCGCGCGATGCTCGCGCGAACAGGGTAGATGCGAGAGATAACGCGAGAGAGAAAGAGAGAAAGAGAGGGGGGGGGAGTCATGAGGCGTCGAGGGGGAGGGAAGGGGGAGAGAGAGGACATTGAGTCGTGGGTGGGCGAAAGAAAATGGTGGGGGTAGGTGTAGCGGATCCATTCATGCAACCAACGTACAGCGCGGAAGGTGCAGGCGGTGGAGAGCAAGCAGCCCAGAGCCTGATTGGCCGTTGGCGGGTGCGGACTACTGAACACTACTCCGACTACTGCAGCAGCGGTGTGCTGCTGCTTACTGCTGCTGCTGCTGCTGCAACTGCTGTTGCATGCAGCGTGTGTGATAGCAACGTGCAACTGTTGACTACTATAGCGCGAAGTAGCAACCGGCCGGAGACACGTGGCGTGATATCTCTCGAAGGTGATCTCTAGCTCAATAATTCTGGAGCAGATCGAACGAAGGACGCCGATCTTAGTTGAACAAACGTCTGTTCGTTACCTGTTCTCTGCGTTGTAATCAAAAAGAGGAGCGATTACTTAATCCGGCTGATGACGCAACCAAGTGTTTTACCGTGCGGTATGTCAATATGCTCCGAGATACAAGAGGAGATGACAAATACTGATATGCATACTCAAGGCAGAAAAAAGTAGTTATCAAGACAAGTAAATATCTCGTATATTTAAATATAGAGTGTAGAGAGTCTACACAAAGCTACCCGGAGCTTCGAAAAACGTTCTTTAACCTTTTACTGCTTAATGTCACAGTTCGTATATCAGAAGACGATGTTTGTCATCGGAAAATACATTGAGAGCTTCCGTTAAAATTAGCAGGAAGACAAGTTTACAAGGAGGTACTTATTACAGACCATTTAATCCTTTCACTACGACGGTTGATTGTCCTCTATGCTGTCGCTAATCGGCGAGTCACGAGTGTACTTTACTACGGATAAAGTCTTTATTAAGTTATTTTGCCGTTATCATGCAATTTATTGGTTTTTGCTATACTCAAGTTATTTCAATTCGATAGACAATTAATCCCTTCGCTCCGAGAGGCCACTTAAACTAAAGCGGCCGCCGGCGAATCTATATCGTTATGTACGAAAGGCCGCTAACTAGTCTATCTAGTCTGTCGGTATGTACGAAAGACCGCTATAGTGGCCGCTAATTACATTCTCGATCGACCTATGTAACGGAACTAAATTGCATTATGCAACAATGTAACAGGCGTATATTCTATCCACCGAAAAAATTATAGTTCGCTGTTCTGTTCAACGGTGGCAAAACTGGCAATTAACTCCGCCGTCGTGAAAAGGTTAATAGTATTAAAAATATTTAAACTCGAAATTTTTTTAACACTTTTATAATTATATGTGCGTGATACTTTATTGGTATCGGCTGTGCATACTACAGTGTGGTTGTTCACACAGCAGTTGTCCTCGACCAACACTGTAGCGATCATTTGTACACACAGATACAGATCTGCGGAAGGTCACTTAGCATAGCGGCCGTTAGGAGCGAAAGGGTTAAAGCCATGAAATTGAACCGATTAGAATTCGCGGGAACTCCAGCTCGCGTGCGAGAAACAAAAAATTCCGCGTTCCGTTTGCGGGTCGCAATGCAAATTCGGGTGCGAAAAGTACGCGCGCGACAGCGCCGGTAAGGAGCCGAAGACTCGATGGCGCGTCCGCGTTTGTTAGCCACGCGCGCCGCTAACAAGATTGCAGGGTTTGTTTCTCTCGAAGAAGAAAGAGAGAGAGAGAGAGAGAGAGAGAGAGAGAGAACGGAAGCGTGCGCGAGAGCAGAGAGAAAGAGAGAGATGAGAGACAGAGAGAGAGAGGGGAAGGGTGGGAGGGAGAGGAAAGCGAGACTCAGGAACCACGTGGTGGCCTCTCGTCAGCGAGGCCGGGGCATGAATGAACCGAACGTACGTAGTACGCGATACGGAAAATGGTGGTGGGGCGTAGGGACCAATGCCGATACGCGCGGTGTTGGCCGTGCGGCAAAACGCCGCTACTCCCTGCCTCTTGCAGACGCTCGCGGACTGCCAGACGCAATGGAACATTGTAGCAAGCGCGACGTGACGCGCCGTACCGCGCGGCGCGGCGCGGCGCAGCGTCGCGTCGACAAGTTCGCCGGTGCCGGCGAAGGCCCGTCTCTCTCTGGCGATCGAGATCCAGTCGGGCGAGTCGCGTCTTTCGACGGACCTTCGCAAGATGCGCGCATCTGCGAATGATTGATTGCATCGGTGGCTCGTGAAGGAAAAAATTCGAGAGAAGATCTCTCTTCGTGAACACTTCACGTCACTTGGTTCTTTCTGTTTGTAGCGATACAGCTCTAACATATGGTAGAGTAAGTTTGAACTGGACCACAGGGGGTTGACGAGATGCTGGGGCGCATAGCTTTAGTTTCTCGCCAAAGTGTATTTGTTAATCCACCAGGGGCGAGTGTTGCATATTTGCAACAATTTCATTAAAATGAAATTTGAGATTTTAGGATAAATTCGGGATCTGTATAGATTAGTTACAACACTTAAGAACTGAAGATGGAAATGTATGTAGCTTTACGTTGAAATATAGTGCTTTTTCCCGCCAAAAAGATAATGGCGATATATATCAATAGATTCTTCACTTACAAGATATTTTCGAGTAAAGTCATTAAACAAATTTTTTTTTAATAAGAAGATGATACCATCCTTAGAGAATTAAATCTATAAGAACAAACTTACCGAAGATAAATTTGTTTAAGGCCGACTCCGCTGTTGATACAACCGCCGGGCAGGTGAAATTGTTCGCACAACGACGCCCACTCATTTCTGGTATTGACCTGTAATGAATAAAAAAGGACGTGTAAGGATTATTCGTGAGAACATGAGAATATATTGGCGCATCGATCCGAAGCTTCTAAAGTTAATCATGTTTGATAAAACCGCTTGTACAACGTGCTCGCGTAAGTTATTTATACACTTCGGCACTCTGCCCGTTATTTTAAGCTCAGGCACTTCACGAAATTGGGAATAATTCAAGGAAATCCGCATTTATACTTTTACTGACCCAAGACTTTATGACCCAGTTTCCTCGCCAATCTTCTATTTACGGCAATATTTCGAAAAAAAAGACTCGAAAGACTTACACATAAACTATCAAAAAAAGTCTACATCTTTTCTCTCTCTCTCTCTCTCTCTCTCTCTCTCTCTCTCTTTCCTCGCGAGATCTCTCGTCCATCCTTTGGATTTCCATATCTCAAGAATTCCCGGTAGCCGGGCGGCACGCGAGATGAAGCGTTAGCGCGTGGCGGTACGTAAATCTCTGCGGTCGGCTGAAAAAATAAACGGTAGTTCTCGGGTTACGTGCCCGAGGAAATCCAATGCGCGAATACGCTCTCTGCCCCGGAAGCCGCAAGCCTAATTTCAATAACAGACTCCTTTTCATCGATTTGTACACGATTTTCCCGAAACTAATAATGCTTGTTCTAAGAAGTAGAAAACATCTTTTTTAATATTTAAGAGTGAGTTGAACCGAGAGATTAAGTTTTTCTATAGCGGTAAAAACGGGCATAAAAGTTCAAAGCGTCGGCAGTACCCGAGTAACGAGCGAAAAACAAAAATCGATTCAGAATTTCCTGGAAGAAATGAGATTGCGAATGCTCGTCAAGGAATTCGTCGTTGTAAATTGGTAATACGCCAGTGACTTTGATTACCGCGTCCGCGACACGGCGGTGTGAAATCATCACGGAAGACGGACTCGCAAGTGAATCAAGGTTCACACTCCGCGATGGAAATAAATGTTTACCGCGTTCGCGTTTATTTCCGTAAATTACGCGCGCGCGGAAGGAATTCGCGTTTCGCTGTTTCCCCTTTATCGTCCGTCGTAAACTAAACCTCGCGATTAAAGATAAAATTTACAACCTATTAATGGAAATATCGCGAGGAAAATAAAAGTGCAAATTTTTCATACTGTTTTAAATCCTTACTCTTTAAATATCACGTAAAGGTGTTTTCACTCTTAATTAATGACGTAGATGCGATCCATTTATATCAAATATGGCAAAGAATATGCCTAAGTGAAACAGTTGTACATGTTCAATATGAATAATTTGTAATTTTTTAAGGATAAATTAGATGCAAGACGGTCGTTCATCACTCGAGACTAACAAAAAACCATATATGATCTAACATCCAACCAATATGCCGTTACTTTTTATGTTTTATTTTTTCACCGTACTTTTTATCTCTTTCTAATTCGAAGAATAAGAAAAAGAGTAAATTAAACCGATTAAAATTGATTTATATTGGCAGAAATGGACATAAGGCAGCGATTGTATAATATTAAAAAAACAAACACAACAGAATGATTTCGTGCAAGTATCAAACGTTCTTAAATGTTAACAGAGCAAAAACCAAACACGCATGGCCCATTTCTACCAATGCAGATTAACTTATTTCAGTTTAATCTACTCTCTACCTTTTTCTAATTCTTAGATCTAGAAAAAGATCAAAAGCAAGTTATATCGGAATTAAAGTCAACCTATACATTGGTATAGAAATAAACATACAAGTCTCAATCAGGGGTTTTCCCGTTTCCCGGCGACGCGTGACTCCAGAACCAATATCCGCGCGCGCGGACATGGCACGTGGTTCTACGGACGTGACACGTGGCCACGCAGGCCACGCGATGTAGAATCGTCGGCGGCAGTCCTGCGCTCTCAAAGTGCGCTCTAAGCGTCGACGACGACGGAAGAGGAGGAGGAAGAGGAGGAAGAGGAAGAGGGAGAAGGAGGAAAGCCGGTTGGGGGCGGCGCGGGAGTCTCGTGGTTCGTAAAATCAGCGACGGCCGAGCATACTGGGTCAGTGCTCCCTGGATCGGCGCCCGTGTCTTCGCTCTATTCTGGTCGCCGTCGCCGCCGTTGTCGTCGCCGTCGCGACGCTCGTCGATGAAATCGGGAACGTGGCGCCGCGCCGTGGACGACCGCAAACGTCCGGTCGCGCGGGTTGCTCGGTAACCGAGTAATAATAGTTGACGAGAGACAGGACACGCGACGAGTATTTTAAGAACGCGGATGCGAGATGTCAATAATGCAGCATTATGTACGGGAGATATTAAGCTTCTTAAGGAGACGGTAACTTTACAGACGAAATGTCGACGCCAAGCATTCGTCTTCTTATGGTTTCACGTAACAAGAAGAAGATATTTGACGTTAATATAGCCTACGTTGCATTAAAAATGTCGAGTAGACATGTGCAGCATCATCAATCAGCGTATTTGCAGCATTTGAGAAGCGCATTTTACCGTTTATATAAGCAATTACAGTTCAACTCCGCTTCACTATATAGTTGGATTCGCAAAGAATGGTAATAATCGGTGAGTCACCAGTCATAAAATGTCTGCGAACGTGGGCGCCCCACATCTACATGATGATAACCTTCCTAATTTGTCTTTCCGTGCGCCAGAGAACGCGTTACATTGTACGAAGCATGCTGAAGAAACACGCTCAAGAGCTCCGATTCGAGCGCGTCGGTCGAATTAAATCAGCGGTCGATCGCGCCCGTCGATTCAATCCGCGAACCGATCACCGTGGACGGAACAGATCTCGAGTCTGCGCGCCAGGTGGAAGCGCGCGGATGCACGCGGCTCGGAGACGCGTCCTTTCCCGCCTAAGTTCGATCTACCGGGTGGGCGCGATTAGGTCGGTCACCATCGCCGTCGCCACGAGGTCGTATAATCGCGCTCGACTTTGCTCGACCTTGATGCAGCAATGCGAACGGCGGCGACGGCGGCGGCGGCGGCCGCGACGCAACGCATGCGCGGCGCGGACCCGTTCCTCGGGAGCGTCGAACGACGATATCCACGTGGTTCGGACCGGGTACACCGAGGCATACTGCATGATGAAAGTGTCTTCGGCACACCACGTGGTCGTTGGGGTAGGACATGGTCTCTCTCTCTCTCTTTCTCTCCCCCTTCCTCCCCCCCTCTCTCTTGCACACCCGCTCTCCCCCCGTCCCCTCCCCCTCTCTCGCGGCTCGCTCGCTTGCCCGCTCGCGCTCTCTCCCCCCACTACTTCATGCCGAACACACGCTGCCGCAACACGCGCTGCGCCTATGACTCTCCCGCGTCTTCCGCTTCTTCTTCTAGCGCGCACCTACAGCTCAGTGGGGTCCGAGACACGAGGGGCAGTTGTAAACGGCCGTCGATTTCGACGACTTTCGACCCTCGGGAACGCGACATTCCGTCCGCACGAACCAGTCCAACGAACGTCCTGCCCGATTGCAGGTCAGTTGCTCTCTCCCTAACCCCTGCAGCTCTCTAATGAGATTTCATATCTTCCGATTTTACTTTTTTCTTACCTCCTGCCTATTAATCTTGCGAGGAATTTAATCCACGGGATCGACGATGCGCGTCAAGCAAGATTAAGTTCGAAGGGTCGAGCTAACTCCAGGGGGAATCAAGTGTCTCGTCGCTCCAACTTGGTCGAGCTATTCATCATCGCGACGTTAGATCGCGGAGGAAGGAATTAATTCTGAATACCCCTCTCTCTTACGTAAGGAAATCCTCGCTCGGCGACGGAATTTATATATACGTGACGGCTCACCTCGATGTATCGTGTATCACGTTAACGTGCGCGGCGGTCGCTTATGCATATAAACACGACGCAAACCCGTTGTGGTTCATCGTGCGATTGTAAAGCGAATGCCATTAGAATTCCGTACGGCGACGGTTTCCTCAAGTGGTAGTGATACTCTTAATTGACCTCTGTTAAAGTAGCGTCTTACGTTCGGAATTTGGAAAGTTTCGACGCATCTTCAATCAATGCCAATGTTCCTGATTTGTTTTGTAAAAAAAGACTCGATGACTCGATGTGAAAAAAATGCAAGATGTTAAGACACCGCGCTGTCCGCTTCATATTTTCGTTGAGCACTGCTTGTATTATCGAACTGCTCGGAATCGATTCCCCCATCGGAACTGTTCAATTATTTCCTCGATTTCTATTGCGCTCTCTGCGGAAAATGGAATAACTTCGATTGGAATCCATTCCAAACAGTTCCATAATACGTGCAGAAAATATGCAGTAATATTTTCACTTCGATCAGAATCGATTCGAATCCTAATAATCTTTTATAGAGCTTTAGAAGCGCGCTTCATATCTGGAAATCTTAAGAAAAAGGAAAAAAGATTGATTTACGAGGACTTAATTAAAAACATATAATTTAAAATCATATCGAGATTTTTAGAACTCTTCAATGGGAAAAGCAACTTTTTATCACAATCATATTAATATTCTAAAAATGAGAAATACACGCGCTAATTTTTCTCAGGGACAACAATTGTAATATAACGCCGCGGAAACCGCCGCTTGTCGATTATGCACGCATAAGCTTTTGCAACAAGCTCGTTGCTCGTGGCTGATTACAGCGAGAATATCGCGACGGGTACCGTCATATTGGATATCGATGGGAGCGGTGAAAACAATGGGTTGATTATCGCGATTGAATGCTAAATGTCGAGGCTCGATAAAATCTCACAGAGATTAGGATATCCCACCTCTTTAAACGGAATTAAACACCCGGTAACACGTAACATTATTAGATATTGTAAAAAGTTTATTAATCCAATATTTTTCCAATAAGTAACGTTGTTATTCCGAGAAAAATGCCGTCGTAATAATATCGTTATTCTCATTACCTCTTCGCAAGGATATAAAAGGAACAGCGGAATCAATGCGAGCAGCAGTTTAACGAGATGTTGTAATTAACAATACTGCACTTGTCAATTCGAGAAGGCGGGCCGAAGCACGTAACTCGAGAATTCATCCTTTTCCAATGGCAGTGT